TCTGCACTCCTTCAATCATCTCTATGTGTCTTGATTTGAAAGGGAACCAGACCGAACTCGCATAGTCTAAATGTGTCCTGACAAGTGTCTTATAAAGAGGAATGAAAGTTTCTTCATCCAAATGTTGAAACGTTCGCCTTAACATTGCAAAAATAGAGTTTGCCTTTTTCACCTTCTCGCTTATGTGTCTGTCAAAGCTGAGTTGTTCATCTATGATGACTCCTATGTCTTTTTCCTCTTGTACCTTCTCCAGAGTGCGTCCTAACAGCTCATACTCAAAGTCTTGGTCTGGGTCTTTCTTTCCAATGTGCATGTGTTTACATTTATCTGGATGGAACTTTAGGAGCCAGGTGTTACTCCATTCTGTTAGTTTCTCAAGATCTCTTTGAAGTGTCATTTTATCTTCCCTACCCTTAACTATATTGAAGATTTTCGTGTCGTCGGCAAATAGGTACACAGTAGAGCTCACGATATCAGGGAGATCGTTGATAAATATAACGAACATTATCGGCCCAATTACTGACCCCTGTGGAATGCCAGAAGTTACGTTATGCCATTTTGATGTTGCCCCGTTTATGGATACTTGTTGTTTCCTTCCACTTAGGTAGTTCCTTATCCAGTCTACAAGTTCTTTCCCTATTCCATATGCTTCCAGTTTCTTAAGCAGTCTGTTATGTGGGACAGTATCAAAGGCCTTTTGATAGTCCATGTAGATACAGTCAACATCATGTCCACTGTCCAAAGCCTCTGTCCATTCCTCTAATACCCTTAACAGTTGTAGTGAAGTTGATCTACCACTGATAAAGCCATATTGTTTAGTTGTAAAGAGGTTGTTGCTTACAAAATGCTCTATTATGTGGTCCCTAACTAGTCTCTCCATGACTTTACACACCACTGACGTTAAGCTCACTGGTCTGTAGTTTCCTGCTATCGCCTTGTTTCCTTTTTTGAAGATCGCGCTAATACGTGCTGTTTTCCATTCTTCTGGAACTTTTCTCTCGTCTATCGATTTCCTAAAGATCCTTGCTAGGGGTTCTGCTAATTCCACTCTTAATTCCCTCAATAGCCTTGGATGCATATTGTCTAATCCAGGTGACTTATCTGGCTTTAACAGGTTCAGTGCTTTGACAATTCCTTCCTCCAATATTCTTAATTCTGTCCACTCCTTCTTGATAGGGCGTTTGTCCAGTTCAGGTATGGCTTCCTCAGGTTCTTGTGTAAAGACGCTACTAAAGAAGTCTGCTAAAATGTTTGCTTTCTCTTCGTCCACTTCTGTTTTATTAGACTTTGGATTTTTAGGGTCTACACACAGTTCCCCGATTCCTTGTCTCGTTTTACTTTTTGAGTTAATATACTGCCATATCTTTTTTGGGTTGGATTTTGCCTCTTGTGCTATACTCTTTTCGAATGACTTCCTTGCTTTCCTCACAAACTTTGCCACTTTGTTCCTAGTCCTATTGTACTTTTTCCTTATGTTTGGATCCTTGGTAGCCACATATTTTCTGCTCAGTGCGTTTTTTTCTTTAATCAAGGTGACAGTTTCTTTATCCAAGGGCATTTTAGTTTTTCTGCTTGGTCTGATGGTGACTACTGGCACATATTTATCTTCTATGTCCTCAATTTTTTGTCGGAATTGACGCCACATCTCGTTTACTGTGCTCTGTGACTCCAGAATGCTTTCCCAATCTGTTTCGCTAATTTCCTTCTTCATACCTGCAAAGTTAGCTTTCCTATAAGCCCTCCTCTTTTTTGGTCCGCTTTTCAGTATTGCACTGCAAACATAGTTAAAGCAGATAACACAGTGGTCGCTCTTTCCTAATGGGCTTTGGTATTCCATTTCCTCCACAGCATTTTCATCCTTTGTGATCACAAGATCCAAAATGGTTGGAATGTTCGTTCCTCTCCACCTTGTTGGTTTTGTGACGGTTTGGAACATGAAGTTGTCCTGCAGACAATCTATGAATTTCTGCTCAGCAGAGTTTTCACTTTTTGTACACAGTAAATCCCAGTCTATGTTAGGAAAGTTGAAATCTCCCATAATGAGATAGTGTTTGCACTTCATTCTCGAGGCTTCAGTTATCAGGTTTCTTAAACATTCATTTTTTTCTTCGGTGTTGTCTGACGGTGACCGATAAATGAGGCCGGCTAGGAAATAGTCTGTGCTATTTATCTTTATTTTCACAAATAGCTGCTCCTCAAAGGACGCTGAAAGTTTTGCCTCCTCTGCATAAAGAGAATCATGTACATATAAAAGTAGTCCTCTACCTATGCTGCTTTCAATATTTACATGAAACATCCTGTATTCCTTCGTCCAATCCATCGTATATTCAGCTGGATTAGGTGCACATGTTGCATTTTTTGCCTTCACTTCTGTTATTCCTATTATCAATGGCTTTGTGTCCCTTATCCTGACCTGGAATTCATTGAACTTATTTCTAAATTGGTCTGCATTGGTGTAAAAGAACGAAAGTTTGTTTATCACTTTAAAATTATGTACATTATTTACATTCCTCTTTGTATCTTCTATTCTGGATCGTTTACCCTGAGCTTTACCACCTTCCTTGCCCAAGGTGGACCGCGCACACGGTAATTGAATTCCCCCGAACCATTTTTATTCAGTTCCTTGGCTTTCATATACAGCTTCTTTTCATTTTCCCTCTCTGTGCGTGTCAAATCATTTGCCAGTCTTACTTCACTGAATTCAATGTTTTCCCGTAACTTTCCACCTCGTTTAAAGAACTCCACTTTTTTTTCTGGGGTTGAGAAGGTAACGAGCAATGGACGGCGTTTCTTCTCTTTATTAAATTTACCAAGTCTCACTAACTTTATCATGTTTTCCTCTGCGATGTTCACTTCACAGACATCAGCAATTTCTTTCACATGATCTCTGTCATAGGAACGACGTACTTCCTTATTGTCTGAGTCACTTTCCTCTATCCCATAAATGATCATGTTACATTCTCTGTTTTTCCTCTCATTGATTTCACTCAGTACTGCTGATACTGGCACGGTGTGTTTTCCAGATTCACTCGCAGTCTCGTCCTCTGTATCGGCTTGATTTGATTCTGTTGATTTCTGTATTGCCTCAGAAACTATATCCCTCACTTGTTCTTCACTGCATTTCTTCTCCATCTCGTCCTCCAGATACTTAATTCTACTGTCGAACATCTTCATCATGTCTTTACATCTCTCCTCAATTTCTCTGTCCACGATGATATTTTTCTCCACTTTTTCTCGGCATGGCACACAGAACCACATGATATCACTACTGTCCATCAGATTGTATTCTTCGACCGACTTGTCCAGGCACTTAATACAAAAGTGGTCCTTGCATCGTTGGCATTCCAGTAATTTATCACTGGGGTCAGAGAAAGAGTATTTGCACAAGTTGCATTTCCAAATTTCCTCCTTGTCATTTGATCCATTTACAGGTTTATTAGGGGAGTTAGTTCTGGAGTTGTTCCTAGAGTTAGATGCTGATTTAACAGGTCTACCTCTTTTCTTCAGTTTGTTTTCCCCGCTTTGATCGAGTCCGCCATCTTGGATTTGTTTACTAGCCATCCTTTGTTGGGTATTTCGTAAATTTCGTAGGCAGAATAGATTTTCTCCACCACAGATTTATTGCAAAACCTTCTCAAGCACATTAGAGACTTACCACTACCCTTTCTATACAATTAGAACTCTTTTAGTTTGCAGAAAAATAATTTTTCTCTCCTTTGTTTTTCCAGTCCGTCTACACCGGAAGTCACCGGAAGTCCAATTGATGTCCCAGGGATTTATCTAGCTATTTTGTTTTACTACCGTTTTATATGTAAAGGGGAAAAATGAGAGCCGCAGGCTCGATCTGAGCGCCGGAGGCGCGAGTATTCTAGGGGGGTCCGGGGGCATGCCCCCCCGGAAAATTTTTAAATAAATGGAGCAAAATCCTGCATTCTTAGAGCTTCTGAAGGCCATTTGTAGACCTTTACAAAGGCAACAAAAACTTTACTTTTTAGACAAAATATTAATTAACAAAAAAAAAAAAAAAAAAAAAAAAAATTAAACCAGGTCAATACTTTATTTAATTTTTTCTCTCAATATCTATCACAAATCAGTTCTGTTTTTCATGTTTCACTACTAACATTGTTTTTGTTGTTACTCCATTCTTCCGATCCATAGTGATATAAGCTCCGTCTTACTAATCTACACTTTTCTTTTTAACTCTGCAATCCAGACGTATATTTTGACATCATGGACATGGCACATGTTTACCGATCAATATCAAATAGAAGCTTGAATATTCTACTCTCTCTTTTAAAAGCGTTTGAATGACTAGGATGGTAAATTAGAATATGCTGTTAAACTTCAATCGGACAAAAACGGAAAATTTCAGTACGATGTTTTAAATATTCTCTGTTTAATCAGAGAATTTTCTATCTGAAAAGGGGAATTTTTCACTTTTTTCAAGAGGGGAAAGGTACCGTTTACCGGTAGTAAAAACAGCCTTGATAAATCCCTGTGTCCCCTCTGGTAACAAGATGGTAGAATTTTGTGTTTCTTTCATATATTGTATGATATAGTATTACACATCAAATATTATAGTTTGAACAAAAAGTCTATCGTAGTATTTGTAAAATTTGCTTTAAAGTGCTTAAAATTGGCAATTAAAATTATTTTCAAAACTGGGGAAAGTATAAAATACACGAAAAAATACCCATAGTGAGCAACAAAAAATCATCGGCGTAAATCGAAGGTTTTTACAATGCTTGGATCTGTAGCTCTCTGCTTTATTTGTCTGAATTTTCCCAAGCAGAGAGCTACACTTCTGCAGCTACCACTGGGCAAGAAAAGCTAAAACTTATTTGAAAGCATCCTGAGGTTGTGTAAAGCCAAAGTTACTCAGGTGAGCATTGTGGCCCATGGGCCTCTTGTTCTTTTGATAAAAATTGTGAGTTATCAGGATCAGTTGTGAAGATGACATATTTTTTAATTTAGATCTATCTATAAATTTTCTCTGACAGGAATTTTGAGTTGATCGAGATCAGTTGTGGAGACATGACTGTTTGTTAAAGGACTCTGCAAGCTTCACCAATGACTATTCCCCATGTGTCTTCAAATGGGATGTGGTAGAAGTAAACCGCACTTACACCACGAGTCCAGCGACGAGACAGAGTCTGATTCCCACAAAAAAAGCAAGCACAAGAAATCCCTCAGCAAGAATGACAAGTGTGTGTGCAACCCAGGAAACAAAGTGGGTAGGTTCATTTTACGAATATTAATAATACATCTGTAAATGTGTGAGTTAGTTGGTACATTAATAATAACTTTTGTACTTTATTTTAAATTGGTTTGATGGTTTTAGAATTGATCTTGCACACACTATAGTTGATATGAAATTGCTGTTGCTTTTCCCTCACCAAAAGCTTGATATTTAGGTGACAGAAATAATGGAGTGTTACACTTCATCATTAACATCTATAGACAAAGTTATGATTATCTGTCTGGTACACTATGTCACTGTGATATGTTACATCTAGAGTTGGTTGTATGTGTGACAAAATTCAAAATGACGTATATTTGTAGGTGACACCAAGGAGAACAATGACTCCTCAAAGCCAGCACCAAACAAACGGAAAGATTCTGGAATGTTCAAGCTGCCACAAAAAGGTTCCGGAGCTTTATCTTCTAATGGAGTCCAGAAGGTGACACAGGGACTGGTAGGTCATCTAAATGTTTTACTTTATATAACAATTCACTATCACTCTGAAGCATTAGGGTGAAATATTAAAATTAATTTGTTTTTGACTGGATTAACTGGAAAGTGATATTAACAATTTTATTTAACATTACAGTAACCAGATGACAGTTGGCGATATTGGAATCTCTTCTTGTTAATTAAGTTCATGGAAGTTATCTGTCAAAATTGTTTACTCCTTTTGTTAACTGCATAGTTGACCATTTTCATTGAAATTATTAACGTTTAGCCATGCAGTTCACAGTGATATATTATTTCTTGCAATATATTCATATATTCTGAAGACATTTGCAAGAGAAATGATTATAAGCTGCTAAGTACTTGATGGTATCTTCTTAATGAAGTTTTCATTTGACACCTTGATGATGGCTATAAAGTAGCTAGATTAGCTAAAAAATTCATTCACTTATATGTATTTAATATTATTGAGTGAAATCAACACAGCAGTATATTATTTTACAATAATTTCTTTGATTTTAACAGGATCTTAAGAAATCCAAACTTGATAATGGTGTGCCAAATATAACTCAACCAAAAGTCAGGTATGTAAATAATTCATATAATTTTCGGAGAGGCATGCATATTTTTTTTATGCAGATTGAAACTGATATGTATAGAGTACATTTTCTTTCTCATTTGATGATATTCAATTCAGTTGTGACAAAATAAATGAATTACTATCTTGGCATCCGAAACCTGTGCAATCCATTTCACTGTGAAGTCTGATTTTTCTTTGTTTAATCTCCAATTTTGACTGTTTTCTATGTTCTTTACACTGTGCAGTCTGACATACTTTCTATTTTGACGCAAATATTATCTATCAATGCGTACCAGAATAGGCAGGTTTCACTGTACTTGATGAATGAAGTTCCATCTTAGTCTGGTTACATTAAGCTCTTGATACTTTTATCCCTGGATATTAGCATGAAATCAAGGTTCAGTTCAAACCTGTAAATAGTCAGACAGAATTAAGCCTTCAAAAAAGAAAAGTATTGTTTTTTGCTAAAAAATTATACCAAATTTAAAAAAAAAAATGCAATATGTATGTGTCTTCCATGTCAAAACATTTCTGTAAAGTAGTAAAATACAGCAGATTTTGATTTTCTCATGGAAGAGAATTACAGCAAAACTTGGTTATAACGAAGTCACTGGGACCTATGAAATTACTTCGCTATATCCGTAATTCATTATAATCGTATAAGAAATTCATTAAATTTATATAGCTGGGGATCCAAAATGACTTCACTATATCCGTGAATTCGCAATATCTGTGTTCGTACTAAACGAGTTTTACTGTATTAACTTTGTACATTTTTTTTTGCAGGGTAACAAATAGTCAGCTAGACTTCTTCAGAATGTTGGATGAAAAAATTGAGCAGGTTTGTCAAATTTTGAGAATTTTATTTTGTTCCACATAAGATTCAGCCAATTTATAGGACTTTAGAAACAACATTTCCATGGTACATGTAATTTTCTGTTTAAAAATGTTAATGTGATACTAACTGAATTGAATGAAATTGTGCTTAGAGTCTATAGATGATTGTTGACATGGCTAGGATTCTCATGTTTTGGTTCACCTTGCCTTTTTATGGGTATTGGTTCACCTTGCCTTTTTATGGGTATTGGTTCACCTTGCCTTTTTATGGGTATTGGTTCACCTTGCCTTTTTATGGGTATTGGTTCACCTTGCCTTTTTATGGGTATTGGTTCACCTTGCCATTTTATGGGTATGTGAAATATTGCCTTTCCAATCAATTTGTTCAAAAGCTTGTTAGCTCTTCCCTGTCTATGTAATTCCTGTTGACCATATCACCTACTGTAGCAGTATACTTTTAAGTTACAATGGTACTACTTTGCCTGTTTAAGGAATTATAAGATTATGCATGTCTCTTCTGTTTTAAATGAAGTGTTTTTACTTTTCTATGATAATTGAAGTATTATTGCCCGGTACTAGAAACACGTCTTTCACAACTACCATGGTAAAAAAACCAGTAGAGCTAAAGTCTCACCAGAGACTTCTGGTCCATAAGCCAAGAGATGGAAATCTACGGAGAGGTGTGAATACATCATCGAAGTGTTAATGACACCATCTGTTTCATTACTGTGACAATTAAGTTTATAGGAAAGTGTCTTGGCTGAGCCAATCATTAAATTGTCAACTAGAGGTACTGTTAGCAATGAGCTCACTAAATTATATCCCCCACCTCCCATATGTGTATAAATGGCAGTGTCCATGTTTTGCTATGGGAAACACAAAATATGTGTCGGATCAAAAATGAAAATAAGAGGTGCACAATGGTAATAAGTAATAAAGATTCTGAGAAAGTTTCATATAATTTCATTCAGTGGTATGAGAGGAGTTGCAGATAAGAGATGGGTACCCAAAAGCGTAACAGACGGACGGACGTACAGCTAGACGGACTTACGGACATTTATATATACCCTCCCACTTTTTATAATGTTTTTTAAAAATCTTTATGAGTAACTTGTTTGGAGAAGAGCTGTCTTTCAATTATTGATTCATTAGTGTTGTGTTATTTACAGAGGTATGTAAGACATTTATTTTGCAATCTGGTGGATATAAATAACAAATTTTTAAATCACTTGAACAGGTTAGCAGTTTCTATTGAAATTAATTGTCATACATCATTCATAAGCATCATTGGATATCTAACAAGCAAATTATTTGCTTAATTATAATGAGCATTGAGTTTTTTTTGCCAAAGTTGAAATAAATCGTTACCCCCAATGCAGGGTTTTGGTGTCTCCCAGGTTAGGCTTAGCTGCACTTGCTATTCAAGTACATGTAGTTTCCTTATTTCATAAGGAACTGAACTTGACCCTAGGTGGCTCATACTGTAATGCTTCTTGATACTCAGGTGAACCATGAAGGTCCCTGGCCTATCTGTTGATGATCTAGGTGATTCTGGTTACTCTTTGAGGTCTTGGTTCAATATGTAGCTCTTGAAGCCCATGTTCAATATTCTATCAATGTCCTTTCAGTCATGAATTCTCAAAATAGTTGTCTTGTTTATTTTAGACATAATGTTTGACAATTAGACAACACTATACAATTAGAACGCTTCCACAGACCAATTTTGTCTCTGATACCTCTGCATGGCACCAAATAACCTTTAAGCAAATCAATATTGTGATTCCATTCTTGTCTAAGTTTATGATATTAATTTTTCTTTTATTCATTTCAGGGTAGGGATTATGAAACAGATGAGGAATCGGAAATAGCCAATGAAAACGAAAAGCTGTCCAACGGACAGGATTAACTATTGTTTTGTTGTGTGTATATTGTCGCTGGATAACAGATTTAGTCATGGAGTGGGGAGAAGAAATTCCATTCTGTGATAAAACCATGTCTTTTATTTTATGTAAATGGCAGAATGCAGTATGCAAAAATTCATTGGTGGAAACCCTTAGACTTGAGTTAATTGACAAAATTTGGTGATTTGTTCATAAAAACTTTATTTTATTCACATCAAGCAGAGGACTGATTGATCAAAGTAAGATATTACTAAATGGCTCATTTGAACAATTATATATAGTATATTATATTGTACTGAATGACCATGTTTAACAGAGTAGCACTAATCAGTAGAAATGAGGCAATATTTCTACAAATTGTTATTAGGTGCTAAATATGTGTATGTACTAAGAGCACATGGAACACAGGGCATATTGTTTATTTCCTGTTTTTATTTTTCATTCTTGGCCCCCTAAATATAAACATGTTTCATCATAACTTTTAATTACATGTAGTTATGATCCAGAGGATTTGAACACCTACGTATAAATTTAGTCAACTATATTTTATCCTTGAGCCATTTTTTTCTTAAATTCAGAATGTTAATTAATTGTCATGTCCATTTTATGTTGGTTTAATACGAGATTTTGTTTTGTGTTTGGTATTTTGTTAAAAGGACAAGGTATGGTAACGACCAATTCTGGCCCCTTATTGGATGTAAAAATCTGAACATCTTTTTAATTGAGATAGCTTGTAGTTAAGAACTTAAAATGATGCTTGTAACAGAACCAGCACTACTGGATAATTTTGATAATGTTCACATGGAGGCAACAAGAGAGTGCAGAAGTAGAATATTTTCCTGAATTTCCTCAATTCTGGTGGAATTTCGTCATCTTTGAGATATTTTTCTCTTTGGGAAACTTAGAGCACAAGCTTGTCTATCTTAGATTTTTATACATATAATGCATATGCTAGAAATGCAAGCTTGTGTTCTACATTTTCTGAAACAATTGTGCTGTAAAATTGATGAAAAATGAGAAAATTTGGAAATTGACATATTTTCTGGCCTCTGTGATCACTGTGTATCCATAATTTTGAACGAATACTCACTTTGTGGCAGGGGTGACAACAGGTTTTTATTTATAAACTGTTGCATCATTCTAAAAGCCACTCAATATCAGGGGCCAGAAAGGGGTCTTAGCTTATCTTGTCCTTTGTCTGAACCTTTAAACTCTGCCTGTGTTAAACTAGGAAATCCATTTTTATGCACATAAGTGATTTTGAGAAAAAAAGAAAGTTGACATGATCTCAGATACTCATTGCCATGTGAACAGTCCCTGTAGATATTAGAAACCAAATGATATTGTATACCTGAAATCATCATAGGCTGCATATGTCATATTTGACATTTTCTTGAATCATAAATACATATGTAATTGACATAATTATGCATTAGTTTACTCCTATGTCAATCATTTTCATTGTAAATTGAAAGCTTAGGAAGTATAATTCCAGGTTTGTATATACTAAACAGAAACATTTTACAAAACATCTTATTAAGACCAATAAGGCTTATGTGCATTTATTAAAATTCCCTTTTAAATAATTGTGCAATATGTTGTATCCAATAATATTTTTGTCTTCAATTCAAGATTTGATTTTTTTATTTATGCTATTTATTTGTGGGTATATTTATTCTTTTGCTAAGACAAATCATTTTATTCTTATTGATTTTTTATTTAGGATATGTTGATATTCAATGAAACAAGTATTAATTCTGGCCATGCAATATGAAACTTAAAACATGTACAGCTCATTTTGTTAATCTGTTCTTTAATGATGCATTTAAATATTACCTTTGTTCCATACCAAAGTTTTATTTTTTAAAAATTTTATGCTTCAGAAGCTAACTCTCTCCAAAACAGAACAGTATTTGTAATTTTCTTCATTCTTCTTTTCTGAATCTAAATTCAAAAGATATAACTAAAGATAATGAGAGATGAAAAAGATAATGAAATGCAATATGGTAAAGTGACTATATATGTAAGTATACCCAAGATATCATAGGATTTGGTTGTCAGAAAATATATTCATATGGCCAAGTGGACATGGGTTACCATGGGGACAAAATAATGTGACTAAATTGAGTGGGGTTGTCAGGGATATAATCATGTGACTGAGTGTGCCTGGGTTGTCAGTGGAAATAATCATGTGACTAAGTGTGCTTGGGTTGCCAGGGGAAATATTCATTTAACTAAGTAGCCTGGGTTGTCAGGGATATAATCATGTGACTAAGAGTGCCTTGGTTGTCAAAAGAAATAATCATGTGACTAAGTGTGACTGGGTTGTCAGGGGATGTAATTTGATGTATTATCCATGTTTCATTTTATCAAGAAGAATAGTCAATTTAAAAGTATATTATGTAAATTATTGCTCATGTTAAGCCATGTGATGCCATATGAAACTCTAATTTTTGTCTGAACTTTTCATAGTTTTACAATATCATCTCCATTCCACTTTGTTTAATAGTGAACTGTACATTGTTTTATGTTTTCTAAATGTTTATGCCTGAAAATGACAAAAAACAATCAAAAAAGCATTTGTATCCCTACATATTGCATTAATGTATACAGTGATTGATTTCGCATTCATATGTCATTTTTGTAAACACATTGAATTAGCGTCTTATGTAGATACTTTGTTGTTGCATTCCATACATTTTCTTGAATTTATAATACACAGCAGCTTATGAAATGCACGAATATACTCTAGCTAACAGAATGATAAAGAACTGAATTTTTTTATTTTTTTTTTAATATTATTAAATTGCGGTCTGATGGCAGAAATTTTATTACTTTATATCAGTTTGTGTACAATTATTGTTATGAAGCATTAAATGATAATTTTTATACTACTTTGTGTCAAATGTTTAAGTCAAAATTTGCAGTTCAATTTTTTTCGTTTGTCATACAACCTTGTTTGACTGAGGGCATGTAATCACAAAGTATAATTATTTAACTTTTATAAGGATATTCTTGCACCATTTGGTATTTTAAAAGTTATTTTTGATCTTTTTTCTCAAAACATTCTATTTGTGGAAGTTTGAACTTCATCGATATAAATGTCATTAGTCTATGACATCAACTGTGTGATGTGAATATTTATTTTTTGCATACACCTGGTGTGTAGGTGTAAATTTATTTATTTAAAGGTGCTGCAACACCACGTAACAAAGTTTTTTCTTATCCTAAGGTGAAATTTTCAATTATTGTTCATATTTTATTTAGCATTTAGAGTTTAAAGATACTCAAATGATAGAAAGTTCAATACTATGAACTTGTTTGCAGTATCAAATGACCTTTCCACCCTCGGATGTTTTTAAAAAAAAATTCCTCTATAAATTTGATAATCTTGATAGGTTATCACTTTCCATGAGAGTATGGTATAGTCCTGTAAATAGCTTCTTATTATTTTTAGATTATGTTGCAATAGCATGAAATGCTCAATGATATCAGGTAGTATTTTGAGGGGTGGAATTATGCATTTTAAAAATATTTTTTGTGTCTGTTTTTTCATCAAAAATCATATAGTGCAATTTTACAAGGTGTATGTCTACTTTCTCGTATGTTTTGTTTTTTGTATGTTATGCAATACATCTTTTTTATGCTCCTTTTTGAATCTAACAAAAATAATTGAACATTTGTGAATTCACAATGAAGAAGGACCATTTTTACAGTCATTCTTTTTCATTCTTTGAAGTTACTTTAGAAAGATGGAGAAAACATATTTTCCAATGTACAGAACATGCAAAGAATATTAATGCAGTGAAAGAAAATATTTTACCCATTCAGAACACAGGCACTTGTTTCATAAACAGGGTATTTCCTACTTATTTTTGTCATAAAAATAAGTAGGTAGTATCTCATATATGAAAGAAGTGCCTGTGATTCAGAATTTAAAAAAAAAATAGAGCTATATCAATGAAACATGTACAAATGATCTTTAACAGTGTAGTAGAGTTCATTTTAAACAATCAGCTGTTATATTTTATGTCTATTTCAGTCAAATGCACTGAGATATTGAATACAGAGAAAAATATATATTCCATGTGCCGTTGAGATAAGATTAGGCCTAAGTCTCACACGAATTAAAACATCTTTAACATTTCTGTTATAATTTTGTTGTCTGCCAAAGATAGTTCGTCTGTGATCTTTATAGAAATTCTATTATTTAATTGTCTTTTTTTCATGTTCATTTTGTTATTGCTTGTTTTAAATATGTATGGCAAAAAAATAAAATTTGCATAATAAAGAATAATTTCTAACTTATGTATAGTTTTATCATGATAATCAGTTGTTTAAAGACACCAGTGCTAAATGTTTTTGGACATTGAGAAAAATATATTGTTTAAAGGTATTGAGCTTATATATTTAATTTCACTACATGGTACAGTGTTCCTAGCATTTACCCAGGATAAACGTTCAAACACAACACAATATCAGTGAAAATCGGGAATCGAACTATCAAATACTCAGTATTACGGCAGATACCACTGTCATAAAAATTACCCAAGATTCCATACATATAGCATGCATTTACTGACGTTGTCTTGTTTTGAAGTATATAAGGAAACAATTTTAAATAAAACTAGAAAAAGAACTATGTGGAAATCTTAATACTGCACTATAAACTAGTCTGAAATAGTTCCATTTCTCAGCGCTATCAGAAATAATCTCACCTGCCGACATTACGTCAGAGACAGAGTTGAAAGATTATTTGAAAAGGAAAAGGCCAAAACAAGCAAAGATTTGGTTCTTGGTCTATCCTGCTGCGATATGTGATTTAGGACAAATCCGCCAAATATTTTGGCCTGTTCGGAAACAACGGCTATATACATGTATAAAGTATAACCGCAAACACGAGAAAAGTGTCTTGTAGTCCGATTTATATATCCCTGTATATTCACAGGCAACTGATTTTTTTGTTATCGTCAAGTAGTAAATAAAGTCTTAGAACGAAATATTCTACCCCCTCTAAATGAATATATAAAAACTCAAAGAATTTGATACTGGATATAGATTCTTTTACTACTTGCTGATAAAAGTACAGGCGCATGTGGTTCAACGACGGTAGTATTGTTTTTAGGAATTCGAAAAATGTTTTAGTGTCAGAATGAAGGGTGAATGAAAATCGTCAAGTTACCAGTGTGGAGGAATTAGTAGGAACTACATGTATTTAACTTCCGTTGGCCTTTTACGAAGTAATCTATGACTGTCTATTTCTGTCACCTGTGTCGGTATCTTTCGATTGGCCACCATCTTCAAACGACCTCTTAAAGAAAACTTTTCAAAATGGTAAGTATTTAACTTTTTTCGAAAGGACTTCTACTTTATGTTCAGGTTTTAAAGTTTCAAATTTTTAAGAACTAAATGATGAAGTATATTTTAAAATCTTAGATCCGGTTCTTGGTATTGGCTGTTCTTTTCGTTGGAAGTCATGGACAAGGGTAAATATCATTTCCGTAATCTTTAGATATATGTAATTTTAGAAAAATGCAAAATCATGTTGCCAATACATAATAATTACAAATATTATAAAAACAAATTAACGCTTAAGACCAATGGAGTGTTCGCTTGAATGTATGTAACTTCCTTCAGATGACACTATTATAATATATCTGATCATTTTCTAAATTTCATTTCAAATACATGTAACGGAATTAAATGGTTTTAATGCCTTTGTATTGATAAATACATCATGCTTCTATGTGCTGTACAATGACGTGTCAATGATTGTTATCCCCTCGCAACGGAGTTGGAGGGGTATAGGAATTTTATGTTTGTGTTGTTTGTTGGAAAGATGGTCTAGTTTGTCCTTTGTATAAAACGGAAGTGATGTAATTTAATTGTATCAGATCGATGTCGAATGCAGCCTTAATTAATATATGAAAATAAACATGCTCTTTGCGAGGGGATGCTCCCTTTGCGGTTCCCTTGTTTTGCTTTACATGCTTTACAATGATCTGTCAATGCTTGTTCTGCTGGCTTTTATCTGTGCTTCTCCCTTTCTTCCTACATTAATATGATCCCCAACTCCTCCAGTGAGGTGGATCCAAAGCTGGACATGTACGGCATCATTAATGTCCTCTACCTGAAGGCCGACAAGGACATGAACGGAATTATCTCGGAACCTGAGCTAGAGGACGTCTATCATGGCTTCGATACCGACGGTAACCAACAAACTTAGCTAGTCGCTACCATTAACAATAATCATACAGTAACCATTTATTAACAAAACATCCATGCCTTTAAAACGTATTAATTTTTGCTGGATTTTTTCATATGATATTTATTTTAATTGCTAGAAATCATTTCAAGAGTAGGCCATTGGAAAGTATAGTGTCAGAATTTGTTTTATAATATTTAAACACAATGCAGAGGTTTGAAATTGTGTCAGAATTTGTTTTATAATATATTAAAATACAATGCAGATATTTGAAATTGTTTCTAAGGTAATGGTCAGGTGACCAAAACGGAGTTTGTGTCGCTATGGCAATCGATCACGCACCAGAATCAGGAGCACGCAGAAGCTTTCTTCTACCTTGCTGATCTAAATGATGACAACATTATTGACGCAAAAGACCTGAACCCAATGTATAATGTCTTCGACACAGACGGTAAGTATTAAACATCCTTCTATATTATTTAATGGTTAGGTATTGTCATTTCGGTTGTTGTCAATTTTTTGAGGAACTTAGACACAATATGTATAGTAACAGAATATATTCCAGTTCTTCGTATTCTTGTATAACACCCGTACCATAAACCAAACTTTTCAATTCAAAATTGTGACCCTGCTGTTGAAGGCTCTTTCAATTATCTTGAAAATAAAATATCAATACTGTTTGAAAAATTCTTGAGAAGCAATACATTTCAACAATATTTGTTCTCTAATTGAAATTTTTTATATCACCTCACAGAGCTCACATCAAAAAAATATCCTGAAAATGTTCAATAATTTGTTTCATTTATATTAACCATATCGTCTATTTTCTTCCATCGACAGGTGACGGTCAAGTAACAGCCAACGAATTTGCAGAGAAATGGATTGGGGTTAATAATTTTATTTTCATTTTATTTACTTTTCTGCATGAGATATGTTTCAAGTTTTGGAAACTTTGTTTTTATCTCTACAATAAAATGAGAGATATCTCTGTAATTTTCAGATAAATTTTATTTTCCGAATAAATAGCAAAAGGGTTTGCCATAAATAACAGTTATAAAAATTGATACTGTTGTAAATGCAATTCTTTCAATCTTTCATTGCAGAATTTTATTCCCCCCTACGATAATATAATAATTTATGTTATTATAAAATTATGCTGTAGATCATTTTGGAAGCTCCGCTCGCTGTATTGTTCGAAAGGGCTGATGTCAATAAAGACAACATACTCACAAAACACGAATTCTCACTCTACTTCTCATCTTTTGACACAAATGGTAAAGTTCCTTCTCTTTTAAATTGTTTTTTTTTCCATTTGCTTTTGTTTGGTCTTTAATCGTTAAATGAAGAATAAGAAAGAAATGAAACTGATTTAATAAGGGCACTTGCATAACCAGTAAATTATCAAGAACTGTACATGTATATCCGGTTTTATCGCGTTTTGGAAATTTTGCGAAAAGGGGGTAGATTTGTACAGATTTATTTTGCGTGAGTTATTTATTACGATTGAAGATATTAAAAATGTTAATGTTTTTATGTCACATTGTATAGCTGACATAATTTCTGCGTGTTTTATATTTTGCGAATCAAAAAATGTCGCAGCTGCAGAAAAAGCGACGAATAGATCACCGCGAAAAAAACGGATATTTATCAGTGAATAAAGTGACAGTGGTGATAAGGTGACTCAAATTACTACCAAAAATTACAAAGACTGAAAATACATCGATGTACTTCAAAATTAAAGCATCTTTCTACATGCAGGAGATCATAGTGTGACGAGAACTGAATTCGAACACGGCTGGGTCTCTTCCGGTTTTGGAACCACGCAGGAATCGGATACTTTTTTCGCCGCTTTGGACACAGACGGTGATGGACGCATCACTGCGTCACATGATCTGAACACAAGATTTACCACGCTTGATGTTAATCGTAAGTCATTCTGAAAGGTACCAAAATTGTGGATCACAAAATAATATTATTCTCCTATAAATGCCAGCTTTAGGTCAAGTTAATGTCAACTTTAGATTCCTCCGGCAGTATTATTTTGTTGTAGTTCATATTTTGATTTTTCCTCAGCCTTTTTGTTTTTGTTAAATCTCTTCTGAATTTAAAATGTATTTTATGACAAACAAATGTTATTTCGATCTAAATGCTTCTTTGGCAGATGACCATCATCTTATCATTTTGGAAGTCGTTAAGGTAATACACATTTCTTTTCGATTTCTAAATACATGTATTTATACATGTATATTTTTTATGATTTTTTTTTCATTTTGCGTATTTTTTTTTTATAGATGGCAGCACTTTTACCGAAACCTTCTCTACAAGGTTAATGTGATATTTTAAAAAACAGTATACCTACTGTAAAATCTACGGGATTGTCGGACCAGAATTAATTGTAATTCAAAATAAATAAAATTTACGATTCCTTGTTCCTCTTTCTTGAGTAGTTATTTTAGTGAAGAAATTAGAGATCAAAATTTTAAAATGGAATGCAAAAGTTATGTCAAAATATCAATCGCCCATCATCCACGATCAATATTTCCCTAGGATGAAATGTCCGACAGAGTGTTAACCCTTTTGGTCCGCCATTCTAAAAATTCTTAGTTTTCCTTGTCTTTTTTGTCCTTTATTAATTTTCTTATATAGACAAAACAAAAGTCAATAGAATTTCATATAAAATATTTTACTCATGAATAAATAAATATATAAAGCTTAATATAAATTGATGATCCAAGATGAAAATCCCTCAATTAGCTTAAAAGATGGTCCACTATTGTATTTTTTTTGTAAAAAAAAGTTTCTTGAAAGCGCTTGGAGAAGATGGTGAAAGAAAGTTCAAAGGATGAAAGAGATCAAAGAAAAAAATCTTTTAAAAAATCCAGGACTTCTCTTCTTTTCGTTCCTATCCTTCTTCTGAAAAAAAAAACGAGGAGTTAAATGTGAGTAACATTCACAATTTTTGGTTTAAGGAATTCCATTTTTTAGCCTTCTTGCATATCTATGGAAACAAGTAATAAAACTCATGTGTCAACTGAATGAGGAAGAAAGTTCAAGAAATTGTGTTATATGAATTCATTTTTTCATAAAATCCTTTTTAAAAAAAACAAACAAAAAAAAAACAAACAACTTGTTGGCAGAAAATAGGTTTTCGTCAGATTTGATCTATGTGGTGTGGTCTAGCTTTATTGTAAAATAAGATGGACACTTCACCCTCTCCATTCTCTTGGAACATTAAATATACTAGCAATACTTAGCCATATCTTTATGTATCTCTGAATTTATTTATCATGGCCACATCACTAAATTTTCCATTTACCAACCCATTCTTGTAGAGTACTAATACTTGAAAATGTCATCACGCTAGCGCTTCTTTTTCGTATATTGTCATTTATAATTATAAATTAAACGTCAGAAAACATGCCAATCACACATGTTTTCACATGTTTCTTCAATTAAGACCTCTCATTTAGCTATAATGAAGAATAGTCATTCCATTTGTCCATAAAAGTAATCATTTCCTTTGTTTCCCAAAGAGCCTGCATTATCAGAAAGGAATACTAATTCCCGTAAATCTATAGATATTTTTACAAAATATAAACACTATGGTAAATTGGTAAACCTTTATTTTTTGCGTTTCTTCTGCTTTAAACAAACTAATTTCATTGTCATTAAAAGTGTTTTTCTGAAACAAACTATAACAGTTACTGTTACTTGTCCATTAATTTTCAGAAAAATATATTAAATGCATTGCAAACTTGCATTGGAAATTGCTTGAAATATCGACAGTAAAAAATTATAGATTTACTGATAAAAATGAATCTATGAATTTCTTATAGGAATTGCAGAAAACAAATTAAAAATATATTTAAAGTATTTGATAAAAATTGATTTTTAATATAGGGTAACATTGAATGCGTAAAAATATTTTTGTAAAATTCTTTCAAACCATTTTTTTAAGAATAAAAGTGAAAGCGTAGATTTAATTTATATTCATAATTTCTGAACTTTCTATTTGTATGTCTTTTATGGGACTTTAAACATTGTTTCAACATATTTTATCCAATATGTGATTCTAGTAATTAAATTAAAAAAATAAAGCAAAGTCAATAAAATGAATTGTGTAATTATTTTAGTCACCTGATTCGTTATGACAAATGTTGAATTTGTTATAACGACTTTTAATTTGATAAAATAAGTAGTAATTTTGTAAACTGTTAAACACTCCCATTGTCTTACAGAAGCACATGTCCTTAACAACCTTCCATGGCTTTGTAATTATATATACACATGAACAATAAAAAAAGGAAAAGAAATATTTTTAAAAAATATTTTTATTACACTTCATTCAAAGAATTATGACATAAAGACGGATTTCTATTTTATAGAATATAATATCTACGAGAGGATAACAAGGAATGTACACGACAAGTTGTCTCAGTGTCCGTATGGTGACCTCAGGGAACAAATGACCTAACCGCATGCTGCAAAGAAAATTGTAAACACGTAAATTTACAGTTTGAGGGTACAATAGAATCGATTTAATTGAATATGTGAATAGAAATGTTTTGCTATTTTATGAAGTTGAAGAAACTCACTATTTTCCGTGATGGTACGAGATTCGACCACTCCCGCATTACACATGGCGACCGTAGCTTTAGAGTCTCCCTTTACTAAAACAATCACTCGTTCGTTTCCTGCGTTGATCTCTTTGCCTGAATTTGATTAAACATATCTTTTTAAACAACTTTTAAAAATGACAAAATTAAAACAGCAGTCAGATTCAATAATTTAAATTACTAGGGACGTTGCATTAATCAACACGTCAGCATTAAGTTCAATCAAAACAGTTTTTAAATCCAATTTTGGATTGACCTTTATTATTAACCTTACCGCTGTTAAATGTTATCTTGTAGGAACAGCTGCTCAGTTTCTGGTATTTCATGCAACGATAAACGACGAAGTCCGCTCCAAAAATGTTTACTGGAGGAGAACTACAGAGGGGAAAAACCCTGTTATGTTTTTTTTTATCCTTCAGCAAAGATTTCTTTTGATGAACATTTCATTTCAAGATTTAATTTAAAAAAGGTAATCTTCAAGGTGACGGTTTGCTAAGATATTCTCTCCTTGTGTACCTACGCCAGTAAAATTTGATCCGTGTCCTCATCGATACAAGTCCAGCTGTTAACTCTACTGCCAAATAATAATGTCACATCCCAACCAGTCACCCCCGAGGACTTGAAATCCACCTTTTTGTTTGTGCTCGAGTCCGTCCATTCACCAGTCAGGTCTGGCGGGAAAGATGTACAGACCGCCAAACCTAAAGTTATGTTCAAAAATACCAACCAAAAAAAAAAAATGCAGAAATTTTAAGAATGGTCTCACTTGCAAAAAGTGGTATTGGATGTTACTTAATTCTACCACAGCATTTGAGGCATTGGCACATACTTTCAGGTTTGTTTGTTTGTTTGTTTTATTTTTGCTTATGAATTCGGGTATCAACTCACCTAATATGCACTAACTGTCACCGGTAATGTGTTCATTTTGTCTCTATAAGCTTTTTAAAATATCGTTTTCAACTAATATAGCTTAATCGTTGATCAATATATTCAAACCAAAATTTCGGGATTTTATTATAAATATCAAAAATCGTACACTCAATGAAATAAACTAGAGGTACTGTGAGCAATGGGCTCACTAAATGATACCCCCCGCTTCCCATATGTGTATAAATGGCAGTGTCCATGTTTTGCTATGGGAAACCCAAAATATGTGTCGGATCAAACAGTAAAATAGGAGGTGCACAATGGCAATATGTAATAAAGATTCTGTGAAAGTTTCATCAAATTTCATTCAGTAGTATAAGAGGAGTTGCGGATAAGAGATGGGTACCCCAAAGCGTAACAGACGGACGGACAGACGGACGGACGGACGGACGGACGGACGGACAGACGGACGGAATTAACGATTACTATATACCCTCCCGCTTTTCAAGCGGGGGGTATAAATATATAGTGTTCACCTGACATTCACAGCAAACGCCTTTCAAAAGCATCGACATACTAGTTAATATACTTGAGTTATATTTCAACATCATAAGAAAAACTAGAGAAAGAAATAACCAATCTTCGCAGTAATTTTAACACCAAACGTACAATTTAATACATGTATGATTATAACATACACTGTACTCACATGTAGTTATAAATGGCAGAAGAAGCAAAAGTGAACGTTGTTCCATTTTTGTCCTCCTGTTAAAAAAAAAGACACCTTCGTTTTAAAAATGTATACAATTACTTCAAAAATCATTCATTTTTATTATTCAACCTTGGCATTGATAAAAAATTCACATACATTGTATGTTGAAATAAATGGCTGTCTTCCTGTTTAAAAAAAATGACACTTTCGTTTTGTATCCAATTGCTTCATTTATATATTTTTTATTATTAAACCTTAGCATTGATCGAAAACACACATCTGTTGAAATAAATAGCCGTTCTCCTGTTTCAAAAAAATGACAACTTCGTTTTGATATTTTATACAATTACTTCAAAAATCAATTTTTATATTATGATTTAACCTTAGCATTGATTGAAAACTCATATACATGTATGTTGAAATATATAGCCGTTTTATCCAAACTTGCATTGCCTTGTTTGTTTCGATTTTTAGTTTTTTTACTTCTAATTTGAAGGATTTTGTAAGACTCATTTACCTCTACATAGTATTAAAAACGATTGAAACACCACTTAATTTTTTTTTTCAATTATCTTGAAAAAATCACATTCTTTTTATTGTTTAAAAATTTCTGGCGATGCAATAACAAATACGTTTCACGGATATTTCTTTCTCGGTCTTTTATTTCATCTCACATGCAGAGCTTACGGTAAAAAAGGTTCCTGAAAATGTTCAATAATTTGAGATATAGAAAGTTAATGTTACTACAAGTGGATAAAGTTGTTATGTTTTATGTGGAGATCGTGAACCTTGAAGAAATTTCTAATTAGCTGTATCAGTAGACATGAGCTTTCTAAATACCCAGCTCATTGAAGGATGTTGATATTTTTACCCAAATAATCAATCATATTTCTCGAAAAATATTAGTATGTTTAAATATCACTACAGATATCTTTGTTACTTTATTACCAGATCATATAGCATATTTAAGATATTTCAACTATCGAAACAAAAATGCTATTAATATCGTATTCATTTTTTAAAAATGCATTACTTTTATTTTCTTCAAATTAGTGTTTGTGTTTTTTCCAGTTACTAGAAGCTACGTAACTTTACTCACATTTCAAGTCCGTTTTAGTAGCAAATTACAACTAATCAGTTTTACTCACATGTCGTAGCCAGATACTAGTAGCTAGCTCTAACAACATTTAAAGTCAGTAAATAGTAGCCAGTTACTAGTAGCTAACTTTACTTACATATCGTAGCCAGTTACTAGTAACCAACTTTATTTACTCGTACTTGTCGTAGACAGTTACTAGTAGCTAACTTTACATATCTCAATAATTTGTTTATAGGGATATTGACTAACACGGCTATTCTCATATATTCAGGTGACGGCCAAGTAACAGCCAACGAATTTGCACAGAAATGGATCGTGGATAATAAAATCTAATTACTTATCTTTGGTTATAAAAAGGATGATAAGTTATTAAAGAACTCTGGTGGACAATTTTTTAAGATAAAAGAGTAATTTATTCTTTAAAAAATCACCCCCTAAATTATATAACTATTAACCGTTATTGTTTGCTGTATATCATTTTGGAAGCCCCACTGGCTGTATTGTTTGAAAAAGCTGATGTCAATAAAGACAACATACTCACACAAGACGAATTCTCTCACAAACGGAAAAGTTCTTTTACTTTCAAATTGTTTTTTTTTTTATTTGCTTATGTATTTGGTCTTTTACTGTTTAATGAAGAATAAGGAAAAAATGAAATTGATCCAATAGTAGCACTTGCATAACCTATATTATCAAGTATACGTAAATTAACCAGTGAACATAGTGACGGTGGTGATTACATGTAGGAAACTCAAATTACTACTAAAAATTACGAAGACTGTACAACACATTGGACTTCTTCAAATTTAAAACATCTTTCTACATGCAGGAGATCATAGCGTGACGAGAACTGAATTCGAACACGGCTGGGTCTCTTCCGGTTTTGGAACCACGCAGGAATCGGACACTTTTTTCGCCGCTTTGGACACAGACGGTGATGGACGCATCACTGCGTCACATGATCTGAACACAAGATTTACCTCGCTTGATGTTAATCGTAAGTCATTCTGAAAAGCACCATTTACCATGAAAGATAATTCAAGTAATTGTGAATCACCAAAAAATATTATTCTCCTACACATGCCATTGTTTAGTCAAGTAAATATCACGTTTATATTCCTCCGACAGTACTGACATTTTGTAGTACTAAGAAAATATTTTAATTTTTCCATACCCCTGTTCTTCTGAAGTTACACAATATTTTATGACAAATAAATGTTATTTTAATCTAAATGCTTTTTTCACAGATGACCATCATCTTATCATTTTGGAAGTTGTTAAGGTAATGCATATTTCTTTTCAATTTCTTAATACATGTACATATTTTTTAGGATTTTTTAAAATATTTTTATTTTTTCAGATAGCAGCACTTTTATCGAAACCTTCTCTACAAAGTAAATGCTATATTTTAAACACAATTTACATACTGTAAAATGTACGGGATTGTAATTCAAATAAATTACATTTATACCATCGTTCTTGTTTTTCTGACTGTAAACCAAAATCTCAATACATGAGTCTACTCTGCTCTGTTTTTTGCCAAATATAACATGAACCTTTCAGTTGTTGTAAAAGAGCATTTATTTGTATGCCAAACAAAAATTACCAAATAAGGACACAAATTAGAAATGACCATATTTAAACATATTCTTAATTAAGATTAAACAAATATAATAACAACCTAAAAATAGGACTAGAAAAAATTTTGGCAAAAAAGATGGGACAATCCTTTAAAAAACGCAAACAACACTTTAACAACACACACAAGACTAGAATAAACACACCTTGGGAACATGATATAACACATTATGTTGAGTATTCCAAACATGCTAAGAATAAATTTCCACTTATTATGCCTAGCTACAGTTGAATAAAAAACTGAGTCATATGACAAAAATTTTATGCGCCTCGGTGTACATCATAATCCATTCACAAATGTAGAGGTAGCAGGGGAGGGGGTGGGTGAAAACATCTTCATGACAGTGCACATGCAGACTTGAGACAATGATTACGTGACAAGATCAAATTATAATTACTGGTACAGGTTGCGTGTGGCACTACAATATCCGGAAAAATCTTAACAATATGTAATTTATTGATAGATGGTATAAATTACTTTATGTTGCACATAAATACAATTATACCATCGTTCTTGTTTTTCTGACTGTAAACCAAAATCTCAATACATGAGTCTACTCTGCTCTGTTTTTTGCCAAATATAACATGAACCTTTCAGTTGTTGTAAAAGAGCATTTATTTGTATGCCAAACAAAAATTACCAAATAAGGACAAAAATTAGAAATGACCATATTTAATCATATTCTTAATTAAGATTAAACAAATATAATAACAACCTAAAAATAGGACTAGAAAAAATTTTGGCAAAAAAGATGGGACAATCTTTTAAAAAACGCCACAAACTTGTCAATAACTAATAAGTTATAGACAAGTGCCCCATCCAGAGGAGACGAATGTAAAGCAGATACACAGCGGAAATGTCAACAACGTAATACTTATCAGGTTGACATTTATAAGAAAATTGTCATACATAATCTATAGTAAAGGGGGGAAACTACTGCACAATTTGTTCTACTGTACAAAGTATCCTATAAAAACATTTTCTACATTTCCAACAAACTTGAAACTGTTCACAATTAAACCTAGCTACCACAGGAGTCATATGAATTGTAAAGAATTACCGGTATGTCACAAAGTCCTGAGTTGAAACATAAGTAGCAAACTATATGTACAAGCAAATCGTTTCAATAATACAATTTTTAAAACAAACCTGTGTAAAATTTTTATATACTATACAATATTGAGAAACTTTGCATAATGAACAAGCAACATGTCCCCAAATATTAATTACAAACAAAAATACATGCACCATCAAATTCAATGTCTACAACAACGCTGCCTCAGACAGTCATTGTATTGATAAGAAAAAGTTTTATATGTACATGTACCCAAATGCTGCCTCAGACAGTCATTTTAACTACCAGTCACTAATTCCCAGCAATGCCGCCTCAGACAGTCATCGCAGTTATTCAGAACTTCACAAAATTAATGCTGCCTCAGACAGTCATTTAAGTTACAGATATAATTCAATGTCCACAACAACGCTGCCTCAGACAGTCATTGTATTAATAAGAAAAAGTTTTACATGTACATGTACCCAAATGCTGCCTCAGACAGTCATTTTAACTACCAGTCACTAATTCCCAGCAATGCCGCCTCAGACAGTCATTGCAGTTATTCAGAACTTCAGAAGAGTTACATATTTTTATAAATGTCACATTATGCCTTCTACTTCACTCACAGGTTCAACAATCCTATAAGAATTCTACCGTTTGTGAACATAATAATAAAGCAATGTTAAAAATCCAACAACACTATGGGTACTGAGCTTGAACCCCCCTAAAATACAGCTGCCTCAGACAGTCTGACCTGATTGGGAAACATCAATACAATCAAATACTGGGATTCGAAAGTAACGTTTTACTGCATTTGAATTCCAACGCCCCATTAGACGGATTTTATCCTCAGGTATTTTACACTGAAAAGCATGTGATGCTGCACCTATCCGAAAGCTATGCGATTTATAGTGCTTTGAGCTAAGCCCAATAAAAGCCAAAATGTTTTTCAATGCTGATGTATAAAATGACTGTGTTACTGGAGCAGATCCATCAAAAGAGAATAAAGGCCCTTGTTTTGTCCTTCTTACTTTCAGATACTTTGCCATTGATTGTACTGGACAAATAGATTTGGATTTTTGAGCTGCTATTTGCAGACATACTGGTCTGCCTGTGTGATTGTGCTTGAAATGTTGAAGTGTCAAAGTCATAAATTCCTTTTGTTTTTTATCTTTAGACAAATTGCTTAATTGAATTAAATTCTTGTGCCCAGACCTTGTTGACTTTGCTTTTATTTCTCCCACTCGCAAAAAAGCAAAAAAGCTAAGTGTAAACATTGCAGCCAGAAGACGCTTGTTATACTTTCCACAAACCGTAAACTTTAATGCTCGAATTAACTGAAATAAGATTTTTGGTGTTATCGGTAATCGAATATCAGGTGTACTTGACAAGTGTTGAGCACCCTTAAGGAGTTTTTTCACGACAAAAAATTGTGTTGGATCTGCTAGCCCTTGAATTCTATGATAGTAAGAGATCCCAGCTTAATATGTATTGATTGTGTTATAAGATCTGCCCTTGCGGTGTAACCATGCTATAAAATATACTACATCTGTACCTTGGGATGGGAATTTAGCGCTTGTTGAGAACGTTTGCCTATGGTATTTGTCATATACAGCAAGTGCGGTCTTGTAAGATGAATGAGTATTTTGAGAAACTGCTGCTTGCAATAATTCAGATGCAGTTTCTTCTAAACTTGAAGGTACTTGACTGGTATGCTTTCTGGGTATTGATCCATATGTGGTGCCAAAGCCCTGAATTTTTCGACCTGTAAACGCGAAAGTAAATCTGGTAAGATATTCAGTTTCCCAGGTATATGTTCTGCTTTGAAAAGAATGTTAAAGCGTAAGCAAGCTAAAACCAAACGTCTTACTAAATGCATAACTGGAATATCTTTTGATGATATTTTGTTAATAATATTAACAACTGCCATGTTATCTGAATAAAAAAGGATAGAGCTGTTGGCTAAACTCTCCCCCCAGGTTTCAACCGCTACGACAATAGGAAATAATTCCTTAAATGTAATATCATATTCCTGCAAATGTATCTCTTCCCAGCCCCCATAAAACCATTTCTTGCCTAAAACTGCCCCATATCCTAAACTTCCAGCTGCATCAGTGTACATGTTAAGTTTATCTGAGTTTTGCCATACCTCATCTATGAATATAGATTTTCCATTAAAATTGTTTATGAATTCACTCCATGCTTCTAAATCTAGCCTAGACTGCTTATTGAGACGAATTCTGAAATGGGGTTTACTTACTCCTTTTGTTAGATTTATAAGACGTCGCAGGAAAGCTCTTCCTGGCACGACTACACAACATGCAAAATTTAATAAACCAATTAAAGATTGAAGATTCCGCAGTGTGATCTTTTTGCATTTTTTTGCTGAATCAAGTGCAAGTTTAATTTTTTGTATTTTTTCTTGTGGAAGTCTAGCCTCCATTTTTATAGTATCTAATTCTATCCCTAAGAATACCATAGTTGTTGAAGGTCCCTCTGTTTTTTTGGACTTGATTGGGATTCCAAGAACATCACACATAGATAAGAATTGTTTTAATGATGAATGACAAATGGCAGAATTAGGAGGACCTATAAAAAGAAAATCATCCAATATGTGCAACATATTGGGAACCCCAAATTTGCTGCAAGCAATCCATTGTAATGCTGTGCTAAATGTCTCAAAAATAGAGCACGATATAGAACATCCCATGGGAAGGCACTTGTCATAATAAAAAGAACCCTTAAACTGAATTCCTAATAGCTCATGATCGTTTGGATGAACCGGTAAAATTCGAAATGCTGATGCGATGTCTGTTTTCGCTAGCAAACAATTTTTTCCAATTCTTTTGATAAGTTTAATTGCATCATCAATCAGTATAAGATACTGAGCATAGATCATCCGGGATAAAATCATTCACAGAACCCCCTTCAGGATAAGATAAGTGGTGAATAAGGCGAAATTCATTTATTTCTTTCTTTGGGACAAGACCAATAGGGGAACATTGAAGATTTTCAAAAGGGGGTACCTCAAATGGACCTTCAATCCTACCAAGAGAAATTTCTTTCTGCAGTTTTAGTGCTACAATATCTTCATGTTCTTTTACCGAAAGTAAATTAGATGAACGCCTTGACTGTCTCGGCCCATTATATTGAAGATGAAAACCTTCCCCAAAACCCTTACATAAAAATGTTTTTAAATCTTCATCATACCCATTAAGAAAGTGTTCTAGGGTTAATACTCTTACGGGAGTGACAATTAATCTATTTGCTTGTACTAGTGGGTTCTTTTTGTCTGGTTTGGGACCCTGGGACAGAGGTTTGCGATTGATCTCCCCATGTGCAGAAAAGCACTGAGTGTGGCTTCCTGCACTGAGGGCAAAGGTGCTTGTATTGACAGTTCTGGGATGCGCAATGTCCTGTTTTGTGGAAAGCATAACAATATCCCTGGGGTATTCTCTTGCCTTTATAGGCCCCCCCTTTGTTTTGGAAATGGTATCGGCCACGAAAATTATGTGTCTGATTGCCATAATTAGATTGTCGCGATGTGGTGGCCATAACCCAGTACTCATAGTGCAGTTGCCCCCATGGAATTGACATTGATTCTATGTCCTTGCGGACTTGCCTATCATATGATAACCATGCCAAACCTGTGCGTCTGCTAGCTAGCTCGCGCACTATTTCACCATGTTTGATGACCGCTGGTACCAAGTTGGGGAATTTCTCAGAGTAAATGGCCAAAAATTTTAAAAATGCTGTGGTCCACTGATCAATAGATTTAATGGCTGTTTTTGATTTTGAGGTCACAAACTTAAATTCTGATTTACCCATGCTTTGCAAGTGTACTGACTTATCCCTACTAAAATCATCTTTTGGTATTAATTTTGCAAAGTCAATGTACTTGTTTTGCCATATTTTGTTTTTGAGTTTACTATCGACTTGAGAAGAAATTGGAGTTGATAAGAGCTGTTTCTCATCATCTGAATCACTCTCCTCACTGGATGAGCTGTCCTCTGAGTCATTATCTGACTTATCTCGATCCGAACTAGAGTCTAACATGCTACCTGAAGAGGACCGTCTTCTACGTTTCCTTCCTCTCGAGCTTCTTTGGCGTTCACGTCCTCTTTCCTCCCCAGATGGACCACCAGCCGACTGTTCGCGGATTGCCTTTAGGACTTGCTCCGTTACAGCAGCTACTAGCTGCGGCTGTAAGGTATCAGAAGCGTCCTGCTGAGCCACCTGTTCAGCTTCTAAAGCGTCCTGCTGAGCTGCCTGATCGGCTGAACCTGCCGCGGCTGGTACTTGTCGTCTTAGCCTTCTGGCCCTGGCTGGTCGCCTCGCTCCAGCTGGTTCATTCATCTACAATATTTCTTAAGAAGATATGAACCTAATCAATAAAAATATTTCAGAGCTCATAAGCTGACCATTGAAAGCAACAATTTAAACTTTGATTCGTCAGTTAAAAATACACTCTTAAAAATTTAAATAATTGGATAAACTTAATAAGGAATCTTTAGAAACCTCAACAATATAAGAATGTATGTATCTTATTCATTTTGTGCAATACATTCAGAAAGTAGACCTCAACCATATTTGGTGAAAATTCTAACAAAACAAATAACCCCAACCATATAGGGGTGCAGCAACTTACCAACCATAAACCCCCACCATAGGGGTGTAAAATATGTAAATTCAACCCCGACCATATAGGGGTGCAAAATCCTGCTTAAATAATACCCCGAGCATATAGGGGTACAGGATATTGCTTAAGTAACTTCAATCATATCAATAATATATAGATGCAAAATCCTGCTAAGATCAAACCCCGACCATATAGGGGAGCAGGATATTGCTTAATAAACCCCGACCATATAGGGGTACAGGATCCTGCTTGAATACAACCCCGACCATATAGGGGTGCAGGATATTGCATGAATAAACCCCGGCCATATAGGGGTGCAAAAAACCTGCTGTATTCCAAGTAACCCCGACCATATAGGGGTGCAAGATCCTGCTAAAAGTCAACCCCGACCATATAGGGGTGTAAAATCCTGGAAATTAAATCATGTTTAGTTTATGTAAGTTGCTTATCAATAATACACCATATTGGCAAATTCGAATAAAACAACCCCAATCCACAGGGTTACCATATATTAAGATTGAAATGAGTTTATTTTTATATAATAATAATAATTTATCGTAATTCAAATAAATTACATTTATTATTCTGTCTCCCTCTTTCTAGTGTAGTTATTTTAGAGAAGAAATTAGAGATTAAAATTCTGAAATAAATACAAAGATTAATGTCAAATTCTTAAGCACCATTCATCCACACGATTTTTTATTCGCCCATTGGAATATGCCATAAATGTTTGGGGCAATAAGTGTTACCGCTTTTGTTCCATCATTCTGTTGTCCCGTTAAAACTTAAGGATAATCGATCCTCAGCCAGGAAGGATAACTCCAAAAATTAATTTTTTATTTAAAAAGCATCAATATGAGGCTTACAAATGAAAGAAAAAATCATGCAACAATTTTCATTTTATTCATCTTTACATTATTCAAGGATTATGGACGTAAGAAAAGGTCCTATAAAAAAAAATAACACAGTTTTAGAGAAGTTAGATTTCCTTGAAGGGCCTTGGATGCCAATGATTATTAGCGTGATAGGAAATTAGAGGTGATTTGTGATGTCTTGCAATGATAGCAAAAGCCGTTTACATTTTCTTTTATATAATACATTACATGAAGGAAACAGAAAACAAAGAATACCAAATAAGTTTAAAATTCATGACAATTTCTCTGAATGCCTGCATACCTATTGTTTTTTTTAACCTAGGATATATTTGTTGATCAACTTGCAATTAGAAATATTAAATGCATAGTTGATATTCCTCTTCGCTTTTTCTGAATATATATTGGAGATCTGACAATTTCCCCTACAATATGATTAACTTTAATGTTCAACTTTAAAGAAATACTACGGGTAAATTTACATTACTTTGTGGATTCAGAGATATTTTTATGAATATTTTCAAGTACAACAGTACTTAAAATTTTATGAACCTGAGGATCGGACTACCTTAAAAGTTTTCCTTGTCTTATTTCATCCTCTTCTTTTAAGAATTTTCTAGTATGGAAAAAAGTAACATGTTTGATCTGCATTTGAGAAAACTTCGCTATGTTGCCATACGGGGGTATCTGTGTTTCACAAACACATTTTGTTTTATGTATGGATTCACCTCCTCATTCTATAAGATAAAAATCAATCTTAATTTGTGAATTTTGATTTCAGTGCTTCACTAGCATATTTGAAGTATCTTGTTCTTAAAAAAAAAAAATAACAATTTATGAATATTTACAACATCTACTCACTTCTAATTCCTTTGTGTCTTTAACAGGAGAATTGACTCTGCATTCGTTATACTTCTTGTTTTCTCTCTTCTCCTGAAAAAAGTAAAATTATATTAAGTGTTTAAAATTAACTGATCATGAGCTCTTAACCTCGTTTTGATACTAACTTGTATCTAAATTGTATTTTACAGTAGGAAATTCGTACTATAAATATCTCTTGTAATTTTTTATAGGCACAAATATAATGTTATACATAGATGACCAAGAAATAGTCATTCACTGAACTTACAATGACTGTATCGAATCCAAGTCTAAATTCATTTTTCTTTTGCCATTTTTCAATTTTCGTAAATTCTGGCTTTATGTCTTCTTCGACAACTTCTGCTGTCAAACTCTCACCGGTTTCTTCTTCCTGGAAAATACAAAAGGATTTTAAAATTTGAATCACTAAGCTTGTTATTTTGGATTTTATATAAATTCAATGAAAAGTTTAGTGGCTTGTACTTTAATTTGTTGATAATATCAATGATTTAATAATAAAATTGATTAGCTTTAATCTTCATCTAATTAAAAGCGACTTACAAGATGTGTATCAAGATAATGAGTGTAGTATCTTAAATCATTCCGACTCCATCGGCGGAAGAAATAGAAATGTTCTGCATTCTGTGGCAAGAATGGCTAAAAAATCAAAGATAAATATTCAAATGTAACAGTAAAAATAGTTTGAAATACAATAACTTTTTATAACTCAAATTAATTTCCTCAAATCAAGCACAATTATCATTCATTTCACTTTCACTTTGATAATCTTCTTTGATTTTTAACCTAGGTTTACATGTTACTTTTTTTTTAATCTTTACTTACTTGAAGGTAAGGGAGCTGTCGCTTCAACCAGTCCCCAAATATAGTATGTGTGGTCAAGTAAATAATAGAAAGGGGGTAATGTTACTGGCATCGTATTCTTTTTGTCCAAACTCATTTTTGAATTTAGACATATTATTGATAAAATTGTGTAGAAAATTAACGTCTTTCAAAGATCAAAGACATACCTTCATCTGGTTCAGTCCTTCGTTGACTTTTTCACAATTTCCATACTCTTTTCCTTCTCTCACATCCTACGGTGGAAAATATCTTGACATTATTTATTATAAATGTTATGCTTTTTAAAAATTACTACTTCTTAAAAATACTGTTTAAATTTGCTTACATCATCTTTACTTTGACAAAACTATCCACTTTGTTACAATTTTAAAACAAGCCTTTGCATTCTAACATCGAAACAATTATGACGTCATAATCGAAAAAACTCCATCAAAGAAACGCATCTATTTGATAAACATTTATATCTTTCATTGCTATTATTCAAATATGTTAAAGTTAACGTTCCTCGTAAATATGGAATAAGATTTCAGGAAAAAAAATGTAGCTAATTTTTTTTTCCTGCTTATTGAAACTCACTATTCATGTTATACAGCTGATTGTATCGATAAAGCATAATAGAAAACATCAATGCTAAATCACTTTATGGAAATTGATAACCATTACTAAGTAAATACATGTATTAAAATCTAAATATTGATTAATTCAAACCAGAGACATATAATACACTATTATAGATAAGATAAGATAATTTTATTTCCAATTTTGGGCCCAGAAGGCATAAAGGTTTCTTACAATGACAAGATAGAAAGTTCTGAAAGAAAGGTTAGTAAACATATACAAACATAAACACACACACACACACACACACACACATATACATGTATATATCTGATTTAATATTACAAGTAACTGGACATGTGGATGCAGCAGTTGGGGTTATCAAATTGTTAATTAACATGCAATCAAAATCAATATTATCAATATACATATATACCAGTTTACAAATAAATATGTGTCTATAACATCATTTATGAAAACTCATGGCATTATGCCTTATTTTGAAGGCTTTGACAAGATATTCACTTAGCTTTGTAATAATTAGATTATCTTCATTAGACATTAACCAGAGAAATTTGTCTCCTTTTGATAATAATATGAAATTTTTGTTTAGTAATGAGATATCACGAAAAAAATTATCTCTCTCCTCAGTATATAATGGGCATTCAGTAAGAAAATGATATTCATCTTCTATATTGTTTTGGTTACACATTAAACATATTCTTTTGTTTCTGTCTAAGGGGATTCTTTGACCAGCATTATTTTTTACAGATTCATATCTGCCTTTTTCAATTCTTAGGTCATGAGCACTTATTCTAAATCTGTAAATGGATTTTCTTATTTCATGAGATTTAATGTACATATATTTTTCCATTATAAAATTTTCTTTAAACATAAAATAAGTAGTAAGTGTTCCAGATTCCAGTCCCTCTTCACGTTTCATTTTCCAATATTGTAGGAAGTGTTTTTTCAAATGTTTCTTAACTTGTTTTTTTTAAAATGTGTTTTTGTATGTTTTACATTCTGGTAATGAGAGATTAATTTTCTTACTAAAATAAATTACATTTTTGTACCAGCAGTTAATATTGCCTTGACTAAGGTTAATATTTTCTGTATTGTGGAACTATGTGAAACTATAATTTTTATTAATTTAGCAGCCAGCAGGTCTCTATCTCTTTAGATGACTGATGTCATTAAAATGATTGGGTCTGTGTGGTCTATTAAACTGCTTAGTGAAATAATATGAAATAATTCAAATTTCAATATATATAGACACTCAGCCTACATTTACTTCCAGGATGCTTAAAATGATAGCACCATTATGTTGGTAACTTGATCCGAAGGGAATCGTTTCACGTCGAGTGACAGGCGCGGATCATCAGATAAAACGTTCAAAATGCTAGCAATATTTTGCCACATTTGAATGTATCTCTGATTTTTTTCTATCATGGCTACATTTACTTAATTTTCCATTTACCGACCCATTCTCGCAGGATGCTTAGAAAATGATAGCACACTAGCGCTTCTTTTTCTTACATATAGATATATCAATTTATATAGATAAATCAATGCTAGAAAACATGTCAGTCACACGCTTTTTCCCATGATTCTTCAATTTAGACCACTCATTGGGCTATCATGAAGAAAAGTCATTTCATTTGTCAATAAATGTCATTTTTCTTCTGCTTTAAAAGAATTTCAGTGTCATCGAAAGAGTTTTACTCAAACAAATCATAACTGTTTCTTGTCCATGCCATTTATTTTCAGAAAAATATGTATTTAAATGCATTTTATGCATGCATTGAAAATTTTGAAATATCGACAAATAAAAAAAATCTTGATTTACTTATCCAGTAATATATATAACAGAAAAGAAAAGAAATATCTTTTAATCTGTTTATTACAGTTGATTCAAACTTCAAAGAATTATATTATAAAGACAGATTTCTATTTTATTGAATATGGAATCTACGAAAGGATAACACGGAATGTACACGACAATTTGTCACTGTGTCTGTATGGTGACCTCAGGGAACAAATGACCTAACTGCATGCTGCAAAAAAAAATTGTAAATATGTGACTTTACAGTTTGTGGGTACATGTAGAATCAATTAGCTTGAATTTGAATAGGTTGATTGATTGTATATTGTTTAACGTCCCACTCGAGAATTTTTACTCATATGGAGACGCCACCACTTACCGGCTACAAATTTTGTCCTATGCTCGACACTCAGGGCCATTGAGCAGTGAGGGATCTTTTTCGTGCCAGCACCTACTGCGACACGGGGCCTCGGTTTATACGGTCTCATTCGAAGGACCGGTCTCCCCGTCCCATAATGGGATTCGACCCCGCGACGCAAGGATTGACGACCCTAGAGCAGACGCTCTAACCACTGCGCCACGCCGGCGACGTATTTGAATAGTATTTGAATAGAAATGTTTTGCAATCTTATAGAGGTGCCAAGAAACTTACTATTTTTTGTGGTGGTACTTGATTCGACCACTCCCGCATTACACAGGGCGACCGTAGCTTTAGAGACTTCTTTTACTAAAACAATCACTCGTTCGTTTCCAGCGTTGAATACTTTGTCTGAACATGATTAAACACACATCTCTTTAAACAACTTTTAAAAATTACAATAGTAAAACAGCAGTCAGATTCAATAATTTAAATTACATGTATTTGCGACGTTGCATTAATTAACCCGTCCGCATTTCGTTCAATTAAAACAGTGTTTTAATCCTATTTTGGATTGACCTTTATTGTTAACCTTACCGCTGTTAAATGTTATCTTGTAGGAACAGCTGCTCAATTTCTGGTATTTCATGCAACGATAAACGACAAAGTCCAGTCCGTAAATTTGTACAGGAGGAGAACTACAGAGAAAAAAAAACCTTTATGATTTTTTTTATCCTTTGATAAAGATGTAAAATTTGGACAAGTCTTTCATTTCAAAATTTAATTTAAAAAAATTATGTTCAGAGTGGCGATTTGCCAAGATTTTCTCTCCCTGTGTACCTACGCCAGTAAAATTTGATCCGTGTCCTCATCGACACAAGTCCAGCTGTTAACACTTTTGCCAAATAATGTCACATCCCAACCAGTCACCCCCGAGGACTTGAAATCCACTTCTTTATTTGTTCTTGAATCGGTCCATTCACCGGTCAGGTCTGACGGGAATGATGTACAGGCCACACCTGAGGTACAGGCCAAACCTAAAGTTAAATTCAAAATGCCGTGACACACATGCAAAAATATAGAAATTGAAATAAAATTAGTTCATCTTCGTACAATGGCATTGGAGATGGACGTTACTAGTACTTAATTTTTACCCAATGAACTTGAGGGATGGACCCCCTTCCCAATTTCTTTGCTAACCGGGGATTGACACAAATTTTTCCTTTTTTTTTTTTTTTTTTTTGGTAATTTAATATGCTCTACTTGTCTTCGACGATGTAACCTTTTAGTCTCTATAAACTGATTTGAAATAGATCGTAACTTACGACTGATACAGCTCAATCGTTGGTCATTAAGCTTAAGAAGAAAAAAAACGGGTACATGTAGAATTGATTTGCTTGTATTTGAATAGAAATATTTTGCTATCTTACAGAGTTGCGAAGAAACTTACTATTTTTCGTGATGGTACGAGATTCGACCACTCCCGCATTACACAGGGCGACCGTAGCTTGAGAGACTCCCTTTACTAAAACAATCACTCGTTCGTTTCCAGCGTAGAATACTTTGTCTGAACATAATTAAACACAATATCTCTTTAAACAACTTTTAAAATGACAAAAGTAAAACAGCAGTCAGATTCAATAATTTAGATTATTTGGGACGTTGCAATAAATAACATGTCCTCATTTACTTCAATTAAAACAGTGTTTTAATCCTTTTTGGATTGATCTTTGTTTTTGGTCCGTGTAACACTTAACAATTGAAAATTCTAAAATGAAATTGAGTTTTAGAATGTTAATATATTAGTCTCAAATATCTTAATTTCAAAAAGGGAAACTGATTTGGCATATTGAAATTTAATATACTAGTTCAAAAATCCAAATTTTCAAATTTCCAAACAGGTTTTAGAATGTTAAGTTTTAGATTTTTTACCTTAAACATTCACAATTCAAATTTCCAAAAACAAATTTTGTATTTCAAACTGTTGAGTTTTTAATCTGCCATTTGTTAAGAAAGTTTACGCTTAACAATCTAAAGTTCAGAACAGTTCTTACGGCTTTTGATATTTCAAAATTTACTTCAAACTTCTAAAAAAAAACAATTAAAACACTTGGAATTTTTAGATATTTACTTCAAATATCCAAAATATCAAATTCCAACCTGGTTTGAATTTTGAATCTATTTCAAAACTTTTTTGGTGAAGCAAAAGAGTTTTTTTTTTTGATAGTTAGAATATTAAACTGATTTTCAAAATTCAAATTGAGTTCGGAAATTCAATATTTTGGATATTTAAAGTAAAATTCTAAAACTCAAAGTGTTAAGGTTATTTGATATTAAAACATTTGAATCAAGATTCCAAATTTCTAAAAATCTAAAACGTTTCAAAGTTGGATATTAGAAGTTTGAAACTAACTCTAAATAATCAAAAGACGACAAATATATCTGAACTATAGATTGTTAAGTGTAACTTTCTGAACAAATGGTAGACTGAAAACTCGAATGTTTAAAATGCAAAAATCGTTTTTGGAAATCTGAATTATGAACTCTAAACTATCAAAATATTAAAACCTGTTTGGAAATTTGAAAATTTAGGTTTTTGATCTAAAACATTATATTACAATATACCAAATCAGTTTGAGTTGTTAATCTCCCTGAAGATTTTTAAGACGTCTTACGTCTAAGCAAGTAAGAGGCATTGGGGAAAATGTAATCGTAATTAAAGTTCTCTGTATATGTACGCCAGCAATAACATTTTTTCAAAAATACCGATATAAAGAGGAATCATTGAGATATCGAATGTTACTATTCCATTTCTTATTTTTAAAATGCAAGTGGCTCGTTCTTATTTTTTAAATCCGTATAAAAGTTGACCTAATTTCAGATAAATGTTATATATGAAAAGTTTAAAAGCTATGGACATTTTAGTATATTCACTTTTACAATAAAAATCATTTACAATATGTTTTCGTTCAATATTTTTGTGATTTATTCAGATAAATTTACATTGCCAAGACACTCTTCCTGTAATTGAGTGTAGTAGCTAGGGCCCTGAAATATACCCGGTTTTGATTTAACTGGCCAGCGGAAGGCGGGTATCATTTGCCTAAAACAAAATTTGGTAATCTCTCAAGAATCTAGAAATGATGTAACGGATGAAAGATATGGAGATAATGAACAGTTTTCAATCTCAAAAGTCAAACGTACAAACCAGGAGCAAAGAAAACACGGACCTCTAAAATATCAGAGGTGGGTGCCAAGGTGGAGTGAGCAGCCCCCATCGATCGGACGGTCACACCGCCGTGAGCTCCTTGATTTGATCGGGAAATAACGAAAAAATCCGTCGACAATTGGATGCATGTGTAAATAATAGTCTTACAGTTAATATAAAAATCATTAAAATGCAAATTACATGTTTTCTTGAAAAAAAAAAAATGCTGTAAGTGAATGCATCACATGAATACCTAATAAAATATGTAAAGAAAAGCCGTATACATATTAAAAAAATTTTAATGAAAAAATATTTAACGGTCGTTAACTATAGTTTATGAATGTTAATCTAAGTTTATCTGTCTGTAATAAAGCGTTAACAATAGATTTTGTTGATAAACATAGATTCACGTTTGTAAACTATAGTTTACAATCGTAAACTATAGTTAAGAGTTGTTAATCATAGTTTCACAAATTGTGAAACTATATTTATCAGATCGTTAACTATAGTTAACGGTTTGTAAACTATATTTTACAAATCGTGAAACTGTATTTATCTATGGCACGCCAAATTCACAAAAATGAGATAATCATAGTTTCACAATCGATAAACTAGGTTTATCGGTTGTAAACTATAGTTTACAAACCGTAAACTATAGTTAACAACGTTAATCTATATTTCACATCTGTAAACCATAGTTAACGCGATAATCTATGTTTCACAACCGTAAACTATACTTAACACCGAAAACAATCATTGGCGATTGCAAAACATAGATTAAATGATAAATACAGTTTCACAATTTGTAAACTATAGTTTACAAACCGTTAACTATAGTTAACGATCTGATAAATATAGTTTCACAATTTATGATTAACAACTCTTAACTATAGTTTACGATTGTAAACTATAGTTTACAAACGTGAATCTATGTTTATCAACAAAATCTATTGTTAACGCTTTATTATAGACAGATAAACTTAAATTAACATTCGTAAACTATAGTTAACAACCGTTAAATATAGTTTTACAGATGAAAACTATACTTAACGAATCGTTAACTATAGTTTACGGTTTGTAAACTATAGTTTACAGTCGATAAACCTAGTTTATCAATTGTGAAACTATGATTATCTCATCTTTGTGAATTTGGCTTGCCATATTTATCAGATAATCTATGTTTTGCAATCGCAAATGATAGTTTTCGGTGTTAAGTATAGTTTACGGTTGTGAAACATAGATTATCGCGTTAACTATAGTTTACAGATGTAAAATATAGATTAACGTTGTTAACTATAGTTTACAGTCCGTAAACTATAGTTTACAACCGATAGACCTAGTTTATCGATTGTGAAACTATGATTTGCTCATTTTTGTGAATTTGGCGTGCCATACATAGGTTTAAAAAATATTCACAAATAATGTGTTTTATTTTCATAAATAATTTTTTATAAAAAAAATTAAAAAGTCTAACCAGCTTTTCTTTAGATACATATGATACTTTCATTTACAGCAAACTTTTAACCCGAAAACATCTTATTTGGATGTAAAAAAAAAAATCATTTTCTTTGAAAAAATGCAAAAAATTCATATAAAATTATCATAATTAAGAGCTAATGTCGGCCTTTCAATGCTGAATTCATTATTTACATGGTTTAAAAAGGATGACTCAAAGATCTATAAAATAAAAAGTTGGTGTGGCATTCCACCTTAATTTTCTACTTCAGCGTGAATTTTTATCAGCCAATGAGCGCGGTCCTTTACATTACTGATTATTTTAATATTACAGTCTGCTATAATCTGCAGAAGAATGAGGAACCACTTCAACACTCAAACTAACATCATTTTGGTTTATATTTCGGAAAAAATGTTTCCACTATTTGTCTTCTTTGGGCTTTTTGATTTTATAATGCTAATCACTGTTTTTTCCAATCTTTCCAAAATCATGCATTATATTACAATAGTGTCAAACGTTTAAGGGACATGTAAATACTGTCATGGCTGACTTTAAGAAATCAAAATCTCGAAATATTAGAAAAAGACGCAAATCTTCAGAAAGTGACTCTGATTCGTGTGAAGAAGATTCTGTTGGGTATGATCTTACAAATTCTTCATTTGATGCTACATCTCTTTTTATAACTTAGCGTATTTATAGCGTTATAATATTTATTTTTTAATCCAGAATATTGCATAGAAACGATACGTCTGTTTTAACCAATGAGTGATAATTTGTGAAAAATTATGAACTTTATCACGATATTCTTTTATTATAAACCAAAACTCAAGTAACTGTGAAGTAATTAACGACCATGAAGATAAGACAAATGTCACGATTAATTTTTCAGCACAAAAATCCAAGATATCAAAGAACTACAGAAGTTGAGAAACAAACAGAATGGGGTTAATGCTACAGCTCTGGCATTGGGAAAAAAAATTTCCAAGGAACAAGCTCTCTCAAATGTAAGTCAAATATTAATGTATAGACGATAAACCAAAAACGTACAGATTGCCTACATGTATGTCAGTTTCATGACATTTTATTTAAATGTGTATATTTTCAGAATCTCTTTAAATGGTACATCACTCATTGTTCTCTCATTGATTACATCAACAATATATATGTAAGACTACTTTGGTAGAAATAGTAATGTATGTCAGTTTCATGACATTTTATTTAAATGTGTATACGAATCTCTTTAGGTATTAATACAATATATATATGTAAGACTCCAAAGTCCTATGGTGATGTCAAAAGTCCGATGGTCTCACCAAACCCCGATTGGTTGTTGTCGGTAATGACACCAAAGTCTGATGGTCACAACAAAGACCGATGGCTTGTTTCCTATGAGAAGCGCTGTGCTAAAGTGCGATGGTCTGACACACCAAAGTCCGATGGTGTGGAGAAACAATTAACATTTATGACGTCACAATAATTGGACGTCAGTCACTGACACTGTTGTCAGCATTTAAAAGCCATCATTTCATTTCTAATAAATTAAATTTTAAAAAATGCCACCATTTCTAATTTGGTTCTCGCAATCAGTTTTATTGTTTTTGCTTATTGCCTGCACCTTCCAGAGATATTAGGATTAGTTTTCACACACCGCTTGACTGATTAGGTTTACTCCTTGTTTTGCACCAATCTGAGAGATTTAGGGTTAGTCTTCACTAGTTGAGTGATTAGGGTTAATCTTGCATCCACCAACGATATCTAGCTAAGTTATAGTTGTTACACACTTCTTGAACAATGAGGGTTAGTTTAGCACCTAGGGTTAGTTTTCACATAATGATATTTATTTATACAGTTTATTACTTATTTGAGACTATGGCCTGTTGCGGCATTTGGGTTTGGCGCAGTACGTGGTATTATGACTTAATTCATAAACGTCAATTGATTTCTGCACTGTCAGACATAGGCATGTCAGAATATCAGGGATTGGCATAGATCATCGGACTTTGGTGTTACTGTCGGACTTTGGAGTCCCATCGGACTTTGGAATCTTACATATATACTGTAGATTCCTTATTTTTCGTGAGTACTTTTTATCACAAATGGGTTGTTCAACGTCAAATCACGAGCAGTAATTCGCGAATGGACGGTTGGTCAAGTGATTTTTACATATATTGTAGCACAATAAAAATAATCGCGAGTAATTTTATTTCACGTGTGATGCTTCTCGCGAAATTACGCCATAATTAATTCCACGCATATAATTAGGAATCTACAGTATATTGTTTATAAATTTTTTCGATTGTTCTCTTATCATTAAGCCAACTTACTTATTATTAATATAATGAATACATGTTTGTTCTTTTTCTTTTATGACTTGTAGAGTGATCCATTCAAACTTGAGACTGGTGGTATGGTTGATATGAAAGCTCTGAAGAAAAAGTATATCACATGAAAACATTGCCTACTAATAAATCCTAGATAACAGAGAAGAATCTACCTTCCAAGATTTAAATTTTAATTTGATTGTTATAGAACAAAATAATTCATTTATTTTCAGTGTCACAATTGTAACTGTATATACAGACCGGGTACATATTCATAAGATTTCCAGTTTATCCATAAATTAATGCATTTATTCATGCATAATACATGTATAGCAAATGAATGACAAGTATGTGTTTACAGGAAACTGTCCACAGAAGAAGTGGAAGCTATTGGTACAGCTTTTGCAGCTGAAACAAACAGAAGAGATGAAGACACAGAAATGTGGGTTTCTGTTGACATGTTAATTATGTTATCAATCCATTCCAATGTCTAATAGTGCATCTGCATTATCTGTGCAAAAACGTTGTTTTAAGTAAAGGGTAATCAGAACTATTCAAAACAATGTTGTTATAGTCTTGTTTCCTGCTACCAGCCAGAAAAAAATAGGGTAGGTAGGAAAATTATTTTATTTTTTTATGTTATTTTATTTTTTCCAATGGTATTTTTTTTTGGATATGAACTACTACAAAACCAAATTGAACGTGTCATAGCTTAGATAGCTAAGGTCAATATCATCAAAGTGAATTTCCATGTCTTTGGATGCACAACTCGAGTGGAATTTTACGAAAGTCCATATTTTAAACATATACATGTACTTCATGAAATACAACATGAGAATATATAAATTTTTTTTCACTTTTGAAACATGAAATTTCTAAAATTTGAATTTTTTCCCCAAAAGCTAAAAAAAACTTTAGGGTCTGGTGCAAAAAAATAGGGTAGGCCGGGTAGCAGGAAACAAGACTATTTTTTATTTTGGCCTTATATAATAAGTTGATCGTGAATGTGAATTTTTTCAGTTAGCTGTGTGATAAACAATATTTTTTTTTTTCTTCAAAAGGTTGAAGTATGTTGAAGTTGAGCTAGCAAGGAGGAAAGGTCACCACAAGGAAGAAACGCCAGTAAAAGGGTACAGCCGTACATTTTTAAAAAAATTAATGATGATAAATTGATCACCCTCCATACATCTGCAGTGCTTGCTATTTATGCTAAAATTCATTTATGGAGAAAGTTGATTTATTTGCCTATAATGTGAAAATTGGCTACAACAGTACATGTATATGAAAAAATAAGTGCAGCTTACATGGAGAGCAACGATCTTCACAAACCTCATCCACTTTTCAAAACATGAAAAAACATAATTCAACCCTCTCATTGATAAACAGTATGTGTACTTTAAAAGTGGACTTCATATTTTAGTGGCTTTGGTGCATGCAACAATGCTCTAATTCATGAATACTGCTAAGAAATCATTAACATACATGTAAATAATACACTGAACGGACATGTGTAGTGCTAATTCATAATTACGCTAACAACTCCATACCCAGTGATTACGAATTTTGAATGACCATTCATGTTCACCCATCTTTTTTCCTGTCAGACCCTCAAAAGAAGATGCTTTGTACAGTTTACCTGAAAATCTCAAAATTGGATCATCAAGCAAAAAGACGGAAGACATGTTGTCAAATCAAATGCTGTCTGGTATACCAGAAATTGACCTTGGTATAGAGTAAGTACAATACATGATACTGGACTAGAAATGGAAATCATTAGTTTGTTCCATAGATATTTTTTAAAATAGCAGTATGAACTGTTACTGTGAAATATAATTTCGCTGTATATCGTATGTAATAGACACAAGCAAATACTGAATTTTTGTTCAAATTTTAATTTTTAGGGCCAAGATAGCTAACATTGAAACAACAGAGATAGCCAAACAAAAGCTTCTGATTGAGAACATGAGGAAGAAAGATAATGAGGTCTCAGCCTTCGTCCCGACAAACATGGCTGCCAACTTTGTCCAGCACAACAGATGTATGATGATCAATAACATAATTCAGTTTTGTAACACATTTCAGAACAATTGGGAGGGAAGGGCTAAAACTCATAGCCTTAAGGATGCTCTAAACACTGCACACCAATGAGCTCTATTTGTTGGGTAGTTTTATGACATTAGAGTGATATGCCCTTAGAAATAGGATAAAAAATGATTATTTACAAATATTTACATTCGCTGTGTTTTTCTACTAAGCCAAATGTGAAATTGATTTGAATACAATTTTCGTGTATACTCACGTGTAGAAATATACACGGAAAAACGTGCGTTGTGACGTCACAATGAGGCTGCAGCGACGTTAGAAAAAGTATAACGAAATAGGGCAGTGAGAAATTCAAATATCGAGTATATTTTTGGCACTTCAAACATGTAAAATGTAAATATAAGGAATGTTTTTAAGTTTTGTGTAAATTATTGCTGTGAGAATCACACAGACTTGCACATATGCATATTATGAAATATGCCTATGTGACAAGTCTGTGTGATTCACACCAATAACTCACACAAAACTTAAAAACATTCCTTAATTAATTACACCACTTATGTTGAATTAAAATATTCAGAACATTATAGTCCCCTGATTTTGCTAAAGTGAGGGGACATTAAATTTCATTCGTCTGTCCATCACAAAAAGTTAAACCTTGGTCATATCTTTTGAATGAGAAGAGATTGGACTCTCATATTACACATGTATATTACCTGAGAAAGACCTTTCTAAATACACTAGGAGTTTTGACCCCGTGACCTTGAAGTATGACCTTTCCAAAAAAAAACAACAAAACATTACTTTGAATTGGCCATAACTTTTGTCATAAATAGTCCATTGCCTTTTAATATTTTTATTGTGGAAATAAGACAGATAGTGCATGTTGAAGATAGACTAAATGTAGTCTCAAGATGCAAACCTTGATATGATTTTTTTTTTCCAAGTCAAAAACACTTTTTGTTAGTGTTTAGAGCTTCCTTAATTAGCTTGAAATTAATATATCATTTAAATACTTGTTGACCATGCAGAGAAATCTTTTAAAATATGTTGTGGAAAGTTTTTCAAATTTAGTATCTCAAACTTCACTGCAGTTTTTTTTCAAACTTTTTATTTCACTAAAGCCACCAAAATGGAGTATATTTAGTACAATTTGTTGAAATCTATAGCATATGCTAGATTGAGTTATCTTTCTTTGTTTATACTAAAGTCCTCAGTGGGTTGACATTGATTTTATACTCATTGAATAAGCATTGACTCTTTGGGTAAAATTAGCATTAATCATATTATTTCATGTATTGACAAATTTTCACAAGACAGCTTATGGATTTTAAGCTTCTAAAATTTTCAACAAAGGAAACTATTTAGAATCTGAGAAATACCTGCCTCTGTATATACATGTATATATACATGTAGTTTTTAATATAATAGCTTGAAAAAAGTCAGAAAAAAGAAATTTAGATACAATCTTTATATTGTTTACCAGATGAAATAGAAGTTACATTATATATTTGTTTTTGCAGTCAACATTGAGGACACAGCTCCAATACTGAAAAAGCCAGAAGAGGCCCCTAAACCAGAACCAGTCAGGGTGGGGGATGTGGACAAATTAAAAAAGGCTGGTAAGTCCCCCTCCCCCCCAAACCTAAAAAAAAATTAAATCATTATTAAATCGCTCATATGTCAATTCATCTGCTGCTCTTTATAAATGAACAAGCATCAGATAAATTGCATCAACAATGCTATTCCCAAGTGCAATCTGGTTCCTCTTAACTTCAGATATCTGACTCAAATACTAGCCTTAGATTCAATGAATCTGAATACACAACAAATATATAAACTGGCTTTTATTCAGTATGTACCGATATAGACATAATCTTCATGTTTTAGTATCAATATGTAAGAGCGGAATGTGTCCTAATTTTTTACCTTGACCTGTCCTTGAAAAATTATCCCCCTTTCAATTAATAAAGATCAATTCTAAATCTATCAAGTAAAAAATAATTTTTAAATCATTTTTCTATTCTTAATAATTGTATACATCTTTCCACCACAGCGTTTTTTGACATTCTTTTTATTTGAATTTTTATTTTCAAAAATTTGCTGGTTCTCGTAGCCCTCAATGAATTCTTCATCAATTAATTACTGCCCAGGTAATTATATTTTTGAAAATTTCTCCTGGTAAATCCTTTTCTCCTGGTAAATTCCTTTCATACTCTAAACTGCTTTTAATTATATCAGAGTATTTAATACAGGATGGATATATAAGGTTAGGAAATGATGTTCTAATATGGGTCGGATACCTTAAAAAGCAATATTACTCAGGAAACCTATAGTCTCCTATGGTTTTTGCCAGTGATGGATTTATGAATTTGTCTTTCTACAATTGATTGTCTGTAATTCCAAAGCCAAGTTCTCAGAATAGATGAATGTTAATACACACATATACCGGTCATAACCAAGAGCTCCATTTGGTCCATTAAAACCGCCTTTAAGACCATGTTTCATCTGTCTACATTATGTCTGCACTTTCATTTAGTTTTATTACTATGCACCTGAATCTAACATAAAATTGAATTGATGCATTATATATCATTCGTAATTACTGATAAATATTGTATTAAGAAACATACATATATCAATTATTTATACACTACTCCACAGAAAAAGACCCCAAAGGAACAGAGAAAGCTACAGATGACTTTCACTACGAGAAATTCAAGAAACAGATGAGACGATACTGAGGTTCTACATAAACCAGTCGTTCATAATCATCAGCCATGTTATAGACATATTGACTCAGTGTTTTACACCTTCTTCATTGTTCTTACAGAATGAAGTTTATTTACTTCTATCCATAGTCTCTGTTTAAATCTTGTGATTGGAGGCAGAATTTCAGCCGGTAGTGAAGGATCATTGGGAGGACTCGTGAAGTTTTTTTTTTTGCTACATTTATTTTATTGTCATATGTATATATACACATTAAATAGGTCATCATTTTTTTTGTTTTGTTTCTAATTATTAACCAATGCAATCAAAAATATTGGAAGAAATGCTGTATTGGTGTGATTTTATGGAATTCAGAAACTGTGTAGAAATGGAGAAACAAGATTTTTAAATATCAATTCCCTTCTAAACCATGTAGAGAGCTGTTTTTTCGTATGTCTGTAAATAATATGTAAACTCTGTCATTTATGACTGGTAGAAGCATGGGACTTCATTATTTCACATGTACAATATGTATTCCTCATGACAAGATCAACATTTCTGACCTCATTACCTGATCATTTGACTTACTTTTAAAAACTTAATTTGGTAATGAGCTGTCTTATAGGGGCTTTTGTGTTTCACACACACATTTTGTTCATTGGGGTCTATAAGCAACTATATATGAATATATGACAGCAAATAACTTACGACTTACCTATCCCACAAATATCACCTCTCCTTTACTCCTCAATGACAAATCCAGTCACATCAATGTTTTAGATGTTTTATTCTCAATAATCTTCATTATTGACACAGAGATACTCAAATAATCAGAAGCATTCATAAAAAAAATTGTATGTGTTAATGTTTCTGTTGAACTTACTGAGGTACTTTATCATAGAAGAAAATTTAGAAAAAATGACCCATTTGATTTTGCAACACCATATAAATCTGTGTAACTACTATTGTAAGAATCATTATGTGTACAATATTTATCACATTCTTTGAAACTTAAGGAACTGTGTACATGTATAACAAGTAAATGAAAAAAAAAAAATGAAATAATGATTGAGATTATTCTATAACTAAAATGGCAAGATGGTCTATAGTGCATCGGAGCTAGTGTTGATTGAATGAAAAAATCTCTATTTAAGAATTTTCTAATGCATGATGAATGGCACTCTCTGTGATAAAATGATACAAGTGTTTAAACAGTCTGATCTGGTATAACATACCCTGTGTAAATCATTAAATCTAGGTGGGAAGATGCATAAATATGTTGAACATATTCACTGGAATGGTGACCATATATTACTTAACAGTTGGAATGGTGTGCTTGTTTACTTTATTAAACTTTTTAAAATAATATCCTGCACCTTTTTAACCAAAACTTATTGTGCAATGATATATTTACTGTGTTACAAGTAGTAAAAGGATATACATGTATAATATTAACATAAAAAAAGTATTGGGACTTCAACATGAATGGATTCATTAAACAATTAAAAAAAAAAACACCATCAAGTAAGAAGAATATCACAATAAATTATTATATAATCTCATCAAATCCACCCAAATATCACAATGCATTCTTTGGAACAAATACATGTACACCAAAACTTTTGTCCAATAAGCACTCATGAAAAACTAGTATACCCTGTTATAAAGATACATGGGGATCGTAAGAAGATGCATGGACACAGACTTAAATCCTGTTCTCATCTCATCAAGTGTAATAAATACTTGATAATACATAAACACCTTTCATACCCGTACAGAAATATGATTCAATTTCATCCGAAGCATCTTCAAAATCTTACAAATTTTAACAAGTAAAAAAAGAAAAGAAAAAAATGTTCTGATATAATAACAAAACCAGATATTATCAAAAGACAAAAGGACAAGATAGTCCTGGGTTGATTGACTAGAGAGTGTCAAATTGTGGAAGAATCCTGTGTTTAAATGTTTGTTTCTTCACTTTTTGAACACAGGATTAATGGGAAGGAGGAATTGACAATACAGGTGTGCTAAAGAATAAAACATACCTCTTGAAATCAATGAAAGACGTGTACACTGGAATATCCTAAACCACAAATTGCAGTTAAAGACTATTAAATCTTGAAAAGTTTCACTATGGATGGTACAGGCAATCTAATTACTGTTAAATGTAATATGAATACTGAAAAAAGTATGAAAACACACCTTATCTACTACATGTATATAAATACAATGTACTAAGTATTTATCAGTTCATTTCTCCTAGACAACCATGTATAAAAATCACAATCTCTCAACTCTTATGCTTGAAACAAATAGCAAAGGCATACAAACATCCAATTCAGGATGACATAACAATTTAATAAGATGATATATCATAATAAATATTGAACATGATTTCAAAAGGGGAAAAAAAATCACCAGATTGTCTTTGAATGCTTATCTAGCTAACACCAGTCAGATTCTGACTCGTCGGAATCGTTATTCAATGGAATGTTACTATCACTGCGCATTTCTAATTTCTCCGGCTTCTTTTTACGAGCTTTAATCCCATTAGGCACTGTTGGAGAGTGTCTCTGTCTGCCTCTGTTTACACTAGAACTGGGCTCTTCAAATTCACTAGCCAGAAATTTAGTTCTTTCACTCGAGCTTTTATTAACATCTGGTGAGTGACTACTAGATCTAAATTTGTTGAAATTGGACCGATCCCGATTCCATTGATCACCGTTATTAGACCGCCGCCCTACTTGGGGTAAAGTCTTGGAATGACTTGAGGAGGGGGCACTCACTTTATTGAGATTGTTCCTCTCTGTGGGGCTATATGGCTCAGGCCTCCCAAACTTTCCTGGGGGTGGGGGGTAATTGGAGATGGGGGGAGGAATGTTTTTATTTTTGGGCTTGTGTGTGGGTGATGTGTTAAGTCTAGGAAAGTTAATATTTCCAGGAGATTTCACCGATTTAGGTACAGTAGGAGAAGGCAACACTCTAGGCATGTTTTCTTTCAATTTGGGTTGAGCAAGATTAAGAGTTGAAGGCTTGACAAGTGGCACACTTGGAAGTTTTCTTGTCTGTTTCTTGGGTGGCGTGGAAGCGGGGCTAGGACTACGTGACCTGTCGGTCAGATTGGCGGTGCCGTAGTACTCCTGTAGGGGGGTCTGTGAGGGAGTGGTGTTGGGGGAGGGGCTTCTTGATCTGGTCTCCAGTGAGGTGGATCTATAAAATGTGCTGTCACGGTTGGCGTGTCTTAATGGCTGGGGACTAGGTGATGGGGAACACACAACCTTCTCCTGAGAGATAAGTGGGGGTCGACGAATCAAACTGTGGAGGCGCTGAGAGGGAGAGTTGGGTAGACTCATACTCAAACTGTCGTCATGTCGCGCTCCTGGAAAAAGAAATTAAAGTATTGTTTAGATAATAATAAATGACACTGTTCCATTTGTGACAAAGTCTTATCAAAGATCAAATGAAATAAATAAAAATAAATCTAGTTCATCAACATTAAAAATTTTAAGAAAAAGAAAATATTGGAAAGAATAACCTGATCATTAAATTTCCTCAATAGATAATGTACATTTAGCACCAACATAATAGTTTCATGCTTATAAAACCCATGTTGAGAAAAGAAATCGAAATGTTATGAATGTTAATTTCTGCTTCTTAAATTTGTTACCTTTGAATTGTTCCCCATACAAACATTAATCATTTAATGCAGTGATAATTTTCTAAGCTTTTTTTTGGATAATCATGCTTTTCAAATTATTAATTTGAAAGAAAAAATGAAATTAAACTGTATAGCCAAGACCTTCAGATGTACAAATAAAAAAGCCCTTCAATCATATAATGTATGTATCAGCAATTTTTTTTATTATTTAGTGAAAAATTACCACAGTCCACTGAATGTTTGCTTCCCATTCCTCTGAGAACAAAATCATACAGCATTATAATAATTTGTGATATTAAGCATCTCCAAGATCAAAGTGGGAAAGTGTATCAAATTTGTAGTTCTAAGGGTACAATGTGTAGGTGAAAAAAAAATCTTATATGTCTACCACTGATGTACAGTGTGAAGGGTTCTACTACAAGGGCTTTTTTTTGGTTTAACCAATATCTGGCTTTCTAATTTTAACAAAAAAATGAATGTGACTAGTTTAAGCTTAGAATATATGAAAGATGAACTACCTATTCCATATCTCTTAAGTTTATCCTGCTCCGAGATATAATGAGCCTGGTCCACGATGTTTGAAACAGCGGAGGCAAAGCCATAATCTCCACCACGCCTTGGGGACATGGATCGTCGCCCCACCAGTGGGGAGGAGGTGGGGGAGTGGAAGGCCCTAGGCATGATGGGGGACCGTGGAGAAATGGGGGAGGCTGGCAGGGAGGGGGACTTGTTTCCCGAGCGCAGGGAGAAGTCCGATCCTGCCCGAGTCATGTTGGTGTGTCCTGTGGCGTGCTCGGGTTTAAGTCCAGAGGAAAAGTCCTGACCCATGGACTGTAATAAAACAAAACAGTTATTTATTAATATCCAAATATAATAAGACAAAGGTTTAATTTGAATTAAATGTTGTAACACTACAAGATTTGCTCTAGTTGAATATAGATTTTATTGCTGATCACTTTAAATACGTAATGATTTTATTTGTGAAATCAAATGTGGAGTTAAAAAAGTAAATTATATCACTACCACTGCCACCACCACCACCACCAAACTAATAATTAAATATTTAAGCTGTAGCCACAGTAGGTACTTATCAAGTTCACCAAAGCTATATAAACATAAATATAACCTACAAAAAAACTCCTATTACCCGAAACAGAACTAATTCTAAAGAACGGCAATTTATCAAGATAAAATGGTTGTCCTGCAGAAGCATATGCAATGTTTCTACTTTAAAACGTCTCAATCAAAGCCCCATTACCACCACCGGCTAGGTTTCCCTGACTATAACCCGTGACCTTTTCAGCCTAAGCTAATACCTCCTTGGGTTGGTAGTTTGGCCCTAGGAAATGTACCCTACGTTTAAGATTAACAGGTGAGGAAATGGATGATAATTGGTCATCTTCATCATTCATTGTAAATGTTGTATTGATGTACCATGGACCATCTTGTTTGCGGTTTGCCTATACAATTCCAAATTCATTGCAATGTTCATTATTTTTCCAATGTCTCTCATATCGCAGCTGCAACTTAATCTTGCAGGTATTTTTATATAATAAAATTTCAATCAAAACACATGGAGCTTATGGGATTTCCATTAGCCCAAGTTAAGTCTTAAATACTAAGATTAACTCCCTTGTCCTTAAATAGTAAATGACAAATTAGATTTATATATTTTTTGAATAACTGTCGAGAAAAAATTAGAAGGAACTTGTTAGAGTGCTGTCAGAGGTAAGCTGATAAATCATCTCTAGCTTTCTTAATCTAATGTAAAACTTGAATCCTGACCTGCACACTGCTGGCATCCTGGTTATCTTTCTTTTTCTTGCTGCTGTTTCTTCTTAAAAAGCTAAAGGATCGATTCCAGGAATGTCTATCACTGAAAAAAGACAATGTATGGATAAAACGTCTCATACAAAGCATCAATATTTTCTCTCAAGGGCACATTATCTCTCTGTGCCATATGAGTACGGTAACTTTGCCATGTCTTTTTTCTTATTCAATCTGACCTGTTTTCTTTAGTTAGTTCAGTTTAAGCCATAATACCACTTTTCCACCCTTTATTCCAAAACAAAAATAAATCATTATCGTTATTTAACCCCTTATAAAAATCTATTAATTGACCTACCCATCATATCCCCCGTCATCTGAGTGTTCTGAATCATGATTGAGGCATGACCGGCGGTGACCACCCCCAGCATTCTCTTTCTGTAGGAAAAGAAAGAAATCGGTGTTAAAGTCAACAGAGCTCATAGACATGGAAATACTTCTTCATCAGCTAACTGTAAACAACAAATGCAGATATCTGAAACCAAATCATACAAAAGTAGTCAAGGAAAAAATAAAACGGTCTCGTAAAAAAATTATACAACTTATAACAAAATAATATACATGTAAACTTCAATGAAAGTACAGAATTTCCAAAGTTAACAAAAGGCCCAGGGGCCACATCGCTCACCTGAGCAATTGGCTAGAGAAAAAGCACATATCAGATCAGAACTGAAAGTTTACTGAGGGCAGGGAGGGGGGAGCATCTACATTTGTTTGAACAAACTAGAATCTACAATCATCCCTATAAATATGACTAAGCATGGCTTTGAAGTACTTGAAAAGAAGATTTTAAAAGGTTTTCCTATTAATTCCTATTTAAAACTTTTATCGACCATTCGGCCCCACCCTACCCCCCGGGGTCATTATTTGAAGAAACTTGAATCTACACTATATATAGAGTTTCATCTTTCCTGTCTCAATGGTTCTTGAGAAGAAGATTTTTCCTAAATATTCCTATGTAAAACTTTCATCGGCCATTTTGGCCCTACCCTACCCACGGGGGTCATGATTTGAATAAACTGGAATCTACACTACCTGAGAATGATTCCATATGAGTTTCATCTTTCCTGACCAAGTGGTTCTTGAGGAGAAGATGTTTAAAGATTTTTCCTATATATTCCTATGTTAAACTTTGATCGGCCATTTTGGCCCCACCCTACCCCCGGGGGTCATGATTTGAACAAAGTTGAATCTACACTACCTGAGGATGATTCCACATGAGTTTCATCTTTCCTGGCCCAGTGGTTTTTGAGTAAAAGATTTTACCTATATATTCCTATGTAAAACTTTGATCGGCCATTTTGGCCCCACCCTACCCCCGGGGGTCACGATTTGAACAAATTTGAATTTACACTACCTGAAGATGATTCCACATAAGTTTCATCTTTCCTGGCCAAGTGGTTCTTGAGGAGAAGATTTTTAAAGCTATATATTCCTATGTAAAACAACAAATGCATGATTTGAACAAAGTTGAATCTACACTAAATCATTCCACAATCTTTCCTGGCCCAGTGGTTCTTGAGAAGAAGATTTTTTAAAAATGCCATTAATAAAATCTCCCCTTGGAAAAGGGCGTGGCCCTTCATGAACAAAGTAAATCCCCTTTACCCAAGGATACTTTGTACAATTTATAACTAAAATGTGAAAAGTTTACAACAACGACAACGAACAAATTTTGATCAGAAAAGCTCACTTGAGCCTTTGGCTCAAAGTTAAAAAGGAGTTGAAAGAAAAAATTAGTAAAGACAAGAGGATGAAAATGTTGAAAACAAAAGAAGTAGAAGAAATAAACAAAAATAAAAATGTACCTGCATTTATTGCCGAGTTCTTGGATGACACTGATGTTGTATTTAAGTGCCATATATAGACCCTTAATATTAATATATTAGTACCAGAAAACCAGATAATATCCAGGAATGATATACCAAACCCGAAAAGCCACTGGCTGCTAAGTTTGCTTTATAAACTTAGACCAAGTGAAGCAAATATTTGAAAAATTTGTTGAAGATTATTACAGTGGGAAGTAATATGCATATTAATTAACTACTAAACTGTTCACACCTTATGTTAAAGTGTTATGATAACTGTATCTATAACTTCTAGAGCTATTATGCACATGTTAAAAAGATAGAGACAGTTGTTGCTTCTGAATTTTTTTTCTTTGTACTTTCTCTTGGTGTCAAAATTCACCTGCTGATTAATACATGTACTATTTCTGATCTTTTATTAATGAACTAAAAAGGATAATATCTTTGATAACTAGTGCTATGATAACCAGTGCTGTGAATCTAAAACTTAAACACAATCATTATACAGTCCAAAACTCAGTGCAATTTGACCACTTAAAAGAAACTTATTAAAATACCCCAAACTCTACAATATATACACTTCTAGTGAAATAGAATAAGTGCATAAATGGTGAAAAATTAACTATGAAAAAACAAACTTTAAACTTATTGTAAACTCATCTAACATATAAATTAGTGTGTGTATAAATACAAAGACTATGTTGTGTGCGTAATTGTTTGAGGCAGTGCTGAATAAAGAACTAAACTTTAACCCTGAACACAAGGTGGTGTGAGTATTGATATAAGAACCAAAATAAAAGTGTCCCCTTCACGCCCTCCGGTCATCACATGGCCTTCCTGGTCTAAATCCCCCCATCACAGCTTTACTGTACAGACCAGTTTGTGCGAGGAACATGTGATGACCTCAAAAGACAGATCCATCTCAACTGAAACAGTAGGCCAAAACAATTTAGAAAATTGAATTAGATCTCAAAATAAAATTATCAGCATTTTAAAGCTGATCAGAATTTAATTTTTCATAATTTTGAAAGGATTTGGATTATGATTTATTTTTAGATTTCTGTGTTTCTTTTTGAGCCTTGGTGGGACTCGGGCAAGGATCTGTCTTTTCATTGCATGCGTCTACAAAACTTGACAACAGTTAATGTGTAAGTATTAGACAGAAGTGGTAGCAGTTTTTGGGTCAAGGTCGGCACTTTGAGTGTCTCCATGGTTACTAACCTCCTCTTTATCTTCGACCTAAATAAATGTGGAGTAGCAAAGTTAAAAGAGCATTTGCCTTATTCATGGAAGTTTTAGCCTTTACAACTTAATAACTCTGTAGCAGACATATTATTTTAATATCCCAGACTAATTCAATGATGAAATAACTTACCATTTTAAGATTGTTCATTTTGGACTGACTTGCTTTATACGCTCTCCAGTTTTCAGCAATAATCAAACCAACATATATTTTCCCAACTGTCATATGATTATCATTCAACTCTGTTGCAAAAAAATAATTAAACTAAATTATTACACAGCTCATATTGGGCACTTATACATTTTTTCTTTAGAACATTACAAACATCTCAAAGAATAGGACCGTAAAGCATTTTCATTTTCTCCCTCTCTATTGTATATGGTGAGTTCATTTGAAGCCATTCTTTCTCTGACATCAGATGTCACTCTTTGTTACCTGAATTATGTGGGACCAGAAGGTTAAGGAGTTTCTTTTTGCGAGCCTGCACTGGCCACATTTTACGAATTAGCTCTCTCAGTTCATCATCCAGCTTGTCCATTTCTTCCACTGAAATCAATTTCCACATAATTAGTGATAAAATATTAAGATACATATTGCAAATATTTATCTCAAATTAATCCATTCAAATCATTTAATAGAATGAATTTTATCCATGTTTTTATAAGATAATTTTTTAACAAAAATTTATATTCGGAATAAATCTTACCTGGGCCCATTTTGATAGAAAGAGATTCTCTAATCAAAGCAAACAAAGTTGTGGTGAAATGAACAGTGTTGTCATTAGCAACAGGCATATTCATCCTGATCAACTTCCGGTACGCGAATTTGGTCGGACAGTTTTTGCCAAAACCCACAGGAGGCTCCATGTTCTTTAACATCTCATACATATCCTGATAATTGATCCGTCCTCTGAAGAATACAACAAGGGAAGTCTATGTATCAGGTCAAACCAGTAAATATCTTAGAAAAAGTCCCTTCCTATAGTCTGTATATCCTGGATATATTTTTGTCCCCCGCTTGAAAAGTGGGGGATATTAATTTGGGTTTGTCCGTCCGTCTTTCTGTCTGTCTGTAACGCTTTCGTTTCCACACAATATCTCGAGAACCCTTTGAGCTTTTGCAATGAAATTTAGCATAGTAACTCCCTATGGACTAAAGAAGACCCCTATTGATTTTGAGGTCAAAAGGTCAAAGGTCAAGGTCATAAATAAGCAAATTCTGTCTGTTATAACACTTTCGTTTCCACACGATATCTCGAAAACCCTTTGAGCTTTTGCAATGATATTTTACATAACAACTCCCTGTGGTCTGAGGAAGACCACTATTGATTTTGATTTCAAAGGGTCAAAGTTCAAGGTCGTAAATTTATACATTCTGTTTGTATGAAACACTATCATTTTCGGGCGATATTTTAAGAAAATTTTGAGCTTTTCTATGTAATATTATACCAAAACTCCCTAGGACCTCTCTCACCCCTCTTAAAGTGCCCCGCCCCGTTTATTTTATTAGTATTTATTGTATTACATGTCGCTATTTTTAGCACAGGGACATGAGGAGAATTATTACGTATAAAACAGGTTCTCGGTGGACTTTATATTCTTATTACATCTATTAGAACTGTTTAATAAAGGTTAAAATAGACACCATGCATTGTGCAAAATTTTGACAATATCGAAAGTAAATATATACATGTATGTCACTTCATGTTTGTATACAATTGTCTCCATATTACAGCGGCTCCATGGTCTAGTGGTATGTCTCTCGCTTCAAGTGTGAGAGGGCCCGGGATCGCATCTCGGACGGTCCTTTTTTTTTTCGAAATACTTTTCTTTTTTAACTAAACGATAGTATTCAGCATGTGAAATGAAAAATTTATGAGGTCTGGCTTGTACAAACTCATGATATCATCATTACAGTGTGATAAATATTCCATATAAAAAAGAATCTTCTACACACATAATAAAGAATAATCCATCAAACCTCTATATCCACATTGGCATATTTTATTTGCTTACATTGTATGTATACATTTGTATACATTTCATAATTCTACAAATTCAGTGAAAGAAACCCCCCCCCCCCCCAAACTGCGCATGGGTTACTTTTCCCTAAGCGGGGGACACAAATTCTCTGAATTAGCTTGTTTATCATTATTTTTGAACGAACACATTGTGTATTTTATAGCTTTTAATGATGCTTTCATTATATTCACGAAACAAACACTATATCCAAAAGTGTAACAAATTATTTTGGTCTTTTTACTAGTACATGTATTTCAAAATGATCTCAATAATAGGTTTGGCCATTATAAAGACCTAGCTATTATGAAATCTCAGTTCCCTATAAATTACATAGTTATGGCTGATGTTAACTTTCTGCGAGTAAACAATTTAACTAAAACAATAGGTTTGTCTTTCTTCAATGTTCCAACATTAGCATGACGTGACCTATACTTACGTGGCTCCCGGGTCAATTTCAGCCCACTCTCGGACATACTCGTCCAGATGATGTGGACCCAGGATAGAACTGTCCCGGGTCAGGTAGTCAAAGTTATCCATGATGACAGCAACAAATAAATTCAACATCTACAGAACCAAAAATAACTATGTCAATGTAAGTAGACAAAGTCAAAAGCATAGGATGGTTAAAGAAGAAATTTCTTTTACAACTGTGAATTTCTCACTAGAAAATACCAACTTCTGAATGATATGATAACACTTGGCAAATGTATAACTTCAATCTACTCTTCTTTTACTACTTTCATGATATTAGACCTTAAATTAATTATTATTGTATGTAAAATGTCTCACGAGAAATGAACTGAGAAACATGAAGGACACAAAGTAGACGTAGGCAATGGCTGAACTTCCGCAGGTCTTGGGCGGGTTAAGGCCAGATTCGGGGTCACAAGGTCGCCCCGACAGACAGGCCATCATTATCGCCTGCCAATTCTCACCTGTAGCACATCTAAAGAAAAGAAAAACCAAAATGAAATAAATGGATGACATTTTCAGTTCAGCACTTCAATCCTTCTATCATCATTACAGGTCAAGGGCACATAAACATAATAATCATGGAATATTTCAAGAATGATAATGTGATATCAATGGTGAAATATGTAGAAAAATCTTGCTTTAATAATTACTGATTTTAATATTCTATAGGATAGAATAAGTTTTTTTTTATCTCCTAAAAATAAGATCTGCTGCTGTCAGCAATATTTTTCCCTTTGACTTGCAAACATAAACACTCACCTGAACAAAAGCATGAGTGCATATAAGAAGTTTCTAAAATTATTGTGTCTGTTGATATCTGTTTGTGAGTCAAGTTTGATATTTCCAAACACCTGGAAAATGGAAAATGGATTTGTATGAGATCAAATATGAAGGGCATGGTTTCAAGTGAACAAGCCATGATGCTTATGAGCATTAAAAACTTTATGATGTTTCTTTGTTTTAAGAAAATCTACCTGCATTCCTATGATGGCGAATATGAAGAACAGCATGAGAATCAGTAAGCACACATAAGGCAGTGCCTGGAAAAAATAAAATATCAATAGTGATTAATTCATTAGTAATTTAACTGATCATTAATTTTAGTTGTTTATTATACAAGCTATATACTCCGTACTAGCTGGTACGTGCTTAGAAATAACTGCTAAAAACAACTAACAAGTTAGTTTATTATAGATTTTAAACCAAGTTCTAGGAACTGAGAGAGAGAGAGAAAGAGAGAGAGAGGGGAGGGATTGTTACCTTGAAAGACTGTAGGAAGGTCCAGAGTAAGAGTCGTATAGTGTAACCCTGTCGGAGGAGTTTTATCAGCCTGGCAGCCCTGAACAACCGGAACACACCCACATTGAACATCGAGTTATATGTCTGAAAAAAATGTATAGGAAACAGTATAAATACCACCTGTCCCAAGTATTGTTTTACTTATATAAGAAGACATGTAATGAACCATTTTGGTATGCATTGCAACTTTGTGGGGGGGGGGGGGGGTATAAAATAGACATTCACACAATCATGGATGTATTTTTTCAAATACATTGCATTTTTTCTTCTTATACTGAGTTTGAGTATGTAAGGCTATGGTGAACCAATACGGTACTGAGTACTGATGGTGTCACACACTTTTGAAAGGCTTTTGATACATGTGTTTTCCATGAACATTTACTAAATCTGACCAATATTAACTAAAAAAAAATTCACATTCCTTAATCAGGTAGGTGGGGCAATTTATTTTTGTAAAAAAAAAATAAATATGCAAATTAACATTTTTTATTTCTCCATTCAAGGGATGGGTATTTTTTTTTAAACATTACACAAAAACACTGTTTGTTTGACCATGACTATACTTGTGACTGTATATTTTTTTTATGATACAGAGGTAGAAATTATGTAAACTTTCAAAGGATAAATCTTGAATGAGAAGACTAAATACATTGTAGAAAAGAGCTATTCATGCAGTGAATTTATTTTTAACATGCCTATTGTAAATAGATACATGTATGGGGTGATCTATATCAATGTACAATTTTAGAAATTAAGTTCTATATCTTAGGCAACATCATGCATCCATTGTCAAGAAAGGCACATCATATGTACAAGTAGCTGCAATCAATCAATATTCATTCCTAAATTATTTAATGCAATGGTTTGCATAAGCTGCACTTTCGCCATATCACAAATACATCAAGGTTGAGGGAAACATGAACAAACTATCTATTCAAGCTTTTCAAACCAAATTTTCATTTTTTTTTTTTGGTCATAAAAGCAAAATGAACAAGAAATATGCTCAATACACATAAGTCCATAATCTGCATTTTTGTAACTATTAGTATTTGCTATTTCACTTCCCTTTGCCAATAATATAAATAAAACATATTTTTAAATAATTGATCCTCAAGGACTCTTTTTCCCAAATAAGAAGCCCTTCTTTCCAATTTAAATATCTAACTTTTTATCCTTTTTTTTCAAAGGTAAAATATTTCTCTATATTTCCTTGGTCTGGTTCACTGCTGGATATTTGTTGCAAAAAAATGAAAATCCACCACCAATCTAACACTGGGATAGCAATTAAACAAATGTTGCAGTGACAAAAAGAGATTTGGATTTCTCCAACATTTATAAATTATGACAGAAAAGGAGGAGAACATTTCCTGATTGTATCAACCCCCCCCCCCCCCCCCCCCCCCAAAAAAAATTCTGATTGGAGTGATGCAATGATAATCTCTTTGGCTTCAGTGAAATACACATATAAAGTGTACGATATATTATATCACTGAAGCTTATCATCTGATGCCAATAACTAGAAATCTTGTGTATCTGAAGTTGTTTGTTTTTGATAAAGTGTTCACTTGGAGAATTTTCATGAATTGATTATCTTTTTATAATAAATTGATTTAAATAAATGTTTGCTCTTCATACTTTCCAAACAGTCCTGGTACATTTAAAGACCATTTTGTGATAAGAAGATTGATAGAATTTAAATTTTAATAAAATATAAGGATAATATTGGGTTACATTGTAAATTGTAGATATATTGACACATATATAATATAATAAACAGTGCATTAAGTGCAACAAAATGATAGCAGCCCTCAACATGTACATTGTTTCAGTGCATTTACTAAATGTTTACATTGTAGATCAATATACTATACATCTAAATCAAAATATTTCCCCGACAGAAAATTTGTTTGCAAGTTGGAGATTGAATCATACACAACAAAAATGAAGGTCACATATGTGTTTCATTTGAGAAAATAAAGATCCAGGGTGTGTACTATGTAGTGTATTTACAATGTATTTCTATCCAGAAATCCAATGGAAAATTATACAAGCATAAAACATTGTTCCGCAGTTTAAAAGGTGCTGTGCTCAGATGAGCTACACTAGGGTATTGCAATGCACTATATACCATTACTAAAAGGGACTTTGTTTTCAACATACATTGTCTAAAATGTGAAAAAGTTTTTCTTTTGACATGCAAATCTGATAGAAATGTCAATATAAATATTGTTTTTCATCAATAATAACAACTAGGTGATTTATTAAGTCTTAAATATATATTGCAGTGGGTTAAACTTGTATTTTTTTTTTTTATTTCTCCATGAAATAAATTTATACATATTTTGTGTGAGGGCATGCTGTATTTCAATCAGATTTGAATATAAATCTAGGGTGCAGAAATGTAAATTGCATTTTCCTTCAATAGAACTATCAAATTATTAAGTACACAAACCTCTCCACTATCGTCTTTTGAAGACAATAACTCCTAAAACGGTCAAGCAGATAAAATTCAAGTTTATACTATATTTCACAAGGCCCAAAGGCCACAATTTTTTCTCCAAGGAAAATTTAATGTAGCAATTCTGTGTGGCATGTGCAAGTTGAAGCATTCACTTTAATACCCGGTTACGTCGATAAAAATTCAGAATTTTTAAAAGAAATTTTTTATATAAAATTACATGTGTATCATAAAACTTAAAACTTATTAACTTCAACTGATTTTTTAATGTGGTATAGTAAGAATTTGATTTAATTATCCTATTTTGGGTTTCTCTATTTTTATTATCACACAGAGGTTAATTCAAGTAAAACTACTTTCCAATGCTTTTTTTTACCATGAGCATTAAAGATTTTAAGCATATTATCATATTTCTTGCCAAATCAATCATTTTTAGTTGTGCAGCAGTGACGATGTAGCTGGAACAATCACATTTATACATGTATATATAAAAAAACAATTATTGGCATAAAGCAAGGAGGTCCACTTACCCCAAACTCATTGACTAAAACATCAATGATACTGCCTACAACTGTTATGAAGTCGAAGACATTCCAAGGGTCATGGAAATAATTCTGTGGAAAAAAATAGTAAAGCATAAAGGTTATCTGTAAAGGCAAATAGGAAAAAATGTTAACTTTTTTTTTTTACCAAATCATTCTTATTAAAATGAAGCAAGTTAAGAGGATTCTTTTCCATTAAAATATTTGAGACGTTATCTTAGATATTGATATTGAAGTTTCATTTATTATATACTTTAAAAATTGAAAAAGCACCATTAACTTGTGCATTTGGTAAATGTTACATCATTAATATAATTATTCTTTGTTAGATAAATATGTTTTACTGATAAAATTGAATAATAAAACTTGAATTATGTCAATATGAGGATGAAATAATAAGAAAAGCTGGTAAAGAAAAATCAAGCATACACAGGATGTGAACAGAAAATTTGCATGTTCCTTCAAACTATTAGGGGATGCAAATAGAAAAAAAAGAACAAATTTCAATTCAGCAATTAAATAAATAAGATTTGACTTACGTGGCCAAACATTGCTATTAATTTTTTTTCTTCCAATGGAACCTGATACTTACAGATTCTGTACAAGCTAGGGCTCTTTTAATAAACTTTGCCAACAAACTATTGAAATATAAATCAACAACAGAAAATATAGGTGGCTTAGAAATGTTTATATATGTATAAATATAGACACAAGGGGAAGCCAACAATGGTTCACAATTTAGACTACACGTAAGCAAATAAAGGGGGATTACTCTGGATATGCCTTCTTCTATTCCCTACATAAGAGATGTCTGAACCTTTTTTGTCCGATTGAAAACAGTTAGAAAAGCTACAATTCTAGAACAGAATCGCCTGTTTGGGGAGCAAGATTAGTATTCTAATATCCAAAAGTAATATTACATGTTTAAATATTCTCTAACAAGCAGAATGAGAGTTGACATTGTATACTTATGGGCAGACAATTAGTCATATTCCAAGAATCTTAATAAGCCCTTCAAGGGAGCTCTTAATTGATTCAATAGTTTTAAATGGGGCCTCTGTATTGCAAAACAGAAGTTATAACAAACACAAGGAAACCATGTAATGTTAAACAACTGCTGAGAGAGTCTATCTCTCAAAAATACTAACCTAACAAAGTGACAATTCTGCTAAGAGTAAGGACAGATCAATTCACTAGTGCTATACCACTTCATATGTACCTGGAACTGCATGTACATCACCAAGTTGCAAAAACACACAAAAATACAATTTTTTCAGTTCATCTTTAGAATTTCTTCTGTGAGCAAGACCTTTGAATCTACCAACATTTTTGGCCCAATTAAGGTTCATCGATACTCTGATAAGAGAGATAACTCTTAATGATATAAATGTCTATTATTCCTTTACAGATTTGCCAAGTTGAAGCGTCTTTTTTGTCCCATTTAGCTCTGCAAGCTATGCTAAAATTGCTTGTATTTTATTTAACAAATATGTTTCTTTTGGAAAATCATGAGACACAGAAATATTTTATATGAGTGAGCAGAGGGTATTTGAACCTTTAGTTATTAATTACTGTCCTGTCCTGAGACTAAAACACAAAGAAGGCAAATCCTGAGTCTGCGATGTTTTCACAATGACAACACCCAATCAGGAGGTCCTGTCAACACATTTCTTTTCAAGGAAAAAAAATTCCTTGAATATCACTTAAAAATCACTTGAAATTTGTAACTTGTTTATCCAATTTATTTTTTTTTAAAATTGATAACACAAAATTAATTCTGTTCATAATTTCGAAAAATGTGTTGCACTGCTACAATGCTGAAACATGGTTTGTATGCCCATGTGAAGATAGGGAAAAATATGAAAACTTCTGAAATCAAAATGTAACAACGTATGAGACGGAATATTGTGTACAAATTGACATTTCAAACCTTGATTCCGAACGCGAGTAGCTTCAATACACACTCAATAGTGAAGAGGATGGTGAATATTATATTTATCGAAATCAAAACTCGTTCGTATTTATGCTGATCTTGATTATTTTGGAAATCTTGGCCTCGGCCCTGGCCCGTATCACCACTAGTTTTGTTGCTGAACTGAAATCAAGGCAGTTAAAAAACGTTTGGTTTAAAGAGGTAGCAAAGAGATTCTAAATAAATAATGTGTGATGGTTAGCAAATTCTGCTACAACACTCATCAAAATGCACCTACAATCAGAGGCATTACACACAAAAGACAAAAGTTCTCATTACACATTCAAGTTCAATTTGAAATAGAATTTTTAAAATTGCCATATCTTTTTTTAATCACTGGTGTAATATTTTTCACGACTTCAAAATTTGACAGAATTATGTCCCCTTTTACCTTTGTCAACTGTATAAACTTTTGTCTAGTGTTTTAAAACAACCATACCAATTTCATGAAAATTAGAAATTAGGAAGAAAAATACAGACTGAGCATAAAGAATAGAGCAAAAAGAACTGATGAAATCAGACAGGTCTGCTCCCATAAGCTTCATACAATGAGCCTGTCACCAGGTGCAACCAGTGATGAATGAGTAGAGCCAAAAAGCTTCCAAATTTGCCATGTGAGGGTAAACCACATCACATTTATTTATGATTTTTTAAAAAAAAATAATTTATAGGTCTTCTAAATTAATTCTTTTTTTTACTTAATAACTGCTTGAAACGAACTTGATTTTGACTTGAACTTGAATATTTGCTTAAATCAATGAACTTGAAATTGACTTGAACTTGAATATGTGCCTTAATCAATGAACTTGATTTTGACTTGAATATGTGGCCATATCAATGAACTTGAATTTGACTTGAACTTGAATATGTGCTTAAATAAATCAATTATAATAAGTGTGAATAGTGGTTTACAGTAAATGATTGTGCAAAATGAACTAAAATTTGTAATGTAAAAGTTTTAGAAAGATACAAGAATATGGTGACAATCATTTACAACTGATTAATACAAGTACACAGTTAGTAAATGTGCCTCCGTAATCGTGAACCATTCCCATCAAATATTCTAAAATCTAGACTTTTTTTGCACAATATTTTGACAATTATTTCAAATTAAAAAAATAAAGTCTAGATTGTAAAATACTTTGTAAAGTGATATATTAATTCATACTTTCTTAAATATGATGCAAAGTAGTCATACATTTTGTCAGTAAAATTTAACATGCAATATGCACATGAAATATTAGCATCAGTATTTTTTCAAACACTATTTTCCAAACATAGTGCATCAATTAAAAAATCAATTTCAAAATATTACTTTTCAGATAATTTCAAGGTCATTTTTCAAATACTTTAACGACTGATAAAATGTATGACTGTTTAATAGTTACTAAAGACTTGTGAGAAATGAGAAAAAAAGGTGTTTCCCCCGACCATTGGTTACCTTTCCGAACCCAATCAACTTTAGGGTACATTCTATTGAGAACATGATCGTAAATCCCATATTAAGATATTTAAGGATCGTCTTGTATTCGTTGCTCATTCCGTCATACTGTCAACGAACAACATATGACATTTTATCGTTGCATTTTTTTTCCAGAAATTTTTTTGAAAATACAAAATTTTAAAATTTACCAATTAAATATAATTTCTAAAAAGTTTCTTTTTTCTTTTAATAAACAAAAATTTCAAAATGTCATTTTGATAGTGAAAAGAATTATTGCATTAATATTGTATGAAAATAGCTTAAGAGGACATTAGCTGCTGCACAGGAGCTCAGATAAAAAAGAAAAAACATAAATTATAATCTTGCGACAAGGGCAGCTCAATAAAGGCATCAATTATGCATTAACAGTTGTCAAAATTGTTTGTTTGTTTTTGCTTTTAAAGTTTTGTTCAAGTTTTACAAACAATATTAGTTAAAAGAAATCCAATTCATTAGTTATATGTTAATCAAATTTTGAACAATGTGCTTTTATTCTTTATAACACAAATCAAGGTGTTCTTTATTTTACCTTCAAAGCTGTGAAATAAATTGTCAGTAAAATGTCAGAAAAAAAGACATCAAATGGATAAATTACTTAACTACTCACACTGAAGCACAATGTTTAAGTTCATAAATAGAAATGTATAATACAAGTTGTAATAATTATATAGATCCTCAGGTTTCTTAGAAAAGGTTTTCAGAATAATGCATTTGTCATCAACCTGGTTTTTCAAACAAAATGATTATTCATATATATATGTAGAGCTTGGACAAGTAATATGGTCTTCAAATATGGACAAGTTTTAATTATAGATCTTCAAACATCTCAAGAAAAAAGCACTTTTTTTCATTAAGTAAAAATTTCTCTTCAAGCAATTGAAAAGAAATAGCATTTGGCATAAAGTTTCTTTTGTAAGTTCATATAGTGTTTTAATTTATTTTGACTAATAGAAGATTTAATTTACTTAGTTGTAGGCAATATAGTTAATCAACTTGACATGAACAAATAGACCTACCTTCATCATAAGTACGATCGTGTTCAAGGCGATCAGAGTCATCACAAAATACTCAAACTTCGTCGACACGACCAGCTTCCAGATCTTGTACTTGATCGTTTTCTTGTTTTTCGGCATATATCGACTGGTGGGACGTGCATTTATTGCGAAGTCTATACATTGTTTCTGCAAAGTTAAACAAAAGAAATGAAATTAGTTTTCTAGTACATGGATTTTTTAAAGATATTTTACAAACAAAATCCATTCAAATTGAATGTAGAAATTTTAAACAAGATGAAAGAACCTGCATGACAACTGCTTTGTTATACATAACTGTTATACTTCCATGCTGTTAATAATGTTGTCTTGTTAAAAATACATTTTCTAAACATTACTGTAATATGGTATACATTAATCATCTACCATTATTAGCATACACCATCACACACAATACAGATAGTTGACTAAAATTTTCATTAATTCTGTAGATTTCTTGTACCACAGTGCATTGTATAGTACACAACAAATATCCCTTCCAGTGAACGCTTGCTCATTTTCTATATTTTATTTTTTTCAAAATCATTTCTTGGTAAGTTTTATCTTCAGAAACATAGTTTAATTTATATGTTTGGATTGAATATGTCAGTGTATCACTTGTGCTGTACTTGCTCATTTGAGTTAGTCTTGGATGCAGTTTTGTTACACACATCACTTAATTGTGATATTATCATATTCGTATTTGTAGTGTGAATTAATTATAAACATATATTCACCTTGTGTTACTTACGTCTATAGCTGACAACTAGAATGTATCACTATTATGTTACAACTACATGAATTTCAAACAAACAGACAAATACATAGTATAACTATTATATTACAACTACAAGAATTTCAAACAAACAGACAAACAGATATCTTCAGGTACTTTGAAAGTGAATATCTGAAAGTTTTTAAGGAGAAAGAAAAAAAGAAAGAATTCAATTGCTCATGAAACATAACCAAGAATTATATAATTAAGACTTCTAAACAACATCAAAATTTGGAATGCATGACTACTGATATTTAAAAAAAAACCTTTACATTTAGTCTACTTCACAATAAAGTGGGAGGAGTGTAGTAGGCAGAACTCACTTGATTTTTATCAAGCTGTGCATCCTCCAGCTCGGCCTCTCCTTGGTCTTGGAAAGTGATGATGATTAAGGCCACAAAGATATTTACAAAGAAGAACGGAAAAACAATGAAGAAGACGACGTAGAAAATGGCCATCTCCATTCTGTTCCCTGGCTTAGGGCCCTGGTCCTCATAGGTAGAGTCCATGGAGTTATGGAGAATGCTGTGGAGAAAGGCAAGAATTTCAAATCAGGAAACTTGGAACGCTAGCTGTTATAGGAGTTTAAATGCTCAAGCAGTTTTTGTACATCATTATCAAGGTCTATGCAAGTTTTAAATCAGCATACAAGGTCTAGTGATACAAAGTTGCACATGATGATTCCACTGTAACCCTCATCCTACCCACCAAAAAAGCAGGGGGAAATAAAAATTCTTGCTGAACTTTCTGTAATCTTAATTTTCTTTAAAATGCATTCTTTCAATATTTGAAAATGGTGTGGAATGATGGGAGAGAATGTGGTGTAAAGAAATCTTACTTGGGCCAGCCTTCACCAGTGGTGACAGTAAACAGTGTAAGCATGGCTTCAAACAGGTTGTCATAGTGAAAGTCGTGTCGCAGCCATTCCCGATTCTGAACGGTGGGTGTGTCTTCAAACTCCTCATAATAAAAGAACTGGCCCCTATAGAAAGTCAAAAGACATTTTGTAACCCAGTTTCTTTTCAAATCTTAGAGTCACATTTCATAATGTTTTCAACAAATTATAAAGATAAAATTGGTAAACAGTGACTAGTACAACATATTTAAATCTAAAAAAAGAAGTTTTACATGCAACTTATTCATTAAGGCATTTTCTCCTATCATATACAATATTCTTTACATTAAATGCCTGTTCAATTCAGCAAACGTTCTAGCTAACAATTCTGTTACAGGGATGAGTAGTGAGTTTGTGAGCACACTCGAAAGTTCACTTCTTTGACCAGGCCTATGGTGAGTTTATTCACTAACCTACATTCCTCCTCTGTACTTTTTGATTCATCTGTGCAGTAGAAAAACTTCCCTTTAAACAGCTGCACAGCTATCACAGCAAAGATGAGTTGGAACAACATATACACAATCAGGATGTTGGCGACATTCTTTAGAGAGTTCACCACACAGTCAAACACAGCCTAAAAAAACAAAAAGACATAATTTTTATACACAATATACCACGTATAATAGAAAACACTTCAGAGGCCCACACATTTTTTATCAATAAGAAAAAGAGATAGTCTTTTTTTTTTAGTTTTGCATGGTTTGGTTTATTAAATGGAGTTTTCAATCATAAAACTGTCTAAAACTTTGAATTGGAGTGTTTTTCATCTTTAATATCTCATTATCCATCATTCAATGGTAGATCAACATCTTGACTAAGGTCATTTCTCAAAGGTCAAGACATATGAGTACCATGTCAAAAGCTTTAAAAATACAGACATTTTCCTTTTGATTATAACAGGCTTCTTTGAGGTACAGACCTTTAGTTTGGGAAATCTGTTAATTGTTTTCAATGGATTCTGAGGTACAGACCTTTAGTTTGGGAACTCTGTTGATCGTTTTCAGTGGACGTAACACCCTAAGGACCCTCATAGATTTGATCGTGTTCAGGTTCTTGCTGGCTGTATCCCTACAAAGTACACAAAATATACACAGTTAATACCAATTTCATGACAGTAGGTTGATTTCGGCTACAGCTATATACTGTAATATACACAGGACAACAAAACCATGAACACTGGAAAGGATAGATAAACTAAAAAGATAGAGACAATTAAAGGTAGGTAACTCCTACAACAATAATCTGATAAATCATTGCAGTTGTCTTTCTTTATACATCGCTACAACACAATCTACAAACTATAATCAATGTTTTAGGCAAAATTTCTACTTTCAATTCATTCATGCACTTATCATATTCCTTTAAATTTTATACATAACCTTGGGTAGTTTTTTGAATTTTGTTTTAATTCATAATTAAGATACATTGTAAATTAAAGCTGTTCAACAATATTCAAGGGACTGAGCAATTGTAAGCTTCATTGGCAAGATGGAATGCAAAACCTGTTTTGAAAATTGTGTTGGGAATGGGATGTGGTTGGAGAAATATTCAAAAATAAAATTTTGACTTAAATTCTTCAAGCTGTGTAATACTATATTTCATTCAGCATGACATAATTGGTCCATCTTTTTACATAGTACACATTGTTAGCTTTGCTTTGGGATTTGCAGTGCAGGTTCACCAAACAAATTGCTTCACGTTTAACGTATGTATAACATATTTGCCAAAAATTAAATTGTATATATATATATATGTATACAATATCGAACTGTTCACTTTTGCCAATAAATATACATGCATGGTTACCATGGTAACAACATGTGGATGTAGACTTCACCACACCGACATGAACTGTGTTGATTAACAAAAATGTTGAATTCAAAATGATTGTGCATTGTTAGCAGTACACTGTATATATACAAGCCAAGTTTGCTATTTCTTACACTGCCTCCTTAATGCTGAAAAAAGTATAGGCATTTTTTCCTGAAAACTTTGGGAATAACCTTGATAAACTTTTTAAACAACTGTCTCAGGTTGAAGCCATCAAAATGCTTAGTACTTATTTTTAAAATTCAAAATTTAAAAAATTTAAAATTATAAAATGTGATAAAATTTCTTCCTGAATCCTTTCATCTTTCAAACCATCAATTTCATTTGATTTTTATCACAATGTCAGCATGAGAACTGAGATCAATTATCTTGAGAGCAAGAATAATAAATTTTTGTCCAATTAAACAATTACATTGAAATAAAATTTGGAAATCACGTACAACAGTTACCATTTACCATAATCAAATAATACAAAATATCTATCAAATGTTTATTAAAGCCGGCATGAAAGAGAAATAGATCTTATAATGTTATTGATCTCAAATTTGAATTTGACTGTTTAATCTTAATTGTATTTCTTGAATTATTTTTTTATTGATTTTAAAACTTGGTATTACAATTTTCTTTTAGCCCCAAAACAAAAATATCCCCCCAAATTTTGCTATTCCTTAACTGAAAAAATATGAGGATTACTATAGTTTTAAATTAGATAACAGAAAAAAATCAAATGGTAACTTTGCTCAAAGAAGAGTAGAAATGTCTAAACATGATCTATATAGTCCTGCCTTTGTACTACAATCCCTGATTTAGTGAATACCGTAAATCTGGAAATTTTTACGTCGATTTTATTTTGCGAATTCGGGTCAAAATGCTGTTGATTAATTTTTACGTTTCAAAATTTTGCGAATGACCACTGCTTTGTTTACATTTTCTTACTGGTAATTTATTTTTAAGAAAAATATTTTTGCGAATGCAATGAACTCGCAAATTTGCTAAAAATTTATCTACAGCAAAAATTTCCAGATTTACGGTATATATTTCTAAAACCTGGTAATATAATAACTGTATATGAACTTTGCTTGCCTTTACAATTTAAGTAGAGGCACTCTAGCTCTTTATAAACATGCACTAGGTTTGTGTGCTTTTAATATTCTGGAGCAGAGTAGATTTTTTTTAAGGAATCACTGTCTAGTTAGGAGGGTATGTCAGGGCATCAACAATAGTGGGAAACATGGGATAATTTGCATAACGGGCGAAGCTCGTTATGCTTAAATTATCCCATGTTTCCCACTATTGTTGATGTCCCTGACATACCCTCCTAACTAGACAGCGATTCCTTATATTTCCATTTCATTGTGAAATAAAATTGTAGATTTAGACTTTAAAAATGTAGATAAATAGATTTAAATCACATGATGACTTCCATGCCAATTTCAATAGTCCTCGCCAACCGACGTCAAACACAAAGGCAGCCGCACGAGATTTACATGCATATTTGGCCTCCTTAGCGTCAGACACAGAGACGGATGCACATGTGAATTGCATGCGTATTAGGCCTCCTTAGCACCCGACCTATCGACCTGCCTAATTTACATTCCGGCAGAATTATCAAGAAATAAACTACCCCTAACTTTCAAAGAGTTATCACAGAGAAAAAATTAGAAATGGAAATATAAAAGAACTAATAATATATTTTTACAATATGATCAAGAAAGTTTCATCCTAACACCAGTACCTCTGGCTGACCCAGGGACCACACATTTTTAAGTTTTAGAAGATTATATACATATATACCAGACTTGGTTGGAATGACCTTAGCCAAACCAGAGATGAAGCTGAAAATGTTAATGACAGACTATGCAAGTTGAAGGACCAAACATATAACAGTAGGTCACCGAAGTGATGCGAGTGAACTAAAACCAAGTTTTAAAATCAGTACATAGTAGTTTGGATATGTATATTTAAAAAAAAATTTATAAATCGTTAATTCCCATATTTCTCTTCCTTGCCACTTTGGTTGTTGACGAATAATGTGTTGTTCACGTTAAAATTTTATATCATAGGAAAAGTGCTCAGGGTGATCATCAATCATACCAATTTTGGATGATCAATGGATTTACTTAATTATGAATTGACCATGCATGAAACCTCTTCAATGACGATGATATTGGGACATGTGACATCAACTCTACTTACCCAATTTTCCCACTGTGAGATCAGAACATAATTCTATTATTTACATGCTGTATGTGTTAACACTTGAAAAGCCATAAAACTGATCATTTCTGCCTTTAGAAACTTTGCCATTTGTTAACTTGATAATATAATGTTATTTTCTTCAGCAATTTATTTCTCTTGTTCAAGTTAATCAGCAATTATGACTTAGAAATTTGAACATGAAACCTTATCCCTTTAGCCTTATACAGTTCGGTGAAATTCTTAGCTACATAGAGTAAAGTATATACATTGTGAACATAGGTACACATGCACCTGTTGAAACTGTGACATTTGCTTGATAAACTGACCATTAAAATCCATTTCCATTAAATCATTTGAAGGGAAAAAAAATTGTGCATGGAAGCACTAGTTGTGGGGGCTTATCTTTGTTGAAAAAAATCAGGAGAGACTTAGAATATAAGAGGCCAATGGGCCACATCCCTCACTTGAGTAACTATGACTCAGCTGTTCTCCATTAGTAGATTTCCCCCTTATATTCTTACGTAAAAACTTTGATTTTTCCTATATATTTGTATGTAAAATGTTGATTGGTTTATGTGGCCCCACCCAAGTCTCAGGGTCATATAAACATTACTAATCATGGCTTTCCTGTTTCAGATGTTTATGAATTTTTTTCAGTATAAACTTGTAAAACCTAATTGCCAATTGTGTCCCAATCCTAGCTTTTGGGGTTACATTTTGTATAAGTTTAAATTTACACTTGGTAAAGTAGCTTTTACACAAGTTTCATCTCTTCTGAACAAGTGTTTATTAAAAATTTTTTTTTAAAGATGCCACTAATTCCTTTTAGTAATCCTTAGTTATTTTCCCTTGATAGAGGGAGTGGCCCTTCATTTGAACAAACATAAAGCCATTTCACCCAAGGATACTTTGTGACAAGTTTGGTCAAACGTGGACCAGAAGTGTTAGATGTGAAAAAATTTAGAGTACACAACAGATGGACACCCTTCAATCAGAAAAAAAAAATTAGGTGAGCTAGAGCCCAGAGAACTAAGTTAATTGACAATTCTTTCACAAAAAATGGTTATCTTAAAGTTTAAAAATACTATGGTATCCAAAAACTTTAAGGACTCTAAATTTTAAACCAAAGCCAAGAATTTAAAAACCCAAAACCAACAATTAGTATGGAAGATACTAGTAGTGTGCAACACTCAAATTAAAAAATTCACAGGAGATAGACAACTTGCTTTATCTCAAAATTCACAGAAAAAAATATTATCCTAAAGGGTATGGCTTTCAATGGGTCAATCACTCCATCATAATTCATCACCTTAAACTGACCTTTTCAGAGAATTTTTGAAACCACAATTCTTAGAAAATTTACCATATATTTTGACCTTGACTTGAACAGCTTCAAAATTTCTTGGGAGTTGGAATATGGGTACAAGTCTTTTTCTGTTGCAGCAGTTTATCCTCTACATCTATGTTTTCTTCCAAGATTTTTCAAGCAACTTTTTTGGCCAATTCTTTTTCTGACATTGGAAGGACTATTTTAGACTTTACATCATTTTTATCATGCTTTATCGTGGTGATCATGCTTTAATCCATCTTAATTTTTTAATTGAAAAAAAAATATAGTGATTATTCAAAAATTAAACAGAAGGGATAAATTATCTCTGACTAGTATAACCTATCTTAAACTACATTCATATTACTGTGGATTATTGTTCCAAACTTTAAAACTGCTTTAAATATAAAGTACACAATACATTTATGTTGAAATTGGAGTAGTATACATATTTTCGTGATTTAAGTTAATTAAGGGATAAAAGTGCACTGGAACGTTTAACACTGGTGAGCTATATAAGGAAATCGTGGCGTACATTTCTCTACAATACTCAGCACTTACCTAACGACATTTGAATTACTATAATTAGAAACGAAGTCAAGAAAGGTATCAACAGAGAGAAAAAGACAAATGAGTCGGAAGCAAAAAAAGACATGATCTCCACATGATGGAGAAAAAGCCCCTCGCAACAGAATTATAATTACAGTCAAACCTGGCTACACTGAACCCATTAGGACTGAGATTTAACTTCCAGATAAATGAGGATTTTAGATGACAAAGTTAAAATATTGGGACTGCCAAATCACTTTGACATATTCATGGTACTGAATTTTAAATATAACTGTTTGAAATATAGAAGTTCAACTGTATATGTAGGATTCAAATGTCTATTAGTACTTTTACCATGTTCCACCCAATTTTGTTGCGAGGGGATAATGAAATTTAAATGAAAAGAAATGCGCTTCAAAAATTCATGACAAATACATATCACATATAATTAGTTTGGTAGATAAAGTTAGTGCCCACTGCAAGTTACAGAAAAAATAAATTTCAAAGCAAACTCACAGATATATCTATACATATATACTGTTTATAACTTGCATTAAATGAAGCATGGGTGCATGAAATTACTTTTTCTAAAAAGAATTTTCAATGTCTAGACTAAACAGAGAACTAAATAATCTGAAAAATAAAATTTAAAACCTGAAAAATGATTTATTTCCTGTATATTCACATTTTCAGATATCCAAAAAGTAACTGTATAATTTTTCTTTCATCATTTATCAATTTCAAGTAGTTTTTTTTTGTTGCTGCTTTTTTTTTTTTTTTTTTTTGGTGTGTTTTATCATATTTGTCAACAAAACTTGACTGACATGGATTCAGGAATAGGAGTCGTAATTGTCAATTTTATTGAATGACAATATATATTTATATACATGTATATCAATCACCCATATAAGCTCCAAGAGCTTAACACAATGACAAAGATATAATATTTATCTAATTCTGTTAAATTTTGCTTCTGGGGATAAATGTGTAAAATCTGTAGATAGTGTACAAAAATAGTGAATACTATAAAGTAGTTTCACTATAGTCTTAGTAATGCAGTAGTGAATGAATTTAGTAATAGTATACATATATATATTTTCAAAATTATCCTTGTTAACTTTTGCAGATCCCTATTTCATTTGATCCTGTTGTAAAATCGTGCAGGTAAATTCAATAATCAGAATATGTGGATATTTTCCCAGTGATCTTTTTGTGTTTTTGATAAAACCTCTTGGAGCAAATAAGGAACATATTGTCTGTTATATATTTGACTTGATAATGATGAAAAGTACAGTACAGTGATTCCTGTATATTCAACACCTTCCTATTCCAATGATAGACTTTAAAATTCAGAAAAGATACTACTGGTAGTAACACTGAAAAAAAAAACACTTTCTCTGTAGATAACTTTTTCATTTAAATGAATTAATCCCCCCCCAAAAAAAACTCTTCATTTATAGAATTTAAAAAATCCATTTTGAACAATCAGAAGAGCTAATGCTTATGTCCTAAGGAGAAACAATGAATAACTTTAAAATGCTTGTAGTAGGATCTTAATTCTGTAGTGAAAAAAAACTACAATTCAACGATTGTACTTGTAAGTTTATATTACAACATTTCATATCTCATGTTAATACTTGTTAATATTCTAAGAAGTGGAAAAAATACCCTAAACAGCTTTTAGATACAAATACTGTGAAATCACATATTTTTCTGGGGTCAAAATTTTCATTGTTTGAGGAAAAACTCTTGGTTTGTGGGGATTTTATTTTGTGGATGAAGAATATTATTGTTGAGTAGTTTTATATGTAACATTTTACACTTCGTGGTGGTCATGAATTCACGGGTCGCTTCATACCCCAAAAACAATGAAAATTAAACCCCCACAAAAATTTGTGATTTAACAGTAAATGATCATGATTCATTTTCAAAATGTAACATTCAGTGTTGAAAAAAGTTGAAGGTGTTGACTTATACAGGTTCTACTGTACTGTTAATTTACATCATCCCTATCGTAAATACATACTGAAAGAAGAAAGCCACTAATGCACAGATCACCACAGTGGCATCCAATATATTCCACAGATTTCTACAGTAGGACCCAGGGTGAAGGAAAACTCCTAAATCAATCACCTACAATACACAGGTTAAAAACATATACTGTAAATATTCTTAATTAAGCAGTAATCACAGCTTCTTATCCACCAATTTATGTACATGCCTTTATATGAATAAAGCTTATATTTGTTATTAAATTTCTAGTGGATTAATTCATGATTGCACATTTCATTTGAAGAGGATGATGGCACAAAGTTTTAATTGTGCTAAATACCTATGATTTTACAAAATGTTGTTTTCAATGAAATATATAGAGAAAAAATAAAATTATCTTCACTTTTGGCACGCCACTGTATGTTTAGTTTCTGAAAGCAAAAAGTAAAGTAAAATCTTAAAAATAAATTCTTGATAGAAGCTCACCTTCAGAATCATTTCTATTGTGAACACGATTGTGAAGACGTAATCAAAGTAATTAAGAATCTGGTTCCTCAGGGCCTTCTCGTTGACTGGTTCCTCAGTCGCTAACGCAAAACTACTGGCGCAGATAACAATCATAATGAACAGGTCGAAGTAGCGCAGGTTCACCACAAAATGACAGAAACGTCGTATTCTGAAAAATCAACAGACAATATACTAATTTCACCATTTTAAGATTTCTTCATCCACGTCATTTAGTAACCAAGTTCTAACATAATCAAAACTAGAAATATGTCCATAGGACATGAATGCCCTGCCGAGGATATATTAGTAAAGCAACATGAAAATTTGTATGTGAATAAAATTTGATCAGTTTGGTTCAAGTAGGGCTTATAGTTAGTAGGGAATAAAAATGTAGGTCAGATCCAGCATCCGAAGCAAGTCTGGTAGTGTCCATCCCTAGATGCATCATCCATGAAAGTTTGGTTCAGGCAGGGCTTATAGTTTCTTGGGAATGAAAATATAGGTCAGATCCAGCATCCGAAGCAAGTCTGGTAGTGTCCATCCCTAGATGCATCATCCATGCAAGTTTGGTTCAGGTAGGGCTTATAGATACTTTGGAATGAAAATATAGGTCAGATCCAGCATCCGAAGCAAGTCTTGTAGTGTCCATCCCTAGATGCATCATCCAGGTGCTTATAGATCCAGATCCACATCCGAAGCAAGTCTGGTAGTGTCCATCCCTAGTGCAAGTTTGGTTCAACATGTGAAGTTTGATAATCCAGCCAGTCTTGAATGGTATGCAAGTTTGTATCAACATGTGAAGTTTGATAACACCATCTTGAATGGTATGTTTAAAACTAAGCTAAACACTAATTAAAGAATTAAAAGTGAGGTCAAGGTCAAAGGAAAGGTCAAGGTCCAAAAATGTTGATGCAGTTGCATAGCTCTCATCAATATATATCAGCATTTGAAGTTTGATGAAAATATCTTGGATAGTTTTTTTGAAACTTAGCTTTGAACAGAGCTAAACGCAAAGTGTGACGGAAGGACAGACGGAAGGACGGAAGACGGATATGACAAACACTATATGCCCCGGCCATATTCATGGTGGGCATAACAAACTTTATGCCTAAGTTGAGAAGCTTACATAGCTGACATCAACTCTACCTAGCAAAGTTCAAATTTCACATTATTCAAGTTTCGCTTCTTAATCATGACTGAACCTAGTTCCTTTCAGACAGGCACATCATAGAGAAAACACCTACGGATTTTTGGGTCCAAATATGAACATGGAGCTGTATGGTAACATTGGCCTTGGGCCCCCAAATGCACCCTCCTCCTCCTCCTTTTTGGGGGGCTGGGGAGGGGGGTCCTCTTCACTGTTGTTGCTGTCTGAAAATCCAATCAAAAAACAGTCATGGCCTGAATGTTTCTAAATTTAATACTAGTAAATGCCAGTAACTTGTTTTAAGGCAAAAATCAAATTTCAGCATTTCTTTTCAGATTATCTTAAATGAAACTAATGGCGTGCTTTCCATTGTGCATTGATAGTGATTGTAAAACCAATTGCATTTTTTACACAAAAGAACACTACGATTTTAGATATATTCATTTAATGGGATGCAAATCTCAAGTGCCCCAACTTATACATGTTTCTGCAACTTCACATATCTGAGTCTCTGTAACACTTTTCACAAAAGTGAATAACCTCTGAATATCTAATGCAATTTTTTGTTAGTTCTGGCAAACTCTTGGCATTTATCACTTGGTTATGAATTCATTTAGAAGCACTGGCTATGTGAAGATATGTTTCTGAATAACATTTGGTTTAAGGAAACTGGTCTCATTTTTAGTCATGCAGCGACATGGAGTAAAGTCACAGAGCTTGTAATTATAAATGCACCCTAAAGTATCACTTTCAAAGAGGTTTAAAAATCTAAACTTGATAAATTATTACGAGTACATGTATCGGTGCACTGAAAATATGAGAATAAAATTCCACATAGCCATCTGTAAATCACAGCTTATTCATGAGAACTGAAAAAAAAATGTTATTAACTTTTATATTATTCTTCATTAAAATGATTTTATGATAGCAATGTTTATATTTCTCATGAATAAACAAATGTTTAATAGAATCTTGACTTATTGTGACTAAAATATGCAGATTGTGAAAATCAAGCAGTTAATTAAAGCTCCTTGCAAAATCACACAAAACACAAAAACTTTTATGAAAAACCATTTAAGACAAAAAATGTCAAATGAAACTTTGTGATCAATGCCCTAAAAAGGTTAATCTATGGAAAACTTCATGTACAAGTCAAAAAGCAATCCTGTGTATATAAAATACCTGCTGGTTTGTTATTGTTTTCTGTAAATCAAAATATGCCACAATATTCAACATCAAAAAGCAAATTTATTCAAGAAAAAAATGACATCAAATCCAATATCTTCAAAAATCAATCTGGTACTTCAGAAAAGTATCTTTAGCATTGTTAAACAAGAGGCCCATGGGCCATATAGGTCACCTGAGCATCATGCAACAACTTTCCAACGATTGAATTTGGTTTATGTTTTAAACTAAGATCATGGCATTAACAATTTTGAAAGAGGCACCATTGCTAATCACAACTATACACTTAGCATGTTTAGTTTGGTTACTTAATACCCATAGACAGAGTAGGGGAACAAAAAAATGCAATTCAACAAATCAGTAATATTCAGCAATAATCAGTAGTGCCACTACCACACATGAACCCCTGACCCTTAGTTCACACATTTCACAATTTTGGAAAAAGGCACCCTTGCTTATCAAAATTGTTTGATTAATACCAAGGAGCAGATTTCAAACAATTAATTCATTTTCAGTATATAAGTAGACCTCCCTCTATGGTACCCCTGACCCAGGGGCCATAAAATTTACAATTCAGGAAGAACGGCCCTTGCTCATCATAGCTATATATTAGGTAGTTCATCTGCTAAATACAGTGGGCCCAGATTCCGGCAGTATCCGGACGATTTTTCATCAGAACGGAATTTTTAATTGTTATATATTAGGTAGACACTTCACATATCCGGACAAATTGACTGGGAACCAAAGCGTCCGGATAAATGAGGGTCCACTGTACCTAGGAGCAGAGAAGAAAATTTTCAAAGATTAAATGTATTTTCACTATGTAATCAAAAAAGCCCCGCCCTAACACCAGAACCCCTGACCCTTGGGCCATGAAATTCACAATTTTGGAAGAGGCATTCTTCCTCATCATAACTATGTACTTAGTTAGTTTATTTAATACCTAGGAGCAGAGAAGAAGATTTTCAAAGAAATAATGAATTTTCACTATATAATCAATAGAGCCCTGCCCTAGCACTAGAACCCCTCACCCTGGGGCCATGAATTTCATAATTTTGGTAGAGGACTCAATGGTCATTACATTCACGTGTGACAGTTTGACAGCTTAATGTCCAGGAGTAAAGAAGAAGATTTTTAAAGATTGCATTAATTTTAGTGGTTTTGGCCCCACCCCTCAGGCCCCAGGGGGGCAGGGACCATGAAATTCAAATTTTTTGTTCTCCTTCACCCATAGATGCTTTATGCCAAATTTGGTGGAAATTGGTTGAGTGGTTGCAGAGAAGAAGCTAAAAATGTTCAAAAGTTTACGACCGATTGACGAGAAACAACACGGACGAAAACAGATAGCAATAGGTCACCTGAGTGACTCAGGTGACCTAAAAATATTCAATGTAAGTATCTGTATTACAAAATCTTAGAAAATTAGGAAATTTTTACATGTATCAAAATGAAGAATCTTTGAGTATGATCTGAGGACTAATGGAAACTTTCTGAGACACATTAACAACAAATCCTCATCATGCTTAATGTTCCAAAAAGACAACACCTCGTATCTCAAAAAGGAGATAACTCTGACACTTAAAGCTAGACAATACATATGAAGGAAACCCAACATGATTTCACACTCACCTGTGTCAAGGCCATCATTATCAAATTCGTTCTGCGAGATGTTGCTTTTCTTGGCCACGGCATTAGCTGTGTTTTTGTTATTTTTCAGGTCATTCTGATGATTGCTGTCTTTGCTAAAAGAGATACTGTGAGTGAAAAGTTTATCTAGCATGGTCCATTAAAGCCCCTGATGTTAACTTATACAGCAAAACTCGTTTAGTACGAACATGGATATTGTGAATTTACAGATATAGCGAAGTTATCTTGGATCCCCAGCTATATAAATTTAAAGAATTCCTTATATGGATATAACGAATTACGGATATAGCGAAGAAATTTCACAGGTCCCAGTGACTTCGTTATAACCGAGTTTTACTGTACACACAAACATAACAACAATTTCTAACACGTTTAAATGCAGAGATTTTTTACCGGGTGGTAAATTCCAGGTGAGGGAGGGGCTTATTTTGTACAGGTGTGAATGCCTTGGGGGCTAGCAGTCTACCTGTGGTCATCTGTCTCCAAATCCCTATACATAGGAAGTGATTTAATACACTGTGAAACACCCCAGGTGTCAAACTTTACCTGTGTTGGGGATTTTGAGACAATTTTGAATTAGAAGTGAAAAGTTGTAAGGAAAGTCTAAATGATTTAAAAGGATATTGATTTAGTTTTTAATATTTGAAAACACCCCTACCCATTAAAAAATATTATGATTAATATAAATTCAAATATTAAAACAAAGATTATTTTAAATGTTAGTGTATGTCTTAATTTAAAAAAAAAAAATGCCAGTAACAACCAAATTAGAATTAATTCATTTATCCCCAGGGAAGGGTCCGATCTATTTTAAAAAAAAAAAAAAAAGTCGAGTTAACTACATTTCATTAAAATTTTTTTTAGGTTTATCCATGTTATCGTAATCTTAGTAAGGCTTTGTCACAATAAGATCGATTGCTTGTAAATTAAATTCTTCTGAATGAAATCTGATAACAAAGGAAAATATAAACAGCCCATGATTAGAAATATTTATGAATATATTTTCCAAATTTAATTACTTCACACAGTGCTGCTCTAAAATTAATCAATAACATTTCCACTTTAGCATTACTGTTTAGCATATTAAAATTAAAATCAAAATTTCATTGGAAAAAAAGTTTTTATATTTTTTTTGGAAAAATGTATATTATATTATAATCATTTTTTTTTTAAATACGGGGTACTAATGGTATCTTTAATTCATATATCATCAAGCAAAAATTTTTCATAGTAATGCAGTTTCTCTATACTATGTTCGGTAAACATCAAAGGATCAAAAGTTAATTTGAAGGTCCCCACGAGTCCCTTACAAGGTGTACAGGGTATACACAGGGACCAGTAAGTAAATGTCAATCAAGTTCCAGCATCCAATGATGGACCTTCAAGCACTTGATTGACAGGGCTACCCAGACCAGGTATTTTTGAAGGCGGTGCTAAAAATCTCTGCCTTTAACAGTATATTTTACAAGATTTTTTCATACCATAAGATCAAAGATGCTTTATCCAGCTAATTTTATATGTGGACCATTTACAAAGAAAATGAAAGTAAAAATACATGTTATGCATCTGTGCTGCCCTGTTAAGTAACTGAATACTTACTAATTAAAGTTGCTGACTTTGGGATTCTCTTCGTTATTGGCTGGGGAGGGAGGACAGATATTCACTGTCACCGCCTGTACTGCAGCACCCTCCTCCAAAACCTCTTTTTCTAGTTTGTTTCTCTAAGAACAGAAAGGAAGTTGATTTTTTTTAAAAAGTACTTTGGTAATGCTTTGACAACAAAACGAAAATGCTTTTTTCAACAAAACAGACATGCAAGCCTCAATATCATGAGCTTTTACACTTTCCCTATATATATGATATTTGTTACAGAAATCAAAATCATTTTCTGACAATGATCAGAATTTATGTATCTGAGACTTGAAAGCAAATCGTGTTAACGTTTCTAAAGACAATGATAGCCAACAACAATCACTCTACTAAAGGTTAACTTATTTAACAGAACTATGGTCATCTTCTACTTTACATACATTTTAGAGTCAAAGAAAAATTTACAATGACAACACAAATTTCCAAAATCAATGCCACTCAGCATTACATTCTAACTACTTCTCAAATTCAATTCAAATTGATTTAAAATCCTCATAATGTTCTGCAATTCTGAAGATGAAAAAAGGCATCGCCGTTGGAGCTTTGATTTAAATACATTTGCACAAAGACATTATAGTATAGAAAAAGGACAGAAGAGGTTATAAATCAATATCAAATACAATTTTGAATTTGTGTGAAAAATTTACAAATATTTAAATTTTGAAATTAATTGGTGTGTAATGGAGCATTTTTTACAAAAAAAAAAGAGAGGGATAGCACAGGTAAGAAATTATAAGAAGATCTAGAATACTTAATAAGGCATGAATTCAACCTGGGATTGGTCTGTGAATTGGTTTTGGACATCTTTTCTGACTTCCTCTAGATGCTGTTAAAGGAAACCAACACAATGCAGTAAAAAAAATATTAAGCATAGATGTGTTCATGACCCTTGGATAAGGAATGGATTTCCATAGATGGAAATAGAAAAGGGTACATGCAGAAAATATAAAGCAAACAACATATCAAAGCCTATTCCACAACAACAATAGCTTCTTTTATGTATGTTTTTAGCTTATTATTATGCTTAGCACTATCATGCAAGAACAATGCAAACCTGGCCGAATTATTACAATAACTTAATTGACTATACAAAATAATACCAATTTTTTTTAATACAACAATCAAATGTTACAACTAAATTTATTCATAAAAAAAATCTAGAATCAATCTATAATATTTCAAAAGAGAGATACTGGAGACAGCCTTAACCATCGGAATTTAACCAATGTTTTAAAAGTAAGCTGGTATCCAGTGTAAACCGGTACCTCTTTACGTCCCACTTCCTCTTCCTCCTCTGCTGCCGTCATTTCCTGTGCGTTGGTCAAGTTGTCCACGGCGATAGCCAAGAACACATTCAGCAGTGTGTCTTACTTCAGTTAAGGATAAATCAGAGTTTACAGCAATGAATGCATGTTAATTTCATTTCTGAAAACATTACTGTTCCACTCAAAAATATCATTTTTGAGTACCTTTAACTCCTACTATTGACAAGTGATGGGTGTTTTATCATCAGTGATTTTTTTGTGAGTAATACATGTAGTAACAATGATGCCAAATCCACTCTTTAAATCCCCATTTCTATAACTGTGGAGATGGGGTTTAATGAAGGATACAGTTTCCAAACACCACCAGGATGATGAAGTAGATGGAGTAAAACATCCCTGTCTTGTCCCCCTCCTCGATCCCGTGGGCCCTGATCCCAGCATACATCACTTCATTCCAGTCTGCTCCCGTCAGAATCTGACAAAAAGAATAGAATAAATTCTAGAAAAGGTGAACCAACTGTTAACATTTAGTTCAGCATCCCTAAAACTTAGCAGAAATTAATTAGCACATCTGTGTACAGTTTTTACAATGCTACTTTAATTAATTTTCTCCCTTTCTTCATTTGATTATCTGACAACCAAAGTTGATTAAAAATTTACACAGCTAATTTAAAATGGGGCAAATTTAAAGAATACAGTACAATTTCTTAAACAGAACTGTGATTGGATAAATTTAAGATGGGGCAAAATTGTTTGCAAGTGTAAAAGGGCGAAAATAAAGCGGGGTGAAAATAACCCTATAAACAGTACCCAGTTGCACTCACCTGGAACACAGTCAGTAAGGCTATGGGGAATGTGTCAAAGTGGGCATCTGGTCTTCCATCATCAAAATTCATTCTGTCAAAATAAAAATTTGTCCAGTTTGTAGTTAAGCCTTTACTTAAAATTCAAAAGTTTTGTCAAGGACAAGCCGATGACATAAATAACATAACAATAATGCATATGAATTGATTTGAAATACAATCTCAGGTTTATGATATACCTCATACAACTGTTTCCAAAAACTTTTGAAATACTTCAATCTTCATTTCATCTTTAAAGCAATGTCAACCATACAAACAAGTAAAGCCGTCTACAGTGTACTTACTCTCCGCCAAACAGCTGCATCCCCAGCAGAGCGAAGATAAGAATAAAGAGGAAGAGGAGGAACAAGAGACTGACGATGGACCTCATACTGCTCAGGAGGGAGACCACCAGGTTACGCAGCGAGGACCAGTATCTGGAACACAAAGTACATATCAGGCTAGTCATCTTGTTTTCTCTCACATTTAAGATAAAGTACTTTTCTTAAGATAAAAGGCCTTTTCATCTTTACCATATATAGAATAATCCTTATTTGTATTCTGTATATTGAAAGCAGTAATACGAGTAAAGTCAAATAGATTTTCTCCAAACTTAAATGGACATCAGTTCAATGTATTAGCTTCAACTTTCAAGCATCCATTTTTGCACCTCTATATGTCCTCCTTATAGAAAATACATACCTGGTGACTTTGAAAACCCTCAGTAATCGCAGGGCTCGGAGTGTACTGATACCAAAAGATGCTCCATCCTTGTAGTACGACCATATCACTTCTATTATACTAACTATTATAACCTGTAAGAAATGATCCAGAGTTATCTATCTTTCCACACATACACAATATTTGATGTGTAAACATTATCTACAATTTTATACATGTACACTTGTACATGATTTTAATTTGAAAATCTTTAAATCATAAGTACAATTAATTCAATTAACATTTACACCTTTTCAGGTTGATGGAATTTATACACTTACCCCACAATCGAATATATTGAATGAGGACTGGAAATAGGTCCGTATACCTAATCCATACATCTTTATTAACATTTCAAATATAAACAATCCTAGGAAAACGAATTCTGTGTAATCTGAAAATCAAGACAAAGAAAAATTAGTTAAAAAATATAAAGATTGAGAAAAGAGAATTAAAATTGATTTCAACTTTTTTCTTATACACACAATATAACCTGAATAACAACAATACTTATTTCTTAAATCACTGATCGAGGCCTTCTCTTAAACTCTCCACGTAAGTATTATATAGTATAAAGAATTTTACCAAAATAAGACTTACATAAAAACTGTTCGTGCCATTCGGCTTGTCCATAATGCTCTGATGCAGTGCATACTGTATTTAAAAACACTAGAACTATGACTGTCCAATAGAATGGCTGGCTTTTCACCAAACGCCGTAAAGAATACCTGCAAAATACATCAAAAAGATTGCAAAGTGTGTGTTTTTATTAATTTTATTATTTTTTTAATCTGAATGACCCAGTCACTAGTAAGGTAATGCATACATCATGTTAACTAATATAAAGATGTTCCAGCAAAGCACAGTATACACAAAATTTTGAAATGGATGGATTAAAAGTGGTATCACTTTATGCAAATTTTAATACTTTACAAATGTAGAATAACATATCTAAAGCCCTCAAATGTATAAGTAAATTACAATTTACTATGTTCACACAGTTGAAACACTGGATTATATAGCAGCTTCATGAATATTTACAAATTTTCTCAAATTAGTGAACTTTGCTTGTGAACTCAATCACACTGTCCAATAAATGCCTAGTAGAGAGCCAAATAAAGACAAATGCTCAAATGTGTGTTATAAAACGATAAATTTTCTAAGATCAAACGACCAAGGCCGAATCAATCACAGTCTTCACAGGTCTCATGTCAAGCCCCGGTTGTGGCCCGAACTTTAGCTGCGTTTATCAAGCCCCAGTATTCCAATACGACACTGAGATAATGAGCCTACGTCCATTCAGGGTTTAAGTGAATTCAATAGACATTAATGAGTCCCCTGGTACTGTTTTATAAAACAGCTAATACCAGAGCATTATCTTTTCCCCTCATGTAACTCTACTTCAACTTTCAGATGGAAATTTATCCTATTATTTTACAAGAAATCCAGAGACAGTTCTGAATTTTGCAATCCTTATTATCAAGATTTGCAATTATAATGAAAGGGTTCTTGTGTCTCTAAATATGATTGTGTCCTGTGATTTTTCTGTGATGAATTTTAACAATCAAAACATGCAATATTGATTCCAGAGGTATGAGCATTAATTCTATCATTCAAAAAAAAAAAAAGAATATGACAGTAATGATCATACTGAAGGGAGTTCCATTTCTTGTGTTGTTGACTAGAAATATGTCCATAGGACATGAATGCCCCGCAGAGGGTAATGCAACATGAAAATTTGTATTAGTGTATGAAATTTGATCAGAATATCTTGAATAGTGATGCAGTTGAATTGCTTACATTAGTATGTAGCAGCATATGAAGTTTGACACTAATTTCATAAAAATGAGGTCAAGGTCAAAGGAAATGCCAAGGTCAAAAACTCTTGATGCAGTTGAAAAGCTCTCATCAGTATGTTTCAGCATATGAAGTTGAAAAAATATTACAAATGATTTCTTTAAAACTCACTTAAAACTGACTTAAACACAATTTGATAAAAGTGAGGTCAAGGTCAAATAAAAGGTCGATGTCAAAAATGTTGATGCAGTTGAATTGCTCTCATCAGTACGTAACAGCATATGAAGTTTGATAAAAATATCTTGAATGATATCTTTAAAACTGAGCTAAACACTAATTAAAGATAAGTGAGGTCAAGGTCACAGGAAAGTCAAGGTCATATAAAAGGCCAAGGTCAAAAATGTTGATGCAGTTGAATTGCTTACATTAGTATGTATCAGCATATGAAGTTTGACACTGATTTAGGAAAAGTGAGGTCAAGGTCATAGGAAAGGTCAAAGTCAAAAATGTTGATGCAGTTGCATATCTCTCATCAATGTGCATCAACATATGAAGTTTGATAAAAATATCTTGAATGGTATCTTTAAAAATTGAACTGAACACTAATTAAAGATAAGAGAGGTCAAGGTCAAAGGAAAGGTCCAGGTCAAAATGGTGATGCAGCTGAATAGATCTTATCAGTATGTATTAACATGTGAAGTTTGATAACACCATCTTGAATGGTATGTTTAAAACTGACCTTGACACTAATTTAAGAAAAGTGTGGTCAAGGTCAAAGGAAAGGTCAAGGTCAAAAAATGTTGATGCAGTTGCATAGCTCTTATCAATATCTATCAGCATATGAAGTTTGATGAAAATATCTTGGATAGTTTCTTTGAAACTGAGCTTTGAACTGAGCTAAACGCAAAGTGTGACAGAAGGACAGATGGAAGGACAGAAGGACGGAAAGATGGAAGGACAGAAGAAGGACATGACAAACACTATATGCCCCGGCCATATTCATGGTGGGGCATAATTAATTGTTCATAGCAATTCAGCAAAAATGAAATTGCATGAAAAATAGATTCTTTTCCCGAGACCTGCTGATTAATAAAAAAAATTTGCTTTCATATGTAATTTTTCAGAAAATAATTCAATAAATTGAAAGCCACAAGAATCCTGATCCCCTTGGGGCATAATTAGTGAATCTCGCTCTCACATCTCAACATCCTGAACCTTCCCTGCCAACAACAGACAAAGTGTAGATCACCGTTAGCTAAGTTTATCCCCATTGTGAGGGAGAGGAAACGGAGAAGGGAAGTATATACAGAGGGGTTGTTTGGCCTTCCAAGACCTCAATCAAGCCACGATTTCTCTTATTGATTATCCATAGCCAGCACGCTGTGTTCAGGGCAGATTTTCAATGCCATATTGAGAAGGATTCCTACACTGTCTTTAAATATAGCTCCCGTTTGTCAGTCGTTTTCAGCAATGATAAATGGCTTCCTCTTGTTTTGAACATTAGCTGCTCATCAGGAGAATGCAAAATAAGTTGATTTAATGTTACGTTGGGGAGAAAAACAGTTTAAAACTTCAAGTCCTACTCTTTCATCTCCATTAATATAACACTCAAGTGACAGATTGGGTTCAAGTAGTCCTTTGCACTTTTGATTAAAAAACATATTTTGACATTCAATTTCCAGAATTTCAAAGCATTTTCAAATCGATGTTTTATGGATGCAGTCTTCTTATTCAAATCTTTACAACAAACATCACTGAACCAAGTGTTGAACCAAATGAATATTTAATATAGATACAATATTTTACTTAATAGGAATAAAACTGCTCAAAAATTATACACATGGTCATTTATCTAGATATAGAGCATGCAATGCAACTTTGGTAGAAAGGCCCCATAAGAAGTTTTGTCATTCATGGAATTTTTCTCCAATTATGATAAGAAATGAAACTGCCTAAAAAAATATTTATCTTCCCTTCAAAAAAAAAAAAAACTTTCAACATAATCAGGGTATCATCCATGCAAAATTGGTTCTGGACACAAAAGGCTTATGACTTAAGAATTTACCAACTCTGAAAGATTTAACTAGATTGAAAGGAAAGATCTCTCTGGCTTCATGGAAATGATCTACCAAATATTAGATCAATATTCTACAGTTTTTAAAAATCTTTTGCAAACCACATTAGAAGCAATTATCACCCTTCAAAGCCATTAGCAACATAGACAGACAATGCTGCTTAACATAATGAATCTCTGAAACTCTAACTCATTAGAGCAATGATAGGAATTATATGGGCATTGCCAGATTTTCTTTTCTCAGATCACCAGATTCATGGGAACCCATAAGTACATCTGCACCAGGTAAAAGTTACTCACCTAAAATGTTTTTCAGCTTTCCAAAATGCAGCACACCTTCCAGTGCGTTTTCTACTTTGTATTTTTGATCTACCTAATGAATATGAACCTGAAATACAAAGAAATGGGAATAATATTGATTCAATCAAATAAAATTGTATTTTTTGCTGTTTGAACTAATTTTTAAGAATCACTCTTTATATTATGAGTTACTACAGCAATATTCATGATATTATTTGCTAAAACAAAGACATATACAGAATAATAATATACTTTAAATTTGAAGAGTTTTCTTATGAACAAAATATCACTTATATTATAATTTAAAAGTATACAAGAGGGTAATTTGAAAAATTGCTGAAATATCCACAGACAAAGAGTTGGATGGACATCAAACCAAAGCAAAGTGCAACCATCAGCAATACCTGGGATGTTGTACTTTCATGATAGATTGTTTGATTCACTGGTTTGTCGCAAGTGTAAAAAAAAATAATTTCCCAGAAATCTCAACTTCCTTAACTTTGCCATAATAGAGTGGCAGTGAGTTAGATAATGGCAAAGCATCACTGCTTGTTTTAAAAAATTTAGCCTAAAAGCAAAATATTTTTGACATCCAATCAACAAATCATGTTTGTCTTGAATGTCTTCACAATCATCTAAAACACTCGGGATAGTCACACATTTCTTACAAAGCCAGCTTAAAGATCATTGATCTAAGCAAATTGTACTTAAAAAGGTCCAGTAAAATACTAAAAAGAAGAATGTGAAAAATTCTTTTTAAGACATTTTTGTTCAAAGATAAGGAAAACTCAGTACAAAAGTCCTCACTAGGAGAGGTTGATGTCTGAGCTCTATTAGAATATACATGCAGTTATGTTTGAGCTGTTAGATATTAATATAAACACTGGATTTGAGCCTCTGTAAATTCAATTCTGACACAGGTTGGGCTGTAGACTTGATAGATTGGAAAATGAAAGTACTTGGTAGCAATTAATGTAAACACAATGCCGTCATTTCAACGGAATTAAGCAAGCCTTTATATTGATCTGCAGCTGCTTTATTTACAGTGTTATAAATAAAGGATAAAACATAGTCACGTTTCAATCTTGGACTTGAGAAGAGTATAGTGAAATATTTCTCTATAAAGCTAGAACACTCCTTACCTATATTTATGTCTGATAATAAATCATCGTCATTATCTTCATTGTTTTCGTCACTGGGTTCCTTTCCCATTTTTTTCATTTTTGTGGCTGCTCTTTTCCGTGCTGTAAAAATAAGCATTCATGAAGGCCAATAAAAATTAAACATATATAATTTACATGCACATGTCTCACTTTAGGAATTCCTGCATAGAAGTGTAACACAAACATATTTAACTAAATTTCACTTTCTCAATTATTTTAAATTTCAAGTTCCTTGCAGTTGATCTTCAAATAACTGTATGTATAAGATTTTGTATGTGTGCATATATCAGAGTATAAGACAGTTACAAGCTTTATGCTCCGTCTTTGAGTATCATCAGTACTTTGATTCTAAACTCAATTTACCCTCCATAATTCTTAATTTATCTTCATCTGTAGTTCTTTCTTCATTTAGTATCACTTCCTCTGTGAATATAATTATACACCCTTTTAAGCATTCAATATGACCATAATTGTAATGTATAATAAAGAAATTATACATTGTGCCTAAATTAATATGATTTTCTGTATGTCTCATCTAAGAAATTCAATAAAGAAAAAAGAAATTAATCCCATTTAATCAGTAATTTCATGATATTTTTCAATATCTATACATACCTGCTTTGCAGATCCACTCTAGATAGCCACTTAACTCCATGTCTATTTGCTGCTGTCTTCGAAGTTTTATGTAAGATCTCCTATTTTCTACTCTTAATCTCTCTTTGGCAAATTCTCTGAAAACAGAATCAAACAATTATACATCAAGTATCTCAAACCAGATCTTTGACCAAATTGTATCTTAACTGAGAAAACATTCATTATCTATAATCCGAAATTAAGGTTCTAGCGTGATGTTGAGCACTGATAAGTACCTGATGAAATCAAATAAACATATTATTTATTAGGGATGTGCGATTTTATCGGTATACCGATTTTTTGTTGCGTGATACGTATCGTGATACGGAGACCTAAATACCGGTATTTAGGTACATATTATAAAGTCAGATATTGTTCATTTATTCGTTCAATCTTTCAAACTACAATTATAGAAAGTCTAAAAATGTTGAAAAAGGGCGAAAAGAACAACATCTTACCTTCCAAACATTAATTTTATGTAAATAAAAAATTCAAAAAAGTGAAATTTTATTTTTATAGCACATTTTTAAGAAAAATAATGACAATTCATTACAAATCATTGTAAAAATTGCTTGTAAAAATATCATGATATTATCGTGATATTTTGGAAAAAAATTGTGATATATCGCGTTATGAAATTTTTGGCGATACCCATCCCTAATATTTATATTATTTGCTATTTTGACTTGATAAAAATGAATAAGTAAAGAGATTCAATGTATGCTCATTTCAGAAAGTATACATCAAGAAGTTCTGTCATGATGTCTTTGAACTTCCAGTGTAATGACCCCAATCATATTATCATTCCAGATTTATATATCACATCATGTGAATGATCAAGTCACATGACAAAGACCAGGAACTGAACATCTTTCTTCCTCTTTTAGTTATTTATAGGGCATTTGCTGATTAAGATTTCTCAGATTGTACAACTGACAGCTGTAATTTATTTACTGGGGGTAAGTGCACAATTTTAAGGTTCAAGAATATATATAAAAATCCAAATGGCCCTTTCTGAGAGGTCATCTATTCATCTACCAGTAAAATCAATCCTTTTACTTAAAAAAAAAACAAAACACTTTTTCGCATAGTGCTTGTACAACAGATAATTTATGAAACTCTTCTACATCAAAATCCTATTAAACAACAGCACTAGAGAAAACCTAGAGAATTACATGATTTTTTTTAGTCATAAAAATGATGCCCTTCAAAGGATTAATTTCATTCATTCATGTATTTTTCTCATAGAAAGATCTTTTCCTTTGCAAAATGACATTATTACAGGCTAATATTATATATAATATAATATCATATTTCAATATGAAATGTAGACAAATATTTATGATTGATTGATAGTATATATATTATTTAACGTCCCATTCGAGAATTTTTCACTCATATAGAGTGGACAAATATTTAGAGAAAATGACAAAATTTGAAGATTTTAACCAAAATAATCAATTTCAAGCCCCCTCCTGACATGGGGTATCAAAAACCAAGGCACCCACAGATGCTTCACATACGAAAACTTGGAACGGACTCAGTATAAACCATAACTATTTGTGGCTGCTCTTTATTATACCTGTCCTTTCTTACATCACAGGGCTCTCACACCCATTTTTGGTACTGGGGCCGGGGCCATTAAAATTGGGAAAAAAACGACGTTTTAAAAATTGGGAAATTTTTACCAGTCATAATTTAAACTTACATCATTGTCTTGCTCTTAGTAGAAATATTTTTTCTACACTGACAAGAGTACTGCAGGGATCAAACTTAATTTTTTGACCACTGTAGTAAATATCAGCAGATTTATTTTTACTATCAAATTGTAATTTTGAACTTTCCCTAGCATTTTTTTTCTTCTTATAGTGATTCATAAAAGATATAAATAATCTATTAAAAAAAATAATAATTAACCTCTTAGAAGCATTTAGGCCGTTTTATTACAGATGAAATCTGAACAGATACAGAGTAAATCAGTTGTTTAATTAAAAAAAATCATCTTTATAAATTTAAAATTAAATCATTAAATACACTGGGGATATATTTTTTGGAAAATTACATAACTTTCTTACTCAAGTTGTTTTAGAGATCGTAAAAAATTTAATGGAATATCTAACGTTACATTGTACCTGATTGTATTTACCATAAAGAAAGGAGTGGAGGAAATTCGGATTAAAAAAACGATCGTTTTTGGAAGTAAATTATAAGACAGGTAGCGCTGCAAAAAGGATAAGATTATGGGGATTTATAAACTGTAGGAGCATGGTACCTATTTATTTTTAATTGTTAGTGAACCTAATAGCAAAATAGTGAATAAAATACCTGTAGGCCTAGTGCTTCTCATTCAGTCTTGGTAATCTGAATTTTTTACAAGACCTTTTTTTCTGACGAAAGGTGGCGAACACTGGTCGCTTTTAACTCGCATTTTTTTTATTTTAATTCTCATTCAATGAGTATTTTCCATTAATTTCGAGCCCTGACATCATAGATCTTCACATTCTGCAACACGTTGTGAATGAACAAGTCGTACCTACTTCATACAGACGACTTTCGTTTTCATTCTAAACTGGTTCCAGCATATAAACAAACTACCAGTTCATAACACGAACGTCTTTCCGTGCTTTTACGACTGTCAAAGATATGCTTTTTTGTTACAGTAATGAATTTGAAGCAATCATAAATTGGGAATTTTTACCCTTAAATTTGGGAAAAAGGGTACCTTTTTCACGTTGGGAATGGGGCCGAATATCGGCCCCAATTATAGAGAATCGAGAGCCCTATGATCAAATTAATCTAGAAACCCCCTTGTAAACCTGCTACTTTAATGATGAGTGAATTCTTTAATTACCATATTAAGCTATTTTGACCATGCAATTTAAACGCTTCAAGTACCTCATACTAACTATAAAGTTGTTTGGATCTATTTAATGCTTCAGTTGTAAAACCTGTCTTCCAGTTCTGGTCATTCAACCATTGTTAGGGATACTCATCATCAACAGTGTGACACAGCTATTTATTCCTCTCTATTTGATTCATTATTTATACAAATCAGCCTTGCAATAGCACCAGCTAGTAGTTACATATATATTGATTAGAAATAAAGAGTGCACTGAATTCATCTCTATATTTAGTGATACTGTATACAGGGTTATTTTCGCCCCGTGTTATTTTCGCCCTTTCACACTTGCAGACTATTTTGCCCTGTTTAAAATTCGCCCAGTCAAAGTTTTATTTAAGAAATTATACGGTATTCTTTAAATTCGCCCAAATGAAAGTAGGGCGAAAGGGACAAAAATAAAACGGGGGCGAATATTTCCCTGTATACAGTATATCATTTTCCATATTTACACAATGCCACAATGAAATCACATTTAAATTTTTAAAAAATCCCTCTCAATTGTTATTAAACATTTCTCTTTCTTAAAAGGTAATACTTTTCTAATAAATATAGGTTTTATTTACACCCAATCAATTTAAAGTTTGTGTAATTCAAAATGTAAACCATAAATTATGGGGAGTGGATAAAACATTGTGGGGCCTAAAATAAAATATTGTTTGTTTGCAGTTACTGAAAATGCAGCCAAACTTTTTTTTAAGCCATTTTGTAATATACTGAAAGGAAAAAGAAACGCAGGGTAAACTTTTGAGGTTAATTAATTTTTTTTCCTTAAAATACTTGTTAGTTTTCCTATCTAACTTTTAAAATCACCTTTCAAAAAGATATAACCAAATTCACATATGATTTTGTCTAATTATTCATGAGTTATTGATATTGACGAAATTTTAAAGTGAAAATCGAAAACTCTCATTATCTTCAGTGTCTATTGTGCATCTGTCATAGTCTTATTTCTCCTTTGCATGGTATTTCATCAAAATCTTTCAAACCCTGGCTATATTTAGCATGGGTAACCACACAAAAAAATAAGTCAAACTGCGCGCGCATGCGCCAGTGAGAGGAATACAACAGTAAGTTGACTGGCTCAAAAAACCAAATTGCGGAATTGTTTTCTTTCAAATTTCGTATGAATGCAATGATTATAATCTTCGTATAAATGGCTGTTTTTGTGGTAGTTCGTATAGACCATATATAGCGTTATCGTCATCGTCACGGTTGATTGAAAACCACTCCAGACCTCTCTGACAACGGGTACAATGTTTTATAAGAGACAACTTAGTAAACCGTTGTTGCCTTTTTCATTAATTAGGCAATTCGAAAACAAGACCCCATTGAACTTCCGTAAACTGTGCCAAGATTGCAATAAATTCATAACTTAATAGAAAAACGATGTGCATAATATGCATCAAATAATGCAAAAAGATTTTTATATATCAAATTGCACGTGTTTTGGGCTTTTTAACGTGACGTCATAAATTTTACGGTTAAGTAATTCAATACTGATTTTGATGCACAGTAACTAAATTTTGAAATTTTCGTAATTTTCGGAATGTGGTCAAATTTTAATTGAAAATTATGCTACCCTGCGTTTCTTTTTCCTTTCAGTATATTATTTTTTTTCTCCAATTTTTCAGGATATTAAAACTATTTCATATTCAATTTTTGTCTTCATCAATCATTAGTTTATACCAAGAGTGCAGCTTATTGATGTTATATCTATGAAAAACTCTATTTTATGTTATAACAAAAATTGGAAAAATTTCAAAAAAAAAAAAAAAATTTACACTAAAAATTGGCAACTGCACACAAGGAATTTTTTAAGCTTGGCCTGGTACCATCATTTCCTATGCTCAATCAGCCAGTTTCATGTAAGTTATTTTCATGTAGAATGAAGATTGGTTACATTTTTTTTAATCTAGGGATGATGACCACCAGACATCATAATACGTCATTGATATTGACGAAATTTTATGGACAAAGACATTGACTTACTCAATTAGTACTAGTAAATGTGAGTTTATTTTATACCTAGTAATACACCAAAAACTTGTGAGTTAATACTGTAGATCACTATATTTTCACATCTTATTTATGCAAGAAAGCTATTTGCCATTAATAAGTGAGATAAAATTTTTCGCATGATTATCATGATTATTGCAATATATTTACATCCACGGAATATTTTTTCCTTTATCTCTACGTACACCACACACTATTAAGAAAACCCATTGCCGTTTATCAGTTCATGAACAACACTTGGCATATCCCCTGTACAGATTTAAACAATAAAATGCTTTCTTTGTTTGTTATTACTGGAATTAACGGAAGCAGCTGTTGCAGAAAAAATACATAACCAACTAGTGTAAGCAGGTTATGTCAATTTTTTCTGCAATAGCTGCGACCGTTAATTCCAGTAATAACAAACAAAGAAAGACATTTTATTGTTTATATTTATATCTGTTTAAATAATCATTTAAAGAAGGATTAAAAAGTTTTTAATTATTGTATTAATGATAAGTGGCCGTTCCATCAATTAAGGGTATGTACCAGAGCTGTGGAAAACTGCCGGTCATGCCGGCAAGACCAGCAAAAAATGCCTGTGACCGGTAAAAATGCTATCGATGTCGGTCCAAATGACCGACCTCTGTCTTTGTTAAAGGTTTTTGTTTTTTTCCATTTTAATTCAGGCCTATCATCGGCGCATTTCCCAGCTTAATTATTGTACCTTATATACGATTGCGCAATACTTTTTCTTTGCATGAGATCGAGGCTATAGGAAATGAAAGCGAAACCAGCATGTCTCGCGTGACCTTTTAAATTTACAAATAGGACAGAATTATAGGTAGAAAACATAAAAAATTTAAAGATAAAGGCAGGCTAAATACCTGGGTATGTAAAAAAATATCGATTTCAGTGGATCGATGCACAGAATTTCTAAGACTCATTTTCGAGGTAAAATATAATTTGCAGTTGCATTCACGTTTTAAAATATTTACGTTTACTACGCAGAATTATCATTGACACATGCCCAAAAGTGATGAAATTTAGTATTGTAATAAATGCAAAAAACGAAAACGGAGGAGGACTTGGAAATAATGTTATTATTAAGTAAAGATTAAGTAAATAAATGTTATGCTTTTCTTTTTAATTTTGCAACTTACTATTTCGGACCGGCAAAAATCACTTCGGACCGGCATATCTTGTCTTTTTGCCGGTCCGAATGACTGGCTATCTGAAAAATTTTTCCACAGCTCTGATGTACCAAGACATGCATATCAATAATGCAATAATTACTCTTTTTAATCCTACTTTAGATGATTTCGTATACAGATATAAATATAAACAATAATATATGTATCTTTTTTTGGTTTTTAGTACGGGAATGAATGTCGCAGATATAGTGCAAAAAAAATTTTTACATAACCCGCATAAGTGGGTTATATATTTTTTCTGCAACAGCTGAGACCTTCATTCCCATACTAACAACCAAAGAAAGCATTTTATTGTTTATTGTGTAAATATTTTCCTTTATATGACAAATATACATGAGAATAAAATATTCCTGAGTAGGCAGACACTTTAATTACACAAAAATTAAGTTCTTGTGAATAACAAGTAATTTACAGTACACCAAACACTATTAAGTTTATACTCACCCACTAAGTACACCTAACACTAAGTTGAGCATAAAAAACGATCCCAGAATGATCAGAGGATAAAAGTAAAGCCAGTTGATATAGGGGCCTATTGCATCATTGGTCTGCAAAAAAAGAAATAAATAGATATACAAAATTCAGATCATCAGATGTTTAATAATTGTGATTTATAATGAAAAGGACAATAAAATTGATTTACAACTCAATTTGTTCAAAATCCTATTTGTATCATTTTTCTAGTCCCAACATCTTTTAAACAAAGCCCAAGAGAAATATATTTATGTTTCATGTTTATATGACCAACCCTAAATTTTTATGCTGACCATATAGTCTCTTTTGACATAAAATTCTGAAATTGTGTATCTGTATGCTTATAAATACAGTGTATAAGCTTCACAGTTGATCAAACTGTCTCGTACTTATAACTGATAAAGAAAAAAATATATATTTCAAAAATAAAAATAGAATTCTACTTACCATGCTTACCAAACCTCTATTTTTTTTTATTAATCTGTTAACCAAACATGTTTTTTAAGACCTAATCTAAAACATATTGTTCATCACATTTTCAATGAAGACAAAAAATTGAAATAACAGCAAATATATTTTTATATTAGAGATGACTTCAGATCTATTTGTTGGTATATTTGACTATAAACCTCACTATACAACTGTAGATATTTTGTCTGACTATCTGTCTTGGTGAAGCCTGCAACCAATTTGTCTCCTTGTCCTTAGAGGCCAGTTGAACTGGGAGCCACCTTACTTAATGAATGTATGGGGAAATGTAGCCTGCATTATAGAAGATCTCGGCCTATTATGACTGTTCTATTAGCGGGTCTGATCCGTCTTATTCGACACCTGCGGGCTTCTTTACAGAGGCTTAATCAGTCTGGTTTTCACCACAATTCCATACTTAGTCTATTTCAAAACTTACTTGAATCACATGCTTATATTTCTGAAAATACTAAAACTATACGATTTCTTTAATATGATTTTTTCTTTTTCATACTCTTATTTAAAAAGATAAACTTTGGAAAGTTAAATTTATAATTTGGGAATCAGACATTGAAAAATTACTTTGAAACAAATGATCTGAAATAAAATTTTTAGGAAGCATTGCAGGTGAAACTATATAGGAAGTTTTAAATTCACTCCAATCATTGATTACTATGATGTTCATCAAACAAATTACCAAGATTTACGATTGATTTCACATTTTTATTGCCTCATGACCTTTATCTGAGGTTAATAGATTCCAATCAAGTCAGGGACAGCATTCACTTAACTCAGAATTCATTCTTCAATAATCAGAGACAACTTCACTTAGAATTCAATTGAATCAATGTCCAAGGACAATTTGACTTAAAATTCAATTGAATCAATGACCAAGAACAATTTAACTTAGAATTCAATTGAATCAATGACCATGGACAATTTAACTTAGAATTCAATTGAATCAATGACCAAGGAGTGAGGACAATTCAACTTAGAATTCAATTGAGTCAATAACCAAGGACAATTCAACTTAGAATTCAATTGAATCAATAACCAAGGACAATTTGACTTAAAATTCAATTGAATCAATGACCAAGAACAATTTAACTTAGAATTCAATTGAATCAATGACCATGGACAATTTAACTTAAAATTCAATTGAAAAAAATACCATGGACAATTCAACTTAGAATTCAATTGAGTCAATAACCAAGGACAATTCAACTTAGAATTCAATTGAATCAATGATCAAGACAATTCAACTTAGAATTCAATTGAATCAATGACCATGGACAATTTAATTAAATATATACATGACAATTATAGAATTCAATTGAGTCAATGAATCAATTGAATCAATGATCAAGACAATTCAACTTAGAATTCAATTGAATCAATGACCAAGGAGTGAGGACAATTCAACTTAGAATTCAACTTCATCAATGACCAAGGACAATTCAACTTAGAATTTAACTTCATCAATGACCAAAGACAACAACTTAACCTTTATTATATATACATGTATTTCAATTGAATCAATAGTTACAAATTGAAGGACTGGGCATCTTTTGTAATGAAATTTCATTATTATCATCATTCACTATTATATATTTGTACATCTTTAAGGCAATTCTTCCTTGCAACAACAGTAGAATTATACACAATCCAATTAACAAACTGTAATTTGTATACTCACATAATATAATACTTCAGTCCACCCTTCCATGGTAATACATTGGAACACAGTAAGCATGGCGTACGCTATATTGTCAAAACTTGTAATTCCGTAATTAGGCCCGACCCAGCGAGCCCGACACTCAGAAACATTCTCCTGACACTTAAACGCATCAAAGTACCCTGCTGCATTTTGGGTTTTATCCCAGCACGGTCTTATATTAGCTTCATCTCCTATGTATATGTTTTCTGTCAAAATATAAAAGGATATACATGTATTACTGTAGAACTAATAATTTCTGTGGGAATAGAAAATCAGATTCAATTGTTTTGTGGGGAATAATGTTTTTTTGTTTCAAAAGTAAGTACATGTATAATATATTCAATATGAACCCATCCAAAAATTTCCTTTGAGATTAAATTCATGGATAGGCCTAATTAAAAAAAAATACATTGTAAATGAAAATCTATGCTATTAAAAATTCAAATTGGAATCTATAAGCAATTTTTTTACATGACCCGAATTAAGTCTGATTACAACACATAAATGTAGATATATGTTATTCCCAGAATAGAAGTTGAAAAAAAAAAATCTTTTACCTTCATCATTTCCTACTGTTCCTAGTTTAAAGCAGGCAGATTTGAAAGCACCACTGTAGAATTCTAATCCTACTATAGCGAATATAATAATGGCAAAGAACACCAACAAACACACTTGTAAAAGTGGAGTCATTGCTCGTATAATAGATTTCAACACTACTTGAAGACCTGTAAAAAAAACAAATAATATTGTTGAATTTATCAAATGAACTTTTAAGATTATTAAAACAAACAAAGACTGCTTTATCTCATTTCTAAAAATAAAAAAAACCCAACACAGTCTCCTTTTATTTTTAATAATACAAAAAATCATTAAATTGCACATACTATATAAAACCAAACTGAATGTTACATACCCCATTGTAAACCATTTCTTTAACATGTGAAGGTTTATATTATATTTATCATCATGTTTAATTAAGTTGATGTTTTAATGTTTTGCTATTTCACTAAACTCGATCGAGACTGTGAGCTACATACTTGGTATCCCCGAGACTAATTTAAGGGGACGTAGCACTCGGACTGCTCTCAATGTTCGTAAATCTAGTTGACTAGAGGCAGCCATCGTGATAATCCTGTAAAATAAAAAGCTACGCAGTGTATCCCAACTACGACCCTACGACTACACCACACTTCATTAAGATGGGACCAAATATACCTTAACTCATGCAAAGTTTACAGAGTTTGCCATTCAAATGCATTTTGGGTATTAAATAAACTATCTTAGCTATTTCTTATATCTCACATGTACATGTACCATGATATTGCGTAGGGAAAACATTGCTGTTTGTAGAATTTTCTGTATACCAGATAAATTTCATGTACATATGGTTCAAATTTCATTTGACCTATGGTACATGCACATGGAGCATCTATATTGATTAGGCAATAGTTGTCACCTACAAGCTATTAAAATTAGAGATCTTCATTTTCTTACACTGGAATCATGCAAGAGGGATGAAGCATGCAATATGATCCTTCCCCAGTTGCATTCAGATGAATATATTTTGGTCCTCATGATGTTATTTTGATGTAATTGATGATGGCACTAGCTATAATTCTTAGCTAACCCTCAAAACTTACTTTCTATCCCATACACTAGTTTTAAAGGTCGTAAAACTTTCAAGGCTCGGACCTCAGGGCGATTAAAAGAGGTCACCATCTCAATGCACCTATACATCATGAAATGTGCATTTTTGAATTTTAATGCCAGGTTTTTTTTTCATTAAAATTAGATCTAACTGATTTGTATTGTTCAAATTATTCATGAAGAGGCTTAAATATCTTTCTCATTTGTCTTTATACTGCAGAGAATATCATATCATATCAACATATCTAAAAGCAAAGTAAATTCTAAATTTAATTAAGGTGTAATTATAAAAATGCACCTAAATGCATGTAGAAATGCATGCAAAAAAGGTGTGATGGAGGGTCTGAGAAGAGTACCCCTAATCTTAGAAATTTTTGATGTCATAAATAGTCAAACACATAAGACAAGCCAAGGTTCAGAAATTGAAATTCATAAGCTTTAAATTTCTCGAAAAGTCAAATTGCTCTACATCAGATTGGTGTTAAAAATAAAGAGTAAAAGACCGCCATCATTGTCAGACGACTCCAAATCATTAAATGGCCAATAGCTACAAGAGGTTCACAATATAAGTACGCATGTGCAAATATAAACCACTGGAATTGGTTGTCAATTTACCAAAATAGGAACATTTCTACGAATACTAGATAATCTTCAATTCTTAAAAGATTGTTGCACTAGCAGCAGCAGCATATTTGATTTTTCCCTCTTATCATTTTTTTATCTCCCGGTACTGAAGAGTCAGCGATTTCCGGTTATCTTTAAAAAGCATGTTTAGAGTGATCCCCCTTTTTGTATCGGGTTCAATCAATCAATGTACCAATCAGTGAATGTTTATTAAAATATTTAAAAATGTTATACTTACCCTGTTACTACGACTACAAAATCCATTATATTCCAAATATTTCTTAGATATGCTCCTTTATGTAACACAAATCCTAAAGCTACTATTTTTAGTAAAGCTTCTACTAAGAAGATAACTACAAAGTAGATTTCTGTTTCTTCCTGAAAAGAAAAAAAAACGAAAAATTAAATTACTGGATAAACAGTTTATTATTTTAATCTTTCAAAAAAAAAGCAAAAAAAAACTATAGAAAGGATTTTATTTCCTGGCTTCTTTTATTACAGAGTGTACATATATTTTGAACTTTTGTTGTTTTTATGTCAGCACAGGTAGTATTATATATAAATGTACATTTTTTAAAAGTCAAATTAACTTACAAGCTGAACAGCTAGTGGTGTTTTGTCATCATTAGGAAGATGTTCCTCTAATGCTAACACTATACAGTTGGCAATGATGGTGAGTAGTACCATGTACTCGAAAGGCGTACACAAAGTTAAGGATAAATATATAGTACAAAAGTGTACAATAGTTATACAAACATAAATACATATACTAAATAACAAAGCATTTCCCCCATCATCTCTTAATCAGAATTATATTGCAAATACAAACTTAATAGTTTACTTCACTGCTAATTAAAAAGAATATACACGTAATTTTCTTTGATCCCCTCGATACTGAACTATCGTGTAAGCAAAATTTTTAGCGAGGATTTACATGTAATATTTTAAGGCATTATTAGCGAGGGTGCTGAGATCGCTAAAATTAAATATCGCTAAAATTAATTGCGTTTAAGTTTAAATGGCTTCTTTAGTGAGCTGATTAATATCGCTATGTCTAAAATTACTTCTCGCTAAAAATAAAATACACATTATGAAGGACAATTCGCTAAAGTTTCATCTCGCTAAAATTTCCACATATACAGTACTTTTGCGGATGCCGGAAAGTGTCATCCACTTTTCCCTTTACCAGAAAGCACTTTTTTTTTATGGTAATAAAATATTCCTTATATTGAAAAAAATCTGGAACAGCAGTAAGAACCTTATTCATATTATTTGCGAAAGCTTTGCAGAACAGTGATGATATTAATTATCTAGCTGGTCTAGCGTTGACTTGTTGACCGTTCCCAATAAACACTCTACTGCCATATTATTTCTTAAAATCAGCTTTACTTCATATTCTAAGCAATCAGATGCTACCAATAACACCTTCTTTCCTTGTAAAAGCTGATATTGTGTATCTGTGTACTTTATAGTATATATAATGTCTCTATTTCCTTATATACTACTGACATAGGAGATATGTCGCACGTTTGAGTGCAAATACTCGACCAGGCTGTCATACTGTTAAAACATGTAGTGCATTTACAGCCACTGGTAAATTCAAAATACGTACTATGGCAATGTGTACGTAGTATGCTTTTGTGTGTAAATATCACATTACGTTCACTTTCTTATTTTACAATGCATTCAATTTCATGGAATATGTTGCTATTAGGGATTGAATACCTTAAAATAAAATTTGTTAATTTTTTTAGCATATGGAAAACTGTACAAATCCTACCAATTTCTTTTATAGTGTTATCATTATCAATGCTACGGGTAAGAACCATGGAATCATGCATACTGTAAAACGTTTATGGGGTTTTCTTTAGATTTTAACATGAATAAAAAATAGATATTTATAAGATCATGCCACAAAAATCACAATATCGTGTTTTACTGTTTTAAATAACGAATCATGTTTGATCAACCCTTGATTAGTACCGTCCATTTTACTGTGTATGTGTACCTATATTCTAAATAGATAACATTTTAGAGAATTATAATTGCCATCGAATCATGATTGTTAAAATCATAAGTTTTAACAACTCTCACCCTAGCACAAAACCTTACTCTAAATCTTACCCAAGACAATAACAACCCCCTAAGCCTTTGTTTGTAATTTTATTCACATATTCATGCCAACAATGAAGCTATACCGACTTCGCTTTTGGCCTTGTTTAATTAGGTCATAACTCAGTTTTAAAAATAAATTCTTTTATCAGGATCGATATCGATACGATATCGTCATGGTATTGTCGATATCGACGACATCGACATAGCAGTAAGTTTCATATATGGTGTCCAGTATTTCAATTTATGGTTCTAGTTAGGATCGATATCGACATAAAAGATATCGTCCATATCGACATCGAATTTGTTAAAATCATAAGTTCAAACAAAACAAACAAAACAACAAAAATATTCCGTATTAATTCCTTGCTGTAAAGGATATCCCCATTCGATGATAATCTTTGCATACTTTCGGATGAAGTTCTCCTCACTAAAGATGAACAATGACCGGGAGGCGGAGCCACCTGTCCCAGGAAGACTTATGTCGGCTGCCTTTTTGGCAAAATTTGTAATTTTATGGCCTCCAACCATATTCATTCTGCAAAACAGAAAATGGTGTAAGCAGCTAAAATACAGAGACTTCGCTTTTGGTGCCTTGTTTAATTACAAAGAATATAATATAACATTACATGATTGTTTTCATTTTAAAAAATAAATTGTTTTATGACAGTGACCTAATTAAAAAGGCGAGAAGAGAAACATAAAAGTAGGTACTATATCTGTTACAGTATGACACAAACATAGCAAGCTTTAACTTTGTGAAAACAAAATCAATATAAATCTTGTTTCAACATTGTTTCATTGTCTAAAATATTAAGCAATTCAAACGATGTTATAGGTCAACATATTCATTTTACAAGTGCTCTGGTGTTTTGTTGCTCTCAGAGTGTCAATACGCTTTAGTTTGAGCAAATTCAGCATCGATCAATAATGGGCAACCCTTTTTAAATATAAAACCTTAACTGTAACAAAATGTAGTATCTCTTTCAGGAATTATACAACAATATACAAACAAGAAACTGTCAAAAACAGCAAACCAATTAAAAAAAACAGTTATATTTATCTGTTAATATATAAAAAAACAAACAACAAGGGTTTTCAAACAAAACTGTACATTACAATGTAAATGTATTTCACTGGCGGTATTAATTTCTTGAAAATACACAATATTTGATAAATCAATATTTTTTGGTGTGAGGATATCCCCTTTTCAAAATTTCTGGATCCGCCACTGTATGATAATCTTTGCATACTTTCGGATGTTTAAGTAGTTTTAACACTTAAACATCAAAACCGTTTAAACTTATCTAACTAGAGATAGTTTAACTTTAAATGTAACAACTATGTGGGGCTCCGGGAGGATGTTGAAACCCCCAAACCTGCCCCTACATTTTTTCTCTCTCTTGGAGATGTAGCGGGAAAAGGCTGCCTTATTGCAAAATGGTCATATTTTTGAAAACTTTCAGTATTAAAAGTACATTGTATATTTATATTTACACGTCATTTTAAATTATTTATTCAACAAATCCTGTTGAAGTAGAGAAAGTAAATTTGTTTATACATGTATATAACGCGGCCCCTGGACTATGCCCAACACGTGTGCTTATTTCTCCGCACTTCAGTTACCTGACCAGGATTGGATGAAACATTTCATGGTTTAACCTCCAACCGTGTTAAATATTTTTTATTCAAATTGCCATTCTGCAAAACAGAAAATGGTGTAAAGAAGTGATAAACCTTTTAAAATGAAATATGTCTTTTTATTTGAGATGTAAAAATATTTGATTAACTTGTAGAAAAACGATGCCTTTGCTGCATTCTGAAGAGTTGTTAACAGAATGGTTAATGTATGTGGGTTTCGAAGATATGATACAAAGAATATAATATAACATTACATGATTGTTTTCATTTTAAAACAGTATCCTGAAATAAGTGACATTGACCTAGTTACACAGCCGACAACATGACAGTGACCTAATTATAAAGGCGAGAAGAGAAACATAAAAGTAGGTGAACAACCACTATATCTGTTACAGTATGACAATCTTGGTCCAATAAATCAATGTCTGCATGCCTTAAGCTTTCACCGACTTTGTGAAAACAAAATCAATATAAATCTTGTTTCAACATTGTTTCATTGTCATTGTAAACATTTTAGAGAATTGATATAAATAAATTTTACATATGTTGTAGGAAAGCATTTTCTCCAAAATATTAAGCAATTCAAACGATGTTATAGGTCAACATATTCATTTTACAAGTGCTCTGTTGTTTTGTTGCTCTCAGAGTGTCAATACGCTTTAGTTTGAGCAAATTCAGCATCGATCAATAATGGGCAATCCTTTTTAAATATAAAATCTTAACTGTAACAAAATGTAGTATCTCTTTCAGGAATTATACAACAATATACAAATAAGGTTCAGAAATAAGTTCATAAATGGCGTTTTCCGGTATATTCGTATTTATTACATGTACATAGTCTGTACTCCATCTGACCTAAATATTATAATTAGGGGCCTGATAAGGCTTCTTAAGAGGGTACCAATATCCAAGTTTTAAGTATGTCGTGAAAATGTCCCTATTTCCAGGGACCAGGGTAATCTGACCCTTGATCGCATGAACTTAAAATCAGAATGTTCCTATGGAAACCAAATTACCAAGTTTTATTTCTAGCAAACAAGGGCTTCTACTTTATATGTCTAGAATAATTTGAACCTTGACAACATGATTTCAAAATCTAAATAGGCCATACAGTTAGTCCTCAGTGGGTACCAGTATACCAAATTTGCTGTTTATCATCAAACATATTGATGAAAACTTATTTATACGAAGTTGGCAACCATGAACATCAAACGAGTGCAAACCACATCGCCCTTTTTTCAAGGGAGGCATAACTTTTATTTTTATAAGAAACTATCCTTGAAAAGTTCCATTATCCTTAAAGATGGGGCAAAACATAAGACATTCGGTCTTACAACCTCTTTTATGAATACATGTGTTTTCAAAGATACTAAGATTCAAAAGATTTTTCAGTAATACGCCACCAGAATTATCTTAAGGTCATTGGCAACGCAGGATTTCCGGAGAAAAAAGGTTTATACATAGGTTTTCTCACTTATGAAAAAAAGTCATTGAGAGTGATCTCCCGTATGGAATTCTCTAGGCGCTGAAAACAAATAAAGCATATGTTGCAGACTGAGAAGTAAACAAAAGCACGTGTGTTTTTTTGTCGGATATATTCAACTCTACAGTAATAAAAGAAAAGCAGCGATGGGTTTGTTTACATTGTGCTGAGGGGACAGACAGTCAACAGGTCGTCATTTAGAATAGGTACTTGAATGCAGGGAAGTGCAAGGATGTGAAACAATTATGCTGAAAGTGGTGATAGCTGGGTAGACCGAATGAAAACGATTCTATAGGTTATGTGAACGAGACACCATTAAAAGTTACTATAAATCCTTGCAAAAATGTTTTATGACAGTTCGCTTCCATTAAAGTAAATTAAAGAATATAAACAAACAACCAGTCTCTTGATCATTATGAATATTTATTAGATGTTAAGGGAAGTAACTAAAAATTAAA